GACGAAGCTCCGAGCCGCTCCAGCCAATCAGAAGATCAAACGAGAGGGGGGTGTGCGTGGAGTGAAAAAGGGGGGTGTGCGCGGAGTGATTAGGAGGTGTGCCAATATCCCTCCCCTATTATATAGACAATAATCATCTACCAAAATGTCAACCAGTCTGCGACCTTGTCCGAAATCTTGAAGAAAACATTATGCCGAGCAACGAATGAGCGATTCTTCTTCCCGAAAATATCTGCGAGCTGTTAGCAATAACCCTTCACAAGTAGCATATTCGAGCAGGGAGAACATACACATCGGTACGCTTAGTAAACACACAACGACCTGGACACTCGCCACAGCCATGAATACAGGCTTGACGCCGGTTTGCACTAGCCAGTCGTAACTGCTCCACGTAAGACCGAAACTGAATATGTTCTTGAAAACAAGTAAACAAGTGAACGCTTCGACAGATATTTCGCCTGATTGTAATGTTAGCGAGCAGAATCTTTCATTAAGGACAGCTAATCCAAACTCACGATGAGCGTCAACAATATATAAAGCGCTGGCTACCGCTCCTAAAACCATGCCCATGACTTCCAATGCGAAGAAGAAGTCCGGCCCTAGGTGAATGGAAACATTAGTCACCCATGTTGGTCAGAACTGGGTTGCTTGAACTTACAGAACCACTTGTACTTCCCGATATTGTTGCTCACAATGCCAAAGCCATAGAGGCCCGCACATCCAAAGATGAGTTGCGGTATGACCAGAATAAGCCGGAACTCTGGCTCATAGATGCCGCGATTAAGGCGAGTCAGGTATGACGCCGACCAGTCAGAGATTAGCCCCGCCAGCACAAAGCCCAAAAGGGCTCCCACAAATGCACCAGTGTACATGTATCCAGTCTCGACTTCGCCAAAGAAGAGAGGTGGACCAAGCATGATTGCCGCGAGGACGATACCGATCATGACGGTCCACCCAATGAGAGTTCCTTGGATGAGACATGCCTGGATATTGTTAGTACACTAGGAACTCAGACCTGAACAAAGCTTCATTTGCAAGACGTACCCAGAATATACCCGGATGGAAGAACAGGGTGAAGGGTCTCAAAAGTAGATTGAGATATCTATCGTCTGATTTTCTTCCATTGAAAGGAAGCAGACTCTTCGCCCAACTTGCCTTCTCAGGTGGAGGAGCAGTGTCGTCGGCGTGCTCAACACTCATCTCTTTTTGCATCGCTCTAGTCATGTCCTGTTGTGAGTCTCGTGTGGACTCGACAGCCGAATTAGGAGAAGTCTCCAATTCTATGCGGTTTTCAGGGGCAAGACGAGGACTGGGGGTGTTGGTGGTCGCCGTATCCGTGTTGAAAACTGCGTCCCGTCGAAAGGCCGTTTCCGGTACGAAGAAGACCACTACCGGAAGCAGTGCCCCCGAGAAGATAGCCACGAAATAGAAGGTCCATTGCCAGCTCATGGTATCCGCAATTTTGCCCACTAACACTGGAGTGAAGAATGCACCGCCGAAGAGGGCCAGATTGGACAGAGCCATGCGTTTCCCTCGCTGGTGGACATGGTAGAGGTCGCCGACACTGGCATTAACCAGGGCTTCAAAGGGCGCCAATCCAATACCTTGAAAGATTCGTGCCCATAGTAGACTTTTGTAGTTCTTGTTGCTTGCGCCGCCCCAAGCACTGCTGAATACTAGCACCACCGTGCCTAGTAGGTATAGATGCCTCTTCCCCCATATTCTTGCAGACGGAACAAACAGGAAGCCAGCTACTCCAACACCGAGGAGGTGATAGCCAGTCAAGAGTGCCACATCCGTGAATGTACGTCCGAAGTATAGCGACAGGGAGAGTGTATCCGCAGCGAGAAGAGGGCTGAGAGTCGAGGCGATCACAGACAAGAGGGATAACGTTAGGAGGATGAGGTCGCGTCGCCATAGTGGCCAATTCTGACCGAATTAGCTCTGAGACACCTTTTTTCAAATCGTTGAACTTACGAGAGGGTCATTGGGGTCGTTAGAAGGCTGGGGTATAAGGATGATGGTGCCCGTAGAATCATACTTCAGATTCGGGTCGTGCACCGCGTTTTCCTCGCGTAGTCTGCTTTCGTCATCGAAGACAGTTGCAGTTCCTGCATGAGGTATTAGTTCAAGGGTCTGATCCACTTGTGTAAGCCCGCCTAATCGTACCAGGAACGTGCTGGAGCTTGGTGTCGTTTAGGATGCCGAGACCCATGTTGTCGTTGTCGAATATCACGGGTTGGACCCTACTCCTCACATAGGGAGCCACCGAGACTGAGAGTCGGGGCCCATAGGGTCTCGCGGAGTTGGTATAGGGCGCGCGTTGAAGATGAAGACGATACCTCGGGAATCACGCTCACGATAGTTGTCTGAATTAGCGCCCAGCGACTTTCTAACTTCAGCTGGACACCACTCGCGACTTGCACTCCTTCTCCTCCAGCTGGGCAAATACATGCATTGACGGCTCCTATCCCATCATGCATCGCATCTGAGCTCTAAATGATGCCTTTGAATAGTATGATGTTCCTTTGGCACCCTCAACAATGGGCTCTCCCGCAGATGGCATTCTGCCCTTCCTATGTTCCACCTCAACTCTTCCGTCGGCGGAGTATCAGAGCAGATTCTCGCTAATCTTACATATCTCTTGACATTTGCCGAAACCTCGTCTCCCGTCGCTCTCGTTTTCCACTCTATCGTCTCTTTAAGACGTCAGCAGCCGGCTGGCGCGGTCCCTATATCTGAGGCGAACCCTTGTTGAAACGGCGGCCACTTTCCGATATAGGTCCCCGCAATTCACAAATGCTTTCTGTGGTCATGCACTGGAGATCAGAATATTCCCCTCAATTGTCGGATTGTGTTGATTCATTAACCAGCCTCTGGTCCGGCTCACCGTTTCACCCAGAGTAACTGACGTCCAACTCAACCACATCTCAAATGGGCCTGTCAGCCAAGGGCAATATGGCACACGCTCTACAATTACCGACGGAGATGGCGTTCCGACTAATGACATGTTTCAATCGCCTAAAATCTCCCCTTGGGCTCCACCTCACTCAATTAGACCAATTTGCTAAATGAAATAGGGTGACGGTTCGGAGGTATATGAGAGCACCACTTTCCGTAGTCAATTCAGTTTTCAGCAAATACACTCTTTCAGTTTCATCGAGTCTGCATCTTTCTCTTCAAATGCATTTCTTTTCAATTCTATTAGCCGCTGGCACGGCGAGCCTTGCCCTAGCAGCTCCCATCACAGACAAGAAGAAGCGTGTTTCCAAGTTTCAATTCTTCGGCGTGAACGAGAGTGGCCCAGAATTTGGAAACACGAACTTGCCTGGAGCTTTGGGTAAAGATTATGTGTGGCCAACTTTGAGCACAATCGATACCTTCGTCAACCAAGGCTTCAATACTTTCCGCATCAACATTATGATGGAGCGTATCATTCCCAACTCGATGACTGGCTCATTGGACGCCACCTATCTAGCGGACCTTAAGACGGTACGTTTTCAATTGTTTCGTGGTCGTTTTCATACTAAGACACTACTAGACGGTTGAGTATATCACGAACAAAGGAGCCTATGCTCTGATTCTCCCACACAACTACGGCCGCTACTATGACAACATCATTACCGACACGTCCGGCTTCGAAGCGTTCTGGAAGACCCTTGCTGGAGCCTTCTCAAACAACAGCAAAGTAATCTTTGACACCAACAACGAATGTATGTCCCACCCCCTCCTCGGTTCATTTTCTTGCCCTAACTATAAGCCAGTCCACGACATGGATCAATCCCTCGTCGTGCAACTCAACCAAGCCGCCATAAACGGCATTCGAGCTGCCGGCGCCACCTCTCAATATATCACCGTCGAAGGCAACGACTGGACAGGCGCTTGGACTTGGACTACCGGGCAAAACGGCGCCACCATGGGCGCGCTCACGGATCCCAACAATAAGCTCATCTACCAGATGCACCAGTACCTCGACAGCGACGGTTCCGGGACCAGCGCAACCTGCGTGTCGAGCACTATTGGCAAAGAGCGCCTGGTTGCGGCAACGCAGTGGCTCAAGTCGAATGGCAAGAAAGGCATCATTGGTGAGTTTGCTGGTGGTGCGAACAGCCAGTGCGAGACAGCTGTGCAGGGCATGCTGAGCTACATGCAGCAGAACAGCGACGTTTGGCTGGGTGCTCTGTGGTGGGCTGCGGGACCTTGGTGGGGAGACTATATCTTTTCTATTGAGCCGACCTCTGGAACGGCGTATAGTGCGTATATGAGTACGTTGACCGCCGCAGAGTAGGTGTTGAAGGAGTACGGTTGAGGCTGGTGTAGCCGGGCAACGCATATGGAGGGGTTCGATCAAAAATGCTAGGAAATAGACTTCGCTTCTGTAATACTATCGCCGTCTTGGTACCAGCGTTTTTGTGTGATTGTAAATTTAGATAAATTCTGGACCATTCAGTGCTGAGTAGCCAATCACATCGACCGAACTTTGAAAACAAGGCGCGTGCTTTGGCTCTAAGCTGTGTTGGGAATAGCCGAGTCTTAGTCAGCATCTGGAAAATTCTTGCCCTCACGAGTTGAGCTACTGATCCTCGAGATGCTATTATGGCGATACCGGTGAAAATGGGGGTAAGAGGGAAGGGGCGCAAGCCTTGGCGTCCCGAAGCGAAGCGAAGGGCCACGCCAAGGCGCTTAAGGGAATTGCTTATTGATCCTAGCCCTTCGGCGCTTCATTCCTGCTCTCAAGTACCTCGTAGTCTTCTTTGATGCTGGATTTGAACGTCTTAGACAAAGTCTTGCCACACTGCATGCTGGCGACTATTGAACGTAGACTTAATCGGCACTCTATTCTAAGTGTTGCCAGTGATCTGAGGCACATCGAGCTCGAGTATACTTCGTAGCACGCTGGGCGTCAAAATAGTGGCATGCTCATCAAGCACCCTGTCTCGTGTGTACATCTGTCTGCCACTACGTGGGATGCTTCAACGAGTTTGTTTCCACATGGCCCAAGGCGAAGGGCTTCTATCTCGTTCGGATTCCTGGAAGTGCTTGAAGCACCCCAAGCAGTGCTAGACAGCTACTTGTAGAGTTAGACTGCCACCTTTTCCATGCCCCACGCGTATAGCTGGGCAAGCTGTGGTGCATTTACTTTAAGGCTGAAGCTACAACTAGCGTCGATATCTGGTTACCAGAGCCTATTCTATGCAAAGCCAAGTACCTAGGTGCTTGCCCTGCATGGAGGCGTCACGGAGCTTTCTTCATAGTCTACCCTCCGTATGCACATGTCTAACGAGGCGACTGGCCAGAATCACGCGACGATGAGCTGGTGCTTCACAGTCATGACCTTGAACTCTCCCTGAGGCCTACAGGATTTGCTAGGCACTAGAAATGAGTCTTGACGTGCCCTAAATTCGGTCCTACTCTAATTCGAGACCAGAGCATCGACACCACTGTTGCCAAAGCTTACGTTGCGCCCTGAATATGGAGGTTGTCGCGCGTGCACGAGGCTGCAGCGTCAAGTGACGATGAAGACGGCCAGAATCAATAGAAATGACACTGCCTGGCTGTGCGTCAGCCTGTACGGAGTAGAGTGGCAAGGAGGGTGACGGGCGACGGGCGACGAAGAAGCCATCGTGGCTTCTTCGAAACATGGCCCAGCGGCGTCACAGGCGAAGGGCACGGAGCAGACGCTTCGTATTGGCAGCGCACGGGATCGCTGTGCCTGAGTTGAATCTCAGAAATGATGTGAGAGGCTTGCAAGGCTCCGGCGTGCCTAGTGATTCACCTTCTATTTGTGAGCGCTTGGCTTGCCTATCCCCCCGCGTTGCTGTCCGCCCGCTGATACTTGCCTGCCCCTCGAACAAACGCACCCCCAACCCGAACCGCACCTCCGATTTCCCTGGCCACGACCGCGACCCTTCTTCCTCCGGACAGCGTTACCTTCAAAGCTATCGTGTAGCTCTTCGCGGGCGCCTCTGCTCGTACCCGCATTTCTTCCCGACAGCCTCTTCCGCCTCGGAGCAGCATATAATCTAAATTACCCAATCCCGGACTCGCTTTGATTGCGAATTACGAAGCGTTCTCGCGGGCCTCTTCCCTTCGAGGGACTGCCATGTTCTTCGATCTCTCCGCGCCCCTGTTCGCGACTTGATCTTGCTGCGTTCTGCCACTGTCTGTTTGCCGCCACGGTTGGGCGCGTCTGTCAGTATGGGCGCAGTGAGCAGCCGACCCGGAGACGGGGACGCCGTCTACCTGAGGGATCAAAACCGATGTAAGCTTCGTAGACTTCTGTGCTATTCTACATGGCTTTACTAAATCCTATCGCAGTCTCGGTCACCAACCTGACGATCACAAATTCACGCGGCCGAACACTGCTGAACATCTCGCCCAACGCCTTTCCCGCGGCTCGGTACAGCGCGAAGAGGGATTTTGGGGACGATAGCGTTGTAGACTATGTTCAGGTTGGTCTTGAGGTGTTTCCAAAAGTCGAGCATCTGCTAACCGCATTATGTAGGACCCGGACAGCAATGCCTCCACCGGGCCACCAGCGTTCCTCATCCGACTACCCAATGATGAAGAACTGGTCTTCAACTTTACCTTCGTCGCCCGGCAGTCGCAGGGTCCATCTTCTGTGTACAATACGAACAGCAACTCCACGGTCACCGCGAGTGGGCCAGCAGATGTCACAATCAACGGGTTGACATTCGTACAAGGTTCAACTATCAGAGAACTCGATAATCTGGTCACGAGAGAGTTCCATGCCAATCCAAACCTTCACAAGAACCCAAACGTGGAGTTGGTCGGCGATTATTCAACGGGTGGCCACCCCTCAGTCCAGTTCCAGTGGTCTTGGAGATGGAAGCCTCCAAAGCCGCAAGAAGACAGAGGTGGGGGCTGGCGCAACAGCTGCAGTGTAAGTCTTCTGTTCGCTTTTCGTCTTTGTAACAGCGCTAACACGCGGTACAGTTTGTCGAGTACGATCAGCGAGCGCACCGGCTAGACACATTGGCCAGCTTCTCTTTCTGGGTTCAAAGTAAAGGCTTCTCTCTCCCATCAAGATCTATTTTACTAACGCTTCATAGACACCCAGCGTAACCTCGGCAGTCCCTTGTCTCCCTCTCCTCGTCTCGAACTTGGCGTACCCCCCCGGCTTCGAGTACCATCATCCCAGTCGATAGAGTCTCGCGTCAGTGATTCAGATGGAGGAGACTACAAGGACATGCCTGCTTCTCCTACTATGGAACCTGTGCCAGAGTACGGCCTTGGACTAGTACCAACCCAAACACAGTCTACCAGTCTGACTGGAAGCACCGTGAAAGTCGACTTATGTCAGAAGCCTGGAGAAGACCTCAGTCAGCAGGAGGATGGACCACTCTTCCGAGCCACGATGAAGTCACTAGAGTCCAAAACCGGCAATATGCGCCTTCGGTGGAAGAAGGTCCTGAAGCGTGCTGAGGCTGCTTCAGAAGCCCAAGTGACTTGCAACAATTCCATGGCTGAGTTGATGGACGCTCTAAAAGAAGCGTCGATCTCAAATACAAATGCTGTACAGCCAGCGATCGATCATTATTTCGACAAGATAGCCAAGGAAATACTGGCAAACGAGAGGGAGAACACCAAGAACATTAAGAAGCTTATCATTGATCCTATCCATAAATTATATAATGTCGACATCAAACAGGCCGAGTCCAAGAAGAAGGACTTTGAGGAGGAGAGCAAGGAGTACTATCAGTATGTCAGCAAGTACCTCGGTCAGCGATCGGACTCCCTCAAAGAGAAGAAGCGGGTGGAGACCGACTCAAAGTACGAAAGCAAACGTCGGAACTTCGAACTGAAGCGCTTCGACTATTCTTCTTTCATGCAAGATCTTCATGGAGGACGGAAAGACCAGGAGATCCTCTCGCATCTAACGAGATACGCGGATGCCCAAGCGAAGAATTACTTGGCCACTTCCAAGAAGATTGAGACTATGCTTCCTCAACTTGAGGCACTCAGTTTCGAAGTCAGGGAGGCAGACAAGGACTTTCAGTTGCAACGGTCGGAAAGAGAAGAGAAGCGGAGGGCACTCGAGAAGACTCAAAAGTCATACATCGAGCGAGAAGGTTCTTTAACATCCCACGGACTCCCTGCTTCTCTCGCAAATGCGAACGGTAACAGATCTGTTCCGCTCGACAATACAGACCCAGCGCCGAGAAGGGAAAGTATCGCCCCGATGTTCAAAAGTACGATCAGTCCACCTCCCACCAGTGCACCCGCATCAAGTTCATCACTTTCTACGACTGCCACGATTCCTCCTCCGGCAAACACCTTGAACCAGCAGACCCAAGCTGGTAGCCCAAATATGAACAAGTTCAAGGGTATCCGTGACTTGGAAGATAAGGACCACACTGGAATTCTGGGGTCTGAGCAAAATCAAGGTCTACACCGAAAGGAGGGTCTGCTATGGGCACTAAGCAGACCTGGAAGCCACGCCGATCCAAGAGGACTGAACAAGCAGGCATGGCATAAGTAAGTCTCTGACAAATCTCTGTTCTTATAGTCCTAATATGAAATAGGTTCTGGATCGTACTCGATCAAGGCAAACTGTCCGAGTATACAAACTGGAAGGAAAAGTTAGACCTTCATATGGACCCGATTGACCTTCGAATGGCATCTGTTAGAGAGGCACGGAACGCTGAGCGCCGCTTCTGCTTCGAAGTAATTACGCCAAACTTCACTAGAGTGTATCAGGGAACCTCGGAAGACGACATGAAGTCCTGGATCTCGGCTGTGAACAACGCCCTCCAAAGTGCGGTTGAAGGAAAGGGAATGGACGTGAACCAACGCGTCTCGACAGAATCATTGCCAGGCAATAACAATAACCGACGAGATATCGCGTCGGTCCTCACTGGAAAGAGTTCGTCTGTGTCCAATCACCATCGGAGTTCCTACGGCAATACTGCCTCGAGGACTCCTACTCGCCATGCTACAGTAGGCGACAGACCGTCTTATCGCACCAGTGAAAACGGCGATGACTCGTTCAAGCTGTTGCAACAAATCCGTGATGCAGATGCTGGAAACAGCGTCTGTGCCGATTGCGGTTCCGACAGCAAAGTCGAGTGGGTATCCATCAATCTTGGAATCGTAGTATGCATCGAATGCAGCGGCATTCACCGCTCACTAGGGACGCATATCTCCAAAGTGCGGTCTCTCACTCTGGATACGAACTCATTCACACAAGACATCATTGAAGTGCTTCTCACCATCGGGAATCGTGTTAGCAACATGGTCTGGGAGGCGAAACTGGACCGATCACTGAAACCTGGCCCGCAATCTACTCGCGAACAGCGCTTGCATTTCATCACCGCCAAATACTCTGACCGTGCTTTTGTGGCGCCCATCTCACCTACGCTCTCCCACTACTCAACACCCGAGGAAACCCTGCTGGCTTCTATCAAGAAGAACGACATCCAGAATGTCTTGTACGCCTTGGCCCTCCGCGCCGATCCGAATTCCAAAGACCGCTCTCGCGGCACACATACTGTGTTCCTTGCGCTGGCTGCTGCTGACCCTGCGTCACCATCTGCGACCGCTTCACCAGCCAGCTCTCCCGGCCCGGGGACACGTACGGCAGCCCCTCCTCCCAGAAAATCGTTCCCTGTTGCAGAATTGCTGCTCCAGAATGGGGCCGACCTGCCCTCACAACCGGCACCGATCCCGATGAGTAACTCCGCCAAAATCTACCTCGAACAGAAAGCCGATCAAAAGGCCGGGATCAGACCCTCCATGGGCACTAGCAAGCGCTCGGATAGCCCTGGCGGTGATAAGCTTACAGCATTGCCAACAATTGCAGCCGGCAACGGCAGCACGCCAGCTTCGCGAGAGCGTGAGCGAGAACGACTCCAGAAGAGAGTTAGCGCAGGTGCCAGACTAGTGAAGCAGCATTCCGACAATGCGGAAGGTAGGAGAGGATTGTAGGATGAGAAGATGATTCTCTTCTTACGTTGATTAACTTTTTTTGTCTTTATAGCGTTTATGGACCATACGACGTATACGGAGTTTGCCCTTGCGCTTGAGGCACTCGAGCCTGCTGCACTCGAGTTCGCTGTCCATCCCAGGCGTTTTCGGCGGCAATCATCGAAGAAGAACGAGCGTTGCTTTTCTGACTGACTCGCCATTATTGTGGCAACGAGTACAATGTGCGGTTATACATGAACGGTTTTTGGGATACTCGGTAACGGCGGCACGGACGACGGCACGGTCTACTCCTGTATTACTGCATTCAGCCGTTCGAAGCGGTGATATTCGTCCAGTCTCTCATGCGAGACTTTTCCTTTGTCTGCTGTGGATGATTCACCTGCCCCTTCTGTGGAGCAGCAATATAATCTGTAATGAGCAATGTGGTCTCTTTGGGTTAGGACTGAGTGGCGGCGATCCCATGCACTCTTGGATGGGAAGATGTCCATACCTAGACTGTGTAAGAATGATACTTCTATCCGGTAGCGTTGTTGTGCCTTCGTTGAGTCTGTGACTGTAATTGTGACCCTCAGCAAGGTAGTGAATGAATGAGTCCCAGCCACAAACTCATATTCCGTTCGTCTACCGACATTCTATTGAGAAAGCGTTGCGTTCGAGTCATAAGCCAAATGCACTGCCGTCATCTCAACATCACGTGATCCACCTTGGAACTACCGAATTTCTAAAAAGCTTCCCAACCCCACGAGCGCCCCTCATCGCACTTTGATCCACACAGTAATCATGGCGCCCTCATACGACAACCTACCCATCGAAGATGACGAATTCGACGAAGACGAGGTCGATTTCTCGGATCTCCAAGAACAATATGAAGTCCGTCTAGAGGAGGGTCTCGACGCCTTTGTGGTGGTCGATGGCCTGCCTAAAGTCCCGGACGAGAACAAGCCCAAATTGACGAAATTTTTGCTTCGAAAGCTGAATACCGTTGGTAAGGTGAAGGAAGATGGCGTGTTCATGCCTTTGGACGACAATGGGACGACTGAAGGGTAGGCCTCCATTTGTACTCGGGGATCTCATAAATGGTCACTGATGGGTCTTCTAGATACGCTTTTGTCGAGTACAGCGCCCCCGGCGAGGCTGTAGCCGCTGTCAAAGCCCTCCATGGAACTGCCCTCGACAAGAGACATACCATGGCCGTCAACAAGCTCACCGACATCGACCGCTATGGCCGCGAGGGCAAGATCAGCGAGGATTACCACCCCCCCACAATCGAGCCCTTCCAAGAAAAGGAACATCTCAGGTCCTGGCTTGGAGATTTGGAAGCGCGAGACCAGATGGTCATGTACCGAGGCGACAAGGTCGGCGTGTTCTGGAATGATAAGGAAGATCCACCAGAGCAGGTCGTGGACAGGGACAACTGGACCGAGTTCTTTGTGCAGTGGTCGCCGTTGGGGACGTTCCTGACCTCGATACACGCACAGGGTGTGCAACTGTGGGGTGGCAAGGCGTGGAGTAGGCAAAAGCGGTTTGCTCATCCTGGAGTAAACCTCGTTGATTTCTCTCCGAATGAGAAATACCTCACCACCTGGTCGCATAGGCCGCTTCAGGTGGATGAGAACAACCCGGTGCCATCGCTGTCGGCGGATGATGATGGCAAGAACTACATCATCTGGGATATTGCTACTGGAAAGCCGCTGCGGTCGTTCGCCACAATCGATGTCCCCAGCTCGACAGATGCAGAGGGCAACCCGGTCAAGAAGAAGATGCAATGGCCGACGTTCAAGTGGTCTTCGGACGACAACTACGTCGCCCGGATGACCCAAGGCCAATCTATCTCCGTTTACGAACTGCCACGAATGAACCTCCTCGACAAACAGTCAATCAAAGTCGAGGGCGTCATGGACTTCGAATGGGCGCCAGCAACACCTCGTCGCGATGGCATCAAGACATACGAACAGCTCTTCTGCTACTGGACACCCGAACTTGGCAGCAACCCCGCAAAGGTCGGCCTCATGACCATCCCCTCCAAGGAAATCGTGCGAACCCGAAACCTCTTCAACGTCTCGGACGCAAAGCTGCACTGGCAATCTGAAGCCGCCTACGTCTGCGTCAAGGTAGACCGCCACTCCAAGTCCAAGAAGTCGCTCGCCACGAACCTCGAGATCTTTCGCGTGCGCGAAAAGGGCGTGCCCGTCGAAGTTGTCGACTCGATCAAAGACACCGTCATCAACTTCGCCTGGGAGCCCAAGGGCAACCGCTTCGTGCTCATCACCGCCGGCGAAATCCCCGCCGGCGCGGCCGTGCCGCCCAAGACCGCCGTGTCCTTCTTCGCGCCAGAAAAAGCCAAGGGCGGCGTCATCGGCAACTTCAAGCACGTCCGCACCGTCGACAAGAAGAATAGCAACGCCATCTACTGGTCGCCCAAGGGCCGCTTCGTCGTGGTCGCCGCGCTCCAGTCACAGCAGAGCTTCGATCTCGACTTCTGGGACCTCAACTTCGAGAAGCCCAAGGACGAGAAGGAGCCGTCGGAGAAGGATGTCTCCGCTAATCTGCAACTCATGGCGACAGCAGAGCACTACGGCGTCACGGATATCGAGTGGGACCCGACAGGTAGATATGTGGCTACGGTCGCCAGCGCTTTCAGGCATCATGTAAGGACCCCCCTGATCCCCCCTCTAAATTTCTAAGTGCTAAATGCTAATGTTCGCCCGCAGATGGAAAACGGCTACCACATCTACGACTTCAAAGGCACGCTGCTGCGCGAAGAGTCCATCGACCGCTTCAAGCAGCTCATCTGGCGGCCGCGCCCGCAGACCCTCCTCTCGAAAGAAGAGCAGGCCGAGATCCGCAAGAACCTGCGCACCTACTCCAAGATCTTCGACGACCAGGACCTGTCGAAGAAGAACACGGCGAACCGGCAGGTGGTTGAGCAGCGGCGCCGGCTGCTCGAGGAGTGGAAGGCGTGGCGCGAGCAGATGCAGGAGATGCTCGAGGAGGAGGGCATCGTGGACGCGAAGCTGGAGATTGCCAAGCAGAAGGACGGCGAGGGCGACATTGAGGAGATTGAGGAGATTGTCGAGGATGTCGTCGAGGAGACGGAGGAGGTGGTGCAGTAGTAGTGTGTGTGTGTGTGTGTGTGGATTGCGGGGCGGAATTCTGGCTCGTGCGAGCGTTTGGTAGTTTGTGAGCAACTGAGTTGCACTGTTGCTAGCAAAACGGAAGTGCGTGTAGCCAATGATTGGAATGATCCTTTTTTCCCACAAATGCTTTTCATCACTCGCATAGACTGTGACCGCAAACATGCTAATGGGGTGGGAGACTTTCTTTTTCTATTCTTACAAAACTCATACTTTTCTTCTCCCCTAATACAAGCGTTACAAGTTTCTATGCACCTCCCCATCTAAACCTCCATGCTATGCCTCCATGCTATGCTCGCGCTATGCACAAAGTCGACCGATCTCCACCATCCATCTACTGCAAATACCCCTTCCGCTCCAACCACCCCTTGACATCCCCCGCATCCCTCTCAATCCAGTTCGACTTCGCCCGTATCGCATCCAGACTCTGCGCAAGCGCCTGATCAAACCCTTTCGTGCTCTTCTTCGCAAAGAAGTCCTGGATATCGCGCCTCTGCTGCGGCTGCGTGAAGCTCGCCGTGCTGATGCTGACCACCGAGCCCAGCATGGTCAGCCCCGGGGGCAGTTTCTTCTCGAGCTCGTCCCAGTTGGCCTTCATCCAGGCCCACAGGGCTTTGATGCCCTCGGGGTGCGAGCGCAAGCTAGCCATGGGCAGGTAGATGTCCTGGCCCTTGACCTCGTCGCTGAGGGGCAGGGCGAGGGTGCGCTGGATCAGCTCGGGGGCCTTGGCGCGGCCGATGGAGCGGAGGGCCGTGTTGCGCTCGTCGCTGGTGGCGGCAGTGCGGTATTCGTTGAGGATGACGTCGTACTAGGAGAAAGTTAGTTGGGGGTTGGGGGTAGGTTTGGGGCAGAGCTTACCTCTTCAGCGCCCCCGTTGCTTAAGACGATGGCGTAGACGCTACCGCGGATGTTGGGGTGGATGGCCGACTTGTCGCCCTTCTTGAACTTCTCGAACATGGCGAAGGCGGCTTTGACGATTTGCTCGTCTTTGGCGACTCCTGCGCTGCCGAACATCAGGGATTTGAACTGCTGTTCGATGTGGCCGTCGGAGTCTTTGAAGTCCCAGCCGAGCTGGTGCGCCTTTTCTCCGACCAAGTCTAGCTGGAACTTCTTGAGGGCGGTCCGCACGGCCTCGTCCTCGAAGATCCAGGCGGCGCGGAGAGTGCTGATACGGCCGGTGATCTCGCCCCAGACCACGAACTCTGGCTCGCTCTTGAAGCTCTCGAGGAGCGACAGGATGCCAGACGTCTTTTGGTACCCGGATGCGGCAAGAGCGCCGGCGTCAGCGATCATACCCGCACGATCTTCCACGGTCAAGAAACCTTCCCTGGCTGCTTTACCAAGCTTCTCCAGTCGCTCAGGGGTGTAAGAAGTCCGGTAGATGCCAGAGTGATCGGCGTTCAGTTTGAAGAAATCGAGGTCCTTGACTTTGAAGTTGGCTTCGCGGGAATCCAAAGTCAGGTCCTCGTTGACACCGTCCTTGGTCCGGAGGCCAAGGAAAACGGGAAAGAGAGTCTTGTCCTCCTCAGGCTTCACATCAGCAGTCCGCAGGAAGCGGTTCTGCTTGACATGGATGGAACCAGCCTTCTCGTCCTCGGTCACTGTGACGACGGGGAAACCAACGTTCTTGGTCCAGATGTCCATGACCTTTTCCAGCTCCTTGCCGCTGGCATCACTCAACGCAGCCCACAGATCGCCGGTTTGGGTGTTGCCGTACGCGTGCTTTTTGAGGTAGCGTCTAATGCCCTCCATGAAGACATCTTCGCCAATATACTTCGAGATCATGCGCAAGACGCACGAACCCTTGGAGTACGAAATGGCGTCGAAGATCTGGTTGATCTCGTCGGCGCGCTTGACCGGAACCTCAATAGGATGGCTGCTTCGTAGAGAGTCTAAGGAGAGAGCGCTCTGTAGGTTGTCGGTGACGTAGCCTTCCCAGACCTTCCACTCGGGGTAGAACTCGTTGCACGAGTACCACGACATCCACGTGGCAAATCCCTCGTTGAGCCAAAGCCCGTCCCAGAAGTCCATAGTAACAAGGTTACCGAACCATTGATGGGCGAGCTCGTGCTGTACGACCTCGGCGACTCGCTGCTTGGTGGAAGCACCGCTAGTCTTCTCATCGAACAGCAAGTCTACGACACGGTACGTCACGAGGCCCCAGTTCTCCATAGCGCCAGCACTGAAGTCAGGAATGGCCACCATGTCCATCTTTGGCAAAGGGAATGGGCTGTTGAACTTCTTCTCGTAGAAATCCAGTGTGCGGGCAGCAAGCTCGAGCGAGAACCGGCCATGCTCGATGTCCCTATCAGGAGGAGCAAAAACACGGACGGGGACGCGGAAGTTGTTCGTCTCGATGACGTTGAGTTCTCCAACGATGAAAGCCAGGAGGTAGGTAGACATGAGCGGGGTCTTGCCGAAGGTCACAGCCTTCTTCTTGCCTCCGCCCGCCTCAGTCTCTGACACTTGGTCCATGTTGCTCAAGCACGTCAGGCCCTTGTCGGCGACTAATGTGATGGTGAACTCTGCCTTCAGGGCGGGTTCGTCGAAGCACGGGAAGGCCCGCCGAGCGTCTGTCGGCTCCATCTGCGTGGTCGCCATGAACTTTTCCGAGCCATCAGCACCCTTGTATGACGAACGGTAGAAGCCAGCCATGTTGTTGTTCAGCTCGCCAGTGAAGGTCTGCGTAAGCGTAGCCTTGGACCCCGCGGGGATGGTCTCGCTGAACGACACAGTAGTGGTCTGGGTGTCTTCATTGTAGCTGACCTTCGGCGACGAAGAAATGAGCTTGTCGCCGGAGCTGACCTTGGTGGAGTGGATTTCGAGGTCGATGGTATTGAGGGCGATCTCGGTGGTGTCTTCAACGACGTCCAGGCTGTCAATTGGGTCAGTGACGTGCCCTATGTCTCAGAGCTGCAGCTCGACAGCACGACTTACTCAATCACAACGGTGCCCTCGTACTCGAAGGTCTCCAGATTCGGCTCGAGGGTCAGATGGTAGTGCAGCGGCTTGACATTCTTGGGCAGGACCTCGCGGCCCTTGGTGATGTCTATGGAGGAGCTCGACACCTCCGTGCCGAAGGCGTGCTTGCACATGTTGCGCTGGTAGGAGCAGTGGCGGACGTGTTTGGGGGCGCGGTGCAGCGGTCTCTGGGGGCGTGGGAGAGAGGTGTTGTTTGGCGGGGTTGCGGGGCATTTGTAGACGCTGGATTTGGTGTGCGAGGCGTGCGAGAAGCTGCGGCGGTCAGGCGCGCACGACGAAGCGGCCAGCAGCGGCCTCAACCGTGTCTCCAGCGGCCTCGTCGGCGCCCTGCGCAGGCTCGTCGCGGCGAGGCGCCCTCCATTGGGCCAGAGGTGGAGCATTTGGCGGCGGTGGATGGCGCGGAATCGATGGCGACGACAGTGAATGCTGGGCCTGGGAGCGCGAAAGATGCCGCAGATCACGCTTTCTCGCTTCGCCAAAATTCTCATCCATAAAAGCTCTCCGGGCCATGGCCGAGCTTCCTTTCATACACGCAGGCCAAAGTTTTCAGCCCTCCCCGATCTCACAGAGGGCTGTTGTACAGGTGCTTCGGCGCCGTGCTTGCTAGAGAGACTGTATCCAAACGTTTGAGCCTGCCACGACCTCGATGAGTGGACCGGTATAAAAGATTTGGCACATACGTTACCCGACGAAGTGCATGACACCTCCGCCATTCGGATTTAGCCTTAGATAAAGTTATCTTGTAGTAGACTCTTTGAGATTATTTACCTATAGAAGATTCTGTGTTCCAGCCTCGGAAACGATTGCTCAGAATGCGAAGAAGAAGAGACGGAAGAGTGCTCTAAACACAACACGGAAATCATTCAAGACGCTATTAGAACAACTCTTTGCACTCTCAGCAACTGGAATGCCAAGGGTTCTTTGACCCTGGACATCAGCGTTCATTCTCCCAGTGATTCGAAACATTGGCTGAGAAATGCGCAATTCGGATCGGATATTGTGCCGAGCTTCGAAAGCGAGCAAAGTCTTTCCAGCATTCAGGATCTGCGGCATAGTCGCCCGCCATTTCATCTATCAGCAGACTATTTGCGGATATCGATTTTGCACAAGACTTCTGGCAAGGATTACCAGCTACACTATGAACCTTAAAGAGAATGAGGGCAACCAGATCAACGCATTTCTGACCAGAGTAAGTTGCAAAGACACTACCCTTAGTTTAGTCCTTAAATCGCTAATAACCTATAAAATCTAAGAGGTTCAAAATTACTATTTGATTCACTTGTAATGAACAGCTTAAAGAAGCTAGTTATATTTGAAGATTTCAACGATACGTACATTGCTATTTGGCAGGGAGTGCATGAGCTTTTTCGCGCAGAACCTGTTCGAATAGCAAACTCTGCGGTCACTAGAGCCCTCGCAGAAGCTAGTCTTACTCTTGAATATCTATCAGCGGCGTTTATCGTGGACGCTGGGCCGTTCTTGGACGCATGCCAATCAAATTCAAACTGGACGTGGAAAGAGCTCGTGTCGCTCACCATTACCTCTCGTCAGCTGGTGCCCGATGGCGATCCGACAAACATTAATGATATGCTTGAATAAGCAGCGGAGACTGCCAAGAAGATGCCGAGGCTGAAGAGCATGGAACTATGGAATGGCGGGAGATCATTTGCTTGTGTCTTCAGATACCAGGCGCCTAATATCTGCAGACCTGCTAGAATCATCTGGAGAAGCAACTGGGACCTACTCCTGGAGCCCAGGGTGACTCGATCCTGGAATACTGTGGCGCAACAGCACAATCTGTATGAACTTCAAGTTACTAAAGAGTTGTTGGGGGCCGATACTGTGATCAAGTCTCACGGCGATGCCGTCCGTGTTCTGGATTTTTTGCATTACGTAGCTTGTCCCGTCTCTTTGTGGCAGATCCAAGTAGAGAATAGGCTTTAGCGTACGATTTTGTTTGAGCGTCCGGCCCTCGTTGCCATGTTCTCAAGGTGCTGAAGGAGCTTACTGAGGTGTGCTAATATACACACACGCTGGGCACGAAAAAAGTGGCACACTCATCAAGTACTCTGCCCGTGTGTACACCTGTCTGCCACTGCATGGAGTGCTTCAACAAGTTTCCACACAGCCCAATGCTAAGAGCATCTGTCTTCTTTAGCTTTCTGAAAATATATTGAAGCAGCCCAGGCAATGGCAGACTGGTGTACACACGAGACAGCTTGTTCTGGAATTAGTGTGCCACCTTTTCCATGCCCCGCGTGCCTCCTCAGACGCTCAGGCTTGCACAGCCACAAGATCAGGCTCGCTTAGTCATTGCTCAGTTTAAAACCCTGTACGCTCAGGTTCAAAAGCGGAAATGGACTTTGGTGAGATCATTTTTGCCCTATGTAAGAGTACTGTGCGTATATTATCGACCAACAGGCCAACAACGCCCGGCTTAACTTCGGCTCACCCGCTGCTTACATAGTTCGCACCGCCACAGCTTAGGGTGCTCACTTTCAACTCACCCTTCCGTCTAAACTTCGTTAACCAATCCAACTATAGTGCACGCGGAACTATTTTTGTCGGAGACTTCAGTCAACTCTCCGCGAAAGGCAGTTCCAGGGGATGAGCTGACGATGAGGCCCAGAAGTGGGCTAGTCATGCAAGATGGTCGCGGAAGCTATCCTGGAATGTAGCTCTCGGACTATGCTCTTACTACGCTGTTAGTTGAACGTCGAACGCCGTAGGGTATTATTGCCCTACCTTTCCCTCTCTCCTTCATCTCCTATCTCTTCATGTCACGATCGTAGTGGGCGCTTATCAATCTTAACAACTATCTCGCGGCGGCAGGGCAACCCTACTTGCCTTCTTGCCTCAACAGTTGAGGTTATGACTGGATGGCGCATTCAATAATCAGCTAGTACGAATTACGTTAGCGTTGAGCGGGTCGCCATTTTGGGAAATGTGTTCAGAGTACATGAGAGCAGACGCGGGGACTAATTATATCTTAACCACTTCACGTTAGATTTGCGCGCAGTTCTCTTTTAAAGCATGTTGATTTCTAATATAATCTGAATGACCAAAAGTTGGGTTTCAGCTAGAGCCAGATTTCAGCGCAATGGGCCTTCATAATCTTCTATAAAGGCACTGCCCCCCCCCCCTCTCAATAGCCTCTACAATCAATCCACTTCTTCATGACGATTGTGCCTCCAAGTCCAACAAGGCCCCTTTGCAGTGGATAAAAAACCTTCAGCGCTCCTTGCTTTGGACTTTCATTTCTACGCAGTGTCTTCTCCTACATACAATTCCAGATCTCTCCGGCTATCAGAATCTTCAGGTCGCTCAGAATGTCTTCTCAATCCGCGATTGCCGTGACAGAGGTTGGCAAGCCTGTGACTAAGATCACTTTACCCAAGCCAGAAGAATCAGAGCTTGCAGAGTACGAGCTACTTCTTAAAGTATCCGTTGCAGGACGTAAGTGCATAACTTCCTCTAGTCTCCTGTGCGTATCCCTCTCTAAAAACCTTACTAGTCGCTCCGCTCGATGCAAAGATGCGGGACATAAACGTATTTGGCTTACCTCTCCCAATCGTCCTCGCGGGCGATATTGTGGGCATAGTGGTCAAGAGCGGTACAGATGTACGGTTCCCCGTCGGCAGCCATGTCTTTGTTCAGCAGGACATGAAGAGTCCAAACAGGGGTGGTCTTCAAGAATACACCATCGTCGACGGTCGCTATGCCGCTATCGTCCCTGAAGGCATCTGACGCGGAAACCGCACTGTACCCAATCAATGCAGTAACATCTGCGAAGAGTCTTTTCACTCCCGAGGGTTTCAGCTTCCCGTTCCCTGGCACAGCGGAGGCCGCCAACTTCGACTTTTCGGCTCAGCATGTCGTAATCCTTGGTGGCGGCACCAATTGCGGCAAATTGGCTATTCAATTCGCGAAGCTCGCCGGCATTGGAAGTATTGTCGCAATCGCTTCAGCATCTGGTGGGCCTTTGCTGCGAAATCTTGGAGCGACCCACGTCATTGATCGACGAAGTGCCAGCATCAAGGATCAAGTCCACGCAGCGATCGAAGGCGAAGTGCTCAACGTGTATGACACGTACGGAAGCCTTGATGTTAGCGTGTCGCTTCTTTCAGAGAAGCAGGAAGGTACTCTGGTGCACACTACTCACGGGAAAGTCTCCGAAGAAGTGATTGCGAAGAAGAAAGCCAAGTTTGACCAAAAGTTTATGAAGGGATTTTCGGATTCGATTCCTCTATTTGGTCAACAATTCTGGAAACAATTCCCTGTCTGGTTGAAAGCTGGAGATATCAAGCCTCTGAACTACAATGTCATTGAAGGCATGAATGTCAACAAGATCAATGAGGTTCTGGATTTGTACCGAGATGGTAAAGGTAGAGATCGCTATCACATATTGTTGTCAACATCAGACGGATTGTAGAAGCTCCCGTTTATATAGCATTCCCACCCAGATCAACATGTAGCCGTCAGCGACGGTTTCGTTTGGAAATTCTTGTGGAGTCTAAGCGAGATTTTCAGTACTTGCATGTTTTTTCTCCGTTGTGTTAAACGGACCTTTAGTAACGATTGAGCTTGCCCGATCCCCATATGATCAGCAATCCACACCAAAGCCTCCCTCATATTACGACGCTGCTGCACCTTGGTGATTGAGAGGCCGGAGGCTATGAACAGAGGATGCATGAGCAGTAATCCTCCTAGGGACTTTCCTGGTGTCACGCAAAACGGAGCACCACTTTCTGCGTTTCGCACCAAGTCTGGTACATCGGCACAAAGATGGAAGCATAGAGAGGCCGCTATGTCATCTACCAGGTCTTGTGCTGTGGAAACTTGAGGCTGGAAGGAGTTTCGCATGTTCAGCTTGGATGCGCAGCTGAAGATGACGTCGATGATCATAAGGCGAACCTTGCGATACGTATTCCAAATCGTAGAGATGTACACTTAATTGTCGGTAGTGCGTCGACTATACATGATAAGAGTACTTACGATCGGCATAGACATCAACACGCCCGAAGAGCCAAAAAAATCCCTCTTTGAATTCCGTCATTAGCGGGTCAAATTTACCAATCGTTCTATATTGCCATCTGTGTAGCCGCGTTGTCGCCCAATTAGCTAACTCGTCGTCTAAGTTACTTGCTGTCCGCATGATAGTGTGAAGCTCCTCTGCAATAGCCACCTTGGCTGAAAGTAGCGTCCGTATTTTTCGAAGAACGGTGGAAGATCTTGAGAATAATATGTCCAGACTTTGGAGTGGATGTGCAGAAGGTTGGTTCAAGCAGTCGTCAGACTATCATATCTATGAGTAGAGCTGTATAGGTTACAAAAGGCGGGTGATCATACGTAGAGAACAGACTGAAATGCCTTGCGAAAGCAACCAGCCCACGATAGGGTAAATAAAGGCGCTCCTGCTGTAGACAGCAAGGCATATACACCCTGAGAGTGCGTACCATGATTGGAAGCATGTTCTTCTGTCGCGGAAATCATCTGCTGCGGCATAAACATGAGTCAACATATCACACAGAGTTGACAGACCTCGAATATGCCCAAGAGCACTATGACTAGCATTGACTCTGGTGTACCAGAAATGCTTCCGTGCGCAAGCCTTGTTTGCAATGACTCCAGAAACTGGGTGTATAGCACTCTTGCTTTGTTCACAAGAGATGGCCTACTTGACTTTTTGCCCATACTGGCCAATGCGGTGATGTTGGCTGCTCTAGCAAGATCAGAAGAAGAATCTGCAGCCACTATGATTGGTTTAAAATCATCCAAAATGCTTCCAACGAGGTCGGATGACTGCGAGGCAAGACAGTAGTCATCAAGGAAGGTGGCCAAGGCTCGATCCTCAAGTTCCGAGTCCATTTTGACATCATAAACGTCACTCAGGGCGGGACGGTAGGGTCGAGTGGCTGTTATGTTGCCGTATGGCCTGAACTGAAGCTCCGAAGAGCTTTGGTAGCCAAGGCAAATACGTTGCGCTCGTATGCATCTTTGGCAAGACTATAAGGAGATGGTCATTACAGAAGGGCCTAAGGGTGAAAGCGAGAGGTTGCGGTGCAAGATTAGAATCGAACACACAGTAAGTTGCCGTTATCATGAAGCGCATTCCAAAGTAGCAGGATGTAGACTGGAAACATACAGGACGATGTTCATCACACTGTAGAACCATGGTTAGCCCGTACTTGTAGTTACAACGAGATGAATACCTTTTTCCGCCGCCTTTTGCATGTTCCGCAAGCGCTCGAGACTCCATAATTAACCATATCAACGGTCAGGGATGAATGGATCGCTCTTGAACTGTATCATCAAATAGATTTTTCGAACTGTCTGTATGAACAGCTCGAGACAGCTACCAGTCTGAGGTAATAATGGGCAGTGGACGGCATGGGACACGACTCGAGGACTAATCTAACTTGGTTAGCGTTGCGCGCTCGTCCAAAATAAAAAAAAATCGTCTGCATCGGTTACCTGACGATCATGTAACGAAACGTAGGAGATGGTTACCAGGTCGACCTTCTGCCAGATCCTTATCGCTAATCTTCGATCTCCTGCTGGGCACCTCTCTATGCGCAGTGACTCCCTGCCTTGGCGCTTTGTAGCCTGACATTGGGGTGTACGTGCTCTAATTGACTGGTTGGAGATGCGTGTGCTAATAATTTTGTAGGCCCAGCACACTTCTGAACAGTTGCTCGGCTAAAAGCTTGATTTCAGGCAATTAGGCCATTAGGCAGGGATTCCCTGCGCATGGAGGGATACCAGTATGACAATCAAGGTACAAAGGGTAGTCTTAGTGAAGTCCTAAAGTCGTGGTTGAAATTGGCAAGAGTGCTACTAGTGGCTGAAGATTCTTGTAGCTTATGGCATAGCTCGCTTGTTAAGATTCTTTTTCTGGCAGTTTTCAAGGAAAGTATAAACGAGCTTGGAGGCCTGAATCTTGCTCAAGCTTGCTCAGGCTGCCAAGACCTGCTGAGGGCCTCAAGCTCGGGTTCGCTTAGTCACGGCTCAGTTTTAGTTAGTTAGTTATACCCTGTATGCCCAGGTTCAAAAGCGGAAATAGACTTTAGTGAGGTTAGTGTTCCCCTAAAGTATATCGCGTCACTACAAGAAGTGCAGAATCAAGACCACGCTTTTGGTCCAAAGACTCTGAAGACGGAGTTATATGTTGGATAGGATGATTCTTGTCGCGGTCTCCTCCTCGCCCTCCTCGGCCAAGTACCTAGGTACCTGATGCAGAGAGGCAAGCCACGCGGTCACGGGCGCATAATATATTGGGCGGGCGGTGGCTAGGAGGTAAACGCAGCTGAAGCAGCCACGAGAGCCTTGTGTTGCAAGCTGCCTTGCACCCACTCCTCGTCCACTGCGCCTCAGGCCGCCTACACTCGCTTTCTGGCCTCATCTCCATGCTCTTGCAATGACCCTCTCCCTCTAGTCCCATCGAATATCGAGCATCTCCTCACACATTTGCTAGGCGCCCAGCCCCCTCGAACTCCATCCTAGCCTGCCCCGCCCATCTCACGACCAGAGCCGCCAGCCTCATTGCGAACCCGAACCGCGCCCAATTTATCCCACAATGTGTCTCTTCAAAGTCAGGGCGGAAGAGGACGTCGTGGTCCCCTACCGCGTCCACCGCCCGCGATCGCCCTCCCCGCGCCGCCGATCCACCCAGCGCGTGTCTCGCACCGAAATCATCAGAGAATCGCGACCGCAGTCCTCCGCCTACATCGTGCCCGCCCCGCAGAAGCACTACCCGACCATTCCAGCACCCCAGCCCGTGCCCGTCTTCGTACAGCCGCCCCCGCCGCGCCCGGCTTCAAGTCATGGGGGCCGTCCGCAGTACGTCGAGGTCAGCCCGCGCTCCAGCGTGACGAGCGCCACCCACAGCGACTATGTGATTGAAGAGCGCGAGGTGCGGAGGGAACGGAGGGACTACTCTCCTCGAAGGAGAAGCCCGAGTCCGCAGTATGAGACGTTCCGGTATATTGACCCGCCTGAGCAGCGCTATGCGCCGCGCGAGAGGAGCAGGAGTCGCGACCGGAGGAGCTACGCGGACGACCGCGGGATTGTTCGCGAGACGAGGGAGAGGGTGCTGATCGTGGATGACGATGGGAGGAGGAGGCGGGAGTATCGCCGGTAGAGGGTGGTAGCTCAGATGCCGCAGTGGATGCGGAGGTGCATTTCCAGGAACGAGGGCCACGGCTTGATGACGTTACGTCGATGCTTCTTATATGAGATATTCTCGCATTTCCGCTTCTTTGACAGGCGCTTTGGATAATCTACATTTTCTGCCTTACATACATTACTTTGCCTTCCGATCTCAATAAAAACGCCTTCCAGCCCTACCAAAAAGTGACGTGAATGAAACCAGCAAGCGATGTGGGACCCTCAGCGTACCTCCAACACGCCGTGGCCCTGCGCTCTCACCATGTGCTCTCTCACCACGCTCCCAAATCCTACCCTTTCTCCTCCACGAACACCTCTGAAGTTAAACTGAATACCTAGACATGCAGCGTCCCGCAACACCGCTGCCCATCCGTGTTGCTCCTCCCCTCCCACAATGTCTATCCGCGTCCTGATCAAGGACTACCCGAACCGCGCCATCGCCCTCGCGACCGCCTCCCACGTCCTCATCTTGCGCCACAGCCCCACGAGCACCGCGGACCACGGGTCGCATAACAACTCTTCGACTTCCTTGACCAGCAATGGCGCCGCGTCCGCCCGGTGCATGGTTGAGTTCGCCGCGGTGGACCAGGTCGATCTCAGCGAGTACAGGTCACTGAGCGCGCTGTCGGTCCACGGAACCCTAGGCCTTATAACCGTGAACGGGGATGTGTTCTTGGTGGTTGTCAGTGGGGCGAGCAAGGTCGCGAGTGTGCGGCCGGGCGAGACGGTGCTGAGGATTCATTCGGTCAATTTTTGTGGGTGGTGCCTATGCCTCCGACTTCCACAGAAACATATGTCCAAGTCGAAGTTTGGGGAGATGTTGGGGCTTATGGGCTGTGCTAACGGGGTCTTGTTGCAGATTGCTTGAATAGTTCCAACTACGACCACCTTTTGAACGATGAGATAAATCCGTATCCGACCGACACGATTGATGATGAGGGCTTTGAGATGGGATATGGCCGCGGCAAGGGGGAGAGTCCGCTGGAGCATCCGTGTTTGGCGCTGAAGAAGCTGTTGAGTAGTGGCACTTTTTATTATAGTGCGGATTTTGACCTTACGAGGCGGCTTCAGGATAGGTGGGTGGAACTACATGCTTTAGACTGTGAAAGAGAAGTGCTGACTGTTCCATTCTAGGTCCTCAGATGCGTCTACTGTTGCGATTGACAGCTTAGACGCCGGGTTTCTATGGAATTCGTACATGATCCAACCTCTGGTCGATTTCAGATCACGGCTATCACAGCGGGAAAAGGATGCTTTGGATGCGTCGAGGATCTTAACGTCTGCGATTCGTGGATTCGCGCTTACTATCACCGTGCCAGCGCATTCAAACCCTCTTCGCTCAAGCAAATCAGGGATGCCGTCTGCGATGACTCTCATATCCAGACTATCTTGCAGAAGAGCTGGGACAAGATTCAATGCCCGAGGAATCGATGATGACGGAAACGTAGCCAACTTCGTCGAAACAGAGACGATCTTCTGGTCACCAACTGGCGTCTGCTTCTCCTATGTCCAGGTCAGGGGCAGTGTTCCAGTCTTCTGGGAGCAGGTCGCCGGTCTCATCCCCGGACAGCAAAAGATCTCCATCACCAGGTCATCAGAGGCAACGCAACCAGCATTCGATAAACACTTCGAGAACCTGGAATTGGCCTACGGCGCCGTGCACGTAGTCAACCTCCTCAGCAACGAGAAGCCAGGAGAGCTAGACCTGACGAATCGCTACCGCCATCACATCAACCGCAGCGCTCTCAACAACACCCACGAGAAGGAGTCCGGGCATGATCACGAGCTACTGCAACTCACTGACTTTGACTTTCACGCTGAAACTCGTGGAGTAGGCTATGAGTCTGCGAGTATCATCTCCCAGCTGATCTCGCACTCCGCAGACGGCTTCGCGTACTACCTCTCAGAAGAAACGGACGAAAGCCCGAGATCTGGGCAAAATGGCGGTGGGCAGACAATTCGCCGACCCTTCACAATTCTGCAGCAGGAAGGCATTTTCAGGACGAACTGTTTGGACTGTCTGGATCGGACGAACTTGATACAGACCATTATTAGCAAGATGGCTCTTGAGGCTTTTCTAAGTCATAAGGGACTTACTGCTAGTCAAGATTTTTGGGTCAGGCATGGGAGTATGTGGGCGGATAATGGAGATGTAGGTTCACCCAATTGATTCAGACACGAAGAAAGGACTAATACAATTTCTAGGCGCTATCACGAATTTATGCGGGTACTGGAGCCTTGAAGTCTTCTTTCACGAGACATGGAAAGATGTCAATCGCTGGTGCGTTGGCAGATGCGCGGAAGAGCGCCACTCGGATGTATATCAACAATTTTGCGGACAAAGGTCGGCAGAATACGATTGATATGCTTTTGGTATGCTCGAGTCCCCTCAGCCGGTGGGGTTTAATGCTGACCGGTCTCAGGGCCGATTGATGGGCCAGGTGCCTGTTCACCTCTATGATCCAATCAATGACTATGTACTGAACGAGTTGAACAAGAGGTATGTATACACAAGACGCGATAATATCATTTTGCGAGACTAATACATGGCAGATCTGCTGAGTATTCAGAAAATGCAGTAATCCATATACTAGTGGGAACTTTCAATCTCAACGGCAAGACGAATGGCATCGATCAAGATCTATCCGCATGGCTATGTCCCGATGTCGACTCCTCACAAAAATGTCCTGAAATAGTAGCAGTCGGCTTCCAGGAAATTGTCGATCTCAGCCCTCAACAAATCATGTCCACGGATCCTGCCCGCCGTCAAAGATGGGAGCACGCAGTCAAGCAATGCCTGAACCAAAATGCTCGAAAACACGGGCAAGAAGAATACGTCAATCTCCGCGGTGGACAGCTTGTCGGCGCTTCACTTTCCATCTTCGTACGAGCAAATGCGTTGAAGTTGATTAAGAACGTTGAGGGGAGCCTGAAGAAGACTGGAATGTCGGGCATGGCGGGAAATAAGGGCGCCGTGGCGATCCGAATGGAGTATGCAAATACTTCTATTTGTTTCGTGACTGCTCATCTTGCGGCTGGCTTTGCCAATTACGAGGAGAGGAATCGGGATTACAAGACCATAAGCCATGGATTGCGGTTTGCGAGGAATCGATCAATTGAGGATCACGATACAGTCATCTGGTTGGGAGACTTCAACTACCGGATTGGGTTGAGTAATGAGAAGGTGCAGAAGCTTATTCAATTTGGGGATCTAGAGACGCTATATGAAAACGACCAGGTAAGCTTTTTTTAAGTACTGTAAAGGTCCCTAGATACTAATATGCGCAGCTCAATCTCCAAATGGTTGCCGGTTTAACATTCCCTTATTACTCTGAAGCCAAAATCACCTTCGCTCCAACCTACAAGTTTGATCTTGGGACGGACAGATATGACACCTCGTAAGTTCTGGCCACTACATCTTTCAAGTTCAACGCCTGACTCCTTTCAGCGAGAAAGCTCGTATCCCAGCATGGTGCGACCGCGTACTCCGAAAAGGAGATAACCTTCGCCAAATCAACTACAACTCCGCAGATCTCAAATTCTCCGACCATCGCCCCGTGTACGCCACTTTCCAGTGCCTAATCAGCAAAGTCGATGAGAAGAAGAAGGAATCCCTTAGCAACGATCTCTACTTCCAACGCCGTGCTAATGTCGGTGATTCCACTGCCAATGGCCCTATGGATGACTCGGACGATGAGGACTTAATTGGATATGACTCTATCGAGCCTGGCTTGCCGCCAGCAAGCTCGGACAAGAGGAAATGGTGGCTTGATAATGGTATGGTATACCACACGCAACCCTCAAAATCACAGCTAACAACAACAGGTCTTCCCGCCCGCTCCCGCGTCCAACCACCAGCCCCCGACTACCTCCCCAACCCCGCCCGCCCCTCAAACCCCTTCACCCCCTCCCCAGAACCCGACTGGGTCGAGGTCCAGCGCCTCCCAGTCCGCTCCCGCAACGCCCCCCTCTCCTCCAACACCCCAACTCTCCCCTCCCAAGAGCAGCAGAGACAGACCGCCGGAGCCGGCGGCCGCAAACTCATCGCACCCCCCTTCCTCCCCACGCCCGCGCAGGCAACAAGCTTCGTAGACGCCGAGGGCGCGCGGTCGAACCCCACACCCCCACCAGCCTCCACGCCCACACCCACCTTACGAAAGGAAGCCGGAAACCCGAATGGAACTAGAAACGGCACACGCCCAATCCCCATCGTAACGCGCTCCTCAGCCTCCATCCGCAAACCCGCGCCGCCGGTCCCGAAGAAACCGAGTCTCCTGACTACCTCGCCGTCTGTGACCCCGTCGCCGACGGTTAGTGGCACGACGAGGGCAAGCGGGGTGCCGTTCCCCCCGCCGCCGCGCGGCGCGAGCGCTGTGCTGCAGAAGGCGCCGCCGGGGGGAGTTAGGAGTGGTAGTGGGGGGAGGGGTGAGGAGGAGGAGGGGCCGCCGCTGCCGCCGAGGAGGGCGGGGACGGTGGGCGAGAAGCAGAGGGGTGGTGGGCAGATTATGGATGAGCGGGATGAGGGGGAGTTGGAGGACTTGAGGGGGTGGGAGGTTTTGAGACCGGTGAGGTAGGTGGGAAGTGGGGTGAGTGAGAGGCTTTTGCGACTTTGCGTTGGGGGTTTGGGAGCGTGTAATGACTAGAAAAGCGACATGAATGGGTTTTGGATTGTATTTGGGGGTTGGCGTCGCGGGGGGGATGTATGAAACTAGAGAGATGATTGAATTTTGAGGTCATTATTCTTGTGCATGAGGTTTTCCTGGGATGAGCTTGATGAGTGATGGATAGACCGCGTTTAGAGATCAAGAACAATGTGATGGTCCCTGGTTTAAGCATGCTTTTGGAAATTCCTTTACCTGCCTGTTGCTGCCGTCATGGGAAACCTCGTCCCCATAGACGTCTTCGATTGCTATAACTATTAGGACACCACATGCACTTAGTCATCACCTTGTTCCCACATGGAGTGATGGGGTCCGCATACTACTCGGGCCTTTCTAGCCCCCCTGCGCAGGGGGGCTAGAAAGGCCCGAGTAATGTCCTAGCGTTCGAATCGACCAACACCCCGACGACCAAGCAGAGGGCAGTGGTAAGGCCCCCACGGTTGGGTTAACTGCACCTAATCGTTTCGGGGAAGTGCTAGGACAGACAAAGACGCAGTCGTGGCTGTGGCCGTATATATATCTTACCGCTATTCCACCCAGATTGTTGATCGACCTTAAGTATATCTCAACTTCACACCTGTTTTTCTTCTACATTTCCTCTCGTGTAAAAATTCAGAAGACAAGAAAAAGATGGCGCTGTCCACAGGCCTCGACGAGCCCACCCTCGCCGGCCCCTTCTCCCTCTTCAACAACTCCTTCATAGTGGAGTTCCTCAAACCCCACCCGTCAAGAAACGCAACGTGCGTTCCCCCCCAATCACCCCCCCACCATTCCCAAACTCTTTTAGAAAAAATCATAATTGACAACACATGGTAGCGTCCTCATGCGCGCCACATACCCGCACGCCCACCCCTCCACCAAGACAGGGAAAGCCCATCCGCAGTCTCCACCGCTGCACCTCCACTTCGACCAATCCGAGTCCTTCCGCGTGCTCAGCGGCGCCGTAGGCACGACCTCTACATGGGGCGCGGTGGACCGCGTGTGGACGGCGGAGGACGGCGAGCAGGAGGTCAAGCCGTGGGTGCCGCACACGTTCTGGCCGGCGCCTACCGCGAGCGAGGACACGGTGATCTTAGGTATGCCAATTGTCAATTTGATTTAATCCCCTCTGAAAACGAGACCGGGGCGGGGGGGAGGGATGAACGGGATGCTAATTCTAGGGGGCGGTAGTATGGGCGCACCCCACCAACGTCCCCGAGCCGATGGACTGGCTGTTCTTCCAGAATCTGCTGATGCTCGTGAGCGATATTGCGGAGAAGAAGATCGCGATGAATCCGTTGCCGGTTATGTTGATACAGTATGCTCCCCCCTCCCTCCCTTCCCCTCCATTTAAACCATTTTCAAACCCGCTCTTGCAGTCGTTAACACTGTTATGGCAGGCACGTCTCGGCGACGGCGCTGGTGTGGTTCCCGACGGCGACGTGGCTGGGGCCGCTGCGGTGGTGGGTACCGTGGAAGATGCAGGCGGGATTTGCGCAGGTGGCGAGGTGGTGCGGGTATACGCCGCTTACGGAGAAGTATACGCCGAAGGAGGAGTGGGAGAAGTATGTTAGAGTTAAGAAGGAGTAAGGGATAAGTAGAAATAGTTATATCACGTCAGCTTGGGAACTCGAGACTTGAGTATAGTTTTGGGATGCATTTGGACGGCTGATATTGTGCCCTCGGTAGTGTACATTGCGATCTATGGACCGGTGAAAGGGAGGTGGTATTTTGGCAGAAGCCGAAAGAGAGAAACATTGCAGTAAGCAGGTAGAGCTCAACCGAGAAAGCAGAAAAAAAAGTCTCTGTAAAACTCCGCCGCTCTGAGGCCAGATAGACAGTGGCCTCGGGATTATGAAACGCCTAAAGTTCGAAAAGAAAACCTCCCAGTGTTATTTCCCTGTATTAGATCCCGAAGATGGTCAGGGGAACAGAAGGAGTTGATGAACAAGAAAAGGAAATCGAAGACCCATATACTTCCTTAAACCACACCAGCTGACTCGCCCTTTAGCCGCATCACTCGTGCGTCTCCTCCGCATGAACTTATTCGACTAATTCTAATGCCTCCTCATCAGCATCTCCCTCATCTTCATCATCATCAGCAGCGTCCTGGGCGTCGAACTGCACCACCCGAAGCCCAATCTCCCCAAAGGCCTCCTCTTGCCTCACTTCCAACAACCCCTTCGTCGCAAGTGCAAGCGTATGCATCAATGCCTTCGCAGCCGTAACGCGCCAGTTCTCTTTCGGTGGCAGCAACTCTTCAAACGTAACCTCGTCCATATCAGCCGCTGCATCCGACTGGAGTTCCTCGTCTGCTAGATGCTCCTGCAAACGCGTACGTTTCTCCTGAATCCTGTCCTCAACAAAGGCAAGGAAGTTGACGCCTTCGGCATCGAGTGCATCGAGGACTTTCTGGTTGACCTGGGACTTCACACCCGCAGGGCCGCCAGGGGAAGTGAGTCCTTTTCCTCCAGGGGAGCTGGCATCGCCGAAGTCGTCGCCGCCGAAGAAGCCGTACTCGTCTTCGCCTTCGAAGGAGCGGAGGGCGTCTAAGCCACCTGGCTGGCCGCGGCCGTGAAGTGGGGAGGCGCTGACCATGCGGCTGCCTCTCAGCATGCCGATAGAGCCGGGTCCGCCGATTGAAGTTGGGACTCCAGATTGGAGTAGCCGAGCGCGCGCAAGCGAAGATCCTCGCATTGCGGAAGATCCACGGATGGAAGCGGTGATGTTCCATGGCATTGCTGAGAGGAGCTGTGCTTCGTCCAGCGCAGACGGGGCATCTCGAGGCATTTCGACGTCGTCTCGGGGGATATCAGTGTCATCGCCCATGAACATTATACCTTCGTCCATATCTCCGCGGTTGAGCTCGTCGTCATCTGAGCGGGGCCGCACACGACGTGCTTGGCTCTCGGTTTCTTCGTCAATGCCGCTGTCTCGGTCGCGCTTCAGTCCGGCCATCGATTCTCTAGTCATGCCCGTGACAGCTTCGAAGAGAGAATCGCCGTGGAACATGTCGAGAGGAGACGGGGCGCCACCAAGCCGCTGTCCTATGTTTCCAATGCCGGATCCCCAGATCCAGAACTCGGCATTCTTCTTTCCTTGTGCAGCAGCCTTCAGGTTCAGCTTGTGGCGCGTGGCGTCTGACATGTTTTGCAGGTATTGCTTGTTCCAGGCCATGAGGTCGGTGTTGTGTAGCTCCATCATCTCGTCAAGCGGGATGATACGAGGACCGCGGATCTTGGTGCGGCGCATTGATGCTGCTGCAGTAGAAGAAGATCCCGGGTCTCCGGCCTGCGAGGAAGACATCCCATTGCCGGCACCTAAGGGAAAGGCCTCACCTTCTGGAATTATGTTGAAATCGTCGCCGAGCATTGGCATATCGAGATCCATTGCTTCGCCGCCGAACTAGGGAACGAAGTTAGTACTGTGATCCAAGTGAGATCAGATGGAACACGGTTCACTCACTTCGTTGCCGATTCTCTGACCTTCTTGATGCTCTTGTCGAACCCTGGCGCTTGCTCCGGTATCGCTTCCTATGGCAGGCCTGGTGGTGCCGGTATGTTTCTCACCAATCGGGTTGGTAGGAGTCAAGTCGATGATGTTTCCGTCTGCATCGAAAGCAAAGTCGGCTTCGACAAGTGGTTCATCTAGCTGATCAAGTTGTTGGCTGGTGCCTCTCCCATCGTCTCCTTGAATAAAGTATTCGCCATCATCAAATCCTCCCGAAGCTGATCGGGAGCTGGGGATCACGAGCCCTCCAACTGGTCCTCCAATGCCTTGGCTGCCGCTGAGATCTTGAGAGCCGTAGGGAGTGAATAGTAAGCTTCCTTGAGCTTCGCCAGCAGGGCCTCCGAGATTGACGCCGGATAGGCTGAGGTCTGGAGGAGGGAGAAGGAACTCTGGCAGAAAAGTCGGATCATCCTCCAGCACGAGCTGATCTGGTCTGAGAAAGAATTTAGCAGGATGTCGTGTCCTGTATGGAGATCATGCTCTTACCTAACCCGTCCAGCCTCCGGGTCCAACTCTGAATCTTTTACAATCTTGAACATTGCCTTCATCGCATTCTGCGCATTTTGTGCATCCGTAAGGACGTAGCCACATTGCTGAAGGAAGACGCGCGAGACACCGTATCTGAAAGACGTATGTCAGCGATTGAGTGGTCTAGAAAAGAGTGCATGGCCTGAACATACAGGAGGTTGCTCTGGAGTCGTAGAGCCATCGGCGCTTCGGGAGCAGAGATGGTATGACATGCTTTGGCAACATCTACGCTAAGAATTGCTTTCCGATTGACCTTCTTCAGCGAGGACTTGGATCCGAGAGTGGCCATCAGCCTGCATGGCGCAATTAGTGACCGGATGCGACATAGCTTGGAATGCTTGAGATGCAGAACACTTACCAAACGGTAGCAACTCCATACTTGCGCGATGTGAGGACTGGACGTGTAAGCTTCTACGATCTTCGGAGGCGCCGCCGACTACTTACCTTCGTGACTATAGAACATGGCGAACGGGCGATACGGCGACGTAGAATTACAAGATAGTCATATAGTGCAATTGTGGACACGGTTCCGACGATACTCAGATAGGATGACAAGGTGTGACGGAAGAAGGCGAGGCCAAATAAGAGACGCCCGGTGATGAGGCAGACGCGTAACAAAACGCGAGCGATCGAAAATTACATCACAGAACAAAAACCTTAATCTGACCATCGAAGTCATGTATTCTCTCTAAAATGCTGAACACCATGCAAGGATGGATGGATCTAACCTGACCGTGCCTTTCTCGTGCTATGCAACACGAACGCCATAGCTAATCAAATCGAACGCCTCTAGTGATGTGGGACATGAACATTGGGACTCCGCAGGACCTCCTGTAGCACTTACGCCTTGCTCACCTCTTCCTCATCGCCATCCAAAGTGGCAAGAGGAACAGAGCGATACAGAAGAATGAGGGCGGAGTGACTCTGGCCTATATTATATTAGAGGATGAATTGGAATTAGATGTTCAAGCACGTACCTCCGCCAGACAGTGTCTCGATTCTGTCAGAGTCAACTTCTGACACCTTGTCATCATTGAACCACCACCACTTTCCATCCTCCTCCTTTCGCTTTCCTGTGACAGGATCCTTCGGGCCTTGCTTCTTCACAAATGATGTGTAGTGACCGCTATCCGCGCTAGCGCCTTGATGAGTGATCACGCCGCGAAGCTCGTACAGACCAGTCTGATTGGCGCCATCGTCGGCGGCGAGCTTTGGATCGACTAGCGCCAGAAGCTCTTTCTTTGCCTCAAGGATAGCGGTCGCGCGCTCAGCTTCGATTTGCGCCTCGGTTTTGTATTCGACGTCAGGCATCTCAACGTCGCCAGAGGCAGCGGCATCGGCTTTAGCCTTCTGCTCAGCCTTCTTCTGCATCGGCTCCTTTGACGTAGCCTTGCCGTCCTTGTCGACATCGTTTTCCTGGCCTTCGCGCATGCGCTTCTGCCGCTTAGCCGCCCTGATCACATCCTCTTCCGCCTTCCTAACGTCCCGAATCTTGTCCCTAACAGGAATCAACATCTTTTTGAGATCCTCGGTGCAAAATTCCACAACATCCAGCTCTTGAGGAAACGTGACCTTTCGCATGATCTTTGCTTTCTTATTCGTTGTTCGTCGCCAGTCGAACCGCATGAAATGAACGGGCAGATATTTGGGTAGCCTCGAGATACGTGAGGACTTGGTGTACAGAGCATCCCGACCGAGTACTTCGGAACGCTTCTCGATCTGCTCCTTCAAGCCAGCCGCGAGTCCATCCCGAAGATGGTTGGTCTCAGCGTTGATGTGGCAATTGAGCTTGAAGAACTCGTCTTCGCCCTTCACTGGCTCTTCCCCCATTTCCTTCGCAGCCGGCTCGTCGCACTCCATTACAGTCTCAAATTTGCCAGCCAAGAATTTGTCGATGAATGATAGGTCTTTCTTGGTCCCAGCGGATGATGCTTCGCCAGAGGCCTCGGTATCTTTGATCTTAAGTTTTTGTTTAAGCTGAGATATGATCTGCGACCAGGCTTCCTCTGCGTCCTGCTGAGCATATCCTTGTCCATCTTTTGAGCGCTGCGCGAATTGGGGGAAGGCGGTGCGCAGGGCGTTGAGGAACATGAGAGGGGGGAAGCCTTCTTGAGTCTCCGCCATCTGCTTAAACAGGTCACGGAGAGATGCAGTGAGGTCCATAGAGGAACCAAGCCCACTCAATCCAAGCTGGCTTAGCTGACTGGAACTACCGGCTGTTGATGGACTGCAAACACGTCAGCTCTGAGAACACAAATCAAATATGTGGGGGTACATACGCAGGCGTATAACGAAGGAGCTCCTCCTGCAGCTCTGGTATAGATCTCAGGGTTTGTAGCGTAGAGTTCATATAACAAGTATTGCCCAGATTCTGCAGCCCTGAGGGTATAGCGGAGTCCAGCTGGGCGGCTTCGGCCTCGGTCATGTCCTCCAAGAACCGTATCTTCTCCTTCGGCCTCTCCAGCTTGCTCGATGCATCCCCGGATGGTGTACCCATCATCATGAACATATGTCCGGGCTTGATACCTAGCGTCGACATATCGGTCTCATCTTTGAGCTGTCCACCCTTCACGAGTATCTTTTGTCGCTCGGGTTCGACGCCAGTTAATGAGAATAACTGGTACTTGAAAATCTCGCCCGTCGAGCTGGAATCGAGCTCGACATTGTGGCGTTTGCCCTGATGTTTGACGACAACTGAAGACGCGGTAGGTTAGAATAGATCTTGATGTTAGGAAAGCTGGTGCCTCAGTCCGTACCTGGTATCGCGTCCATGGTGGTAGATTTGGCGCAGGTGTTGTTGGAGGATGGCTTGTAAGGGCGACGCCGAGTTTATGATTACAAGGCGGGGGGCAACAGGCAGTGGTGAATCGTAATTCATCGAAGCGCACGGAACTGCAGCATCTTTGGCTGTGTGGGCTGCCGTACAACGTCTACTCCGCCAAGGCACTCCACATCATCTCTCGCATCCCCCACCATCACTCGCAGCCTCACTTGACTCTGGCGCCGTCTGAGGGACCCCAATACACAGTCCCAAAGCGCCATTGGCAAGCTCGCCACCATGGTAAATGCAGCAGCCTCGGGGCTTATCAATTTTAGAGCCAAAATGCTAATCCTCACAGTCTCAATCACTGCGCCCATACCTACAAGCTGTGCGCTCGTCGTTAACAGCCGCCTTGTCGCTCGCCAACTTTGCGTCCCAAGCCTCAGAGCGACACAATGTCCCCGAGATCGAGGCCGCGAGCTCCCCTGAGGTCCTGCTCAATCCCTTGACCGTATCGAGAAACGAAAATGAGAAGGTCTTCATCGAGCCAAGTATCAACAGCGTCCGCATAAGCATAAAGATCAAGCAAGCAGACGAGATCGAGCACATTTTGGTCCACAAATTCACACGTTTCTTAACGCAGCGAGCGGAGGCATTCTTCATCCTCCGGAGGAAACCGGTCAAGGTAGGCGCATGGTCTGTAGAAGCTCTTCCGGACCTTGAGCTGAAATTCATTAGGGCTACGACATCTCTTTCTTGGTCACCAATTTCCATACGGAAGAGATGCTCAAGCATAAGCTTGTCGACTTCATCATTCAGTTCATGGAGGAGGTAGACAAGGAGATCTCGGAAATGAAGCTCTTCGTAAGTTCGCCTGGATGTGCCCCTTGTCAGGGCCCACTAGTGGGATCCCAAGACTTTGTATGTAGGCTGACCTGTGTCAGCTGAACGCGAGGGCACGTTTCGTAGCCGAGTCATTCCTTACTCCGGTATGTTTCTCTGCTTATTGCTCTCCTATCATGCCTAACAAAGCTGCACATAGTTCGACTGAGGATATTTATGTGCTTTCTGACGGCTGTTTGATGCGAATGGGTTATGATTGGAGCATAGCACTACTAAAGAGTGCCTTGGCGTTGGTGGCATGCAGGTAAGAAATCTAGGGAACAACCTTTTGGAACCCTAGGTTGGCTGCAGTGGAAAATTAGATATTGAAGGCAACGGACGAGGTAAATATCTCATAGCTCTACCCGTCTCAGAATCACTTCGAAAAACCCGTGCCTATACTCTCAAGAGCTGAAAAAGGCCGAACCATCTTGCATCTCACGTGAAAATTTATTTGTGTCGTGTTATCATCTCCTAAATTTTCCGTATTACCCCAGTCAATTCTTAGCCCCTCGAATATGGCACTATCCTGTTCCTCGAACTAGGCCTTAGAAAAGGTACTGGGGTTTCCCTGGTGGCTTTATTCGTGCACCTCTAATAAGTGCAATCAACAATTGGCGACTCAAGGGCTTTGGTAATATGCAATGCACAGGTGCCCACGGATCAGATCGTCGATAGGGGTAATGTAAGTTGTGGAACACATAGCAGAGCATATGCAAGCAGTAACGTGTTGGTATAACCACGCATTTCTTCGATACAATTTGGCTTGTACTTCCACAGCTCGTAATCGTGTTGACCAAATCTAAACTTGCAAAAAAACAGTGTGCGTATACCCATTTCCATCGCTCGTACAAACACATTTGGCAGCTCTTCTTCTAATCAGTTCAGGGGCGGAACCTGACGGTATCCTCAATGGGAAATGCTAGTACAAAGGTGTGTGATTGCCCTCTCTCACTCGTTTCCCACAGTGTCGTCGTTCGAATCGGTGTCGGAGGAGGCGGTTGAGGAACTGTCGTCTGAATTGGCCGGAGCTACGTTCTCCTTATCCCAGCCAACTTGCGTTCTGAAGGTCCTCTGCCGGCCGCGAAGGTCTATCATCTCAATGGCCCGGTCGGTGCCATATCTCAGCCGAGCGCCTATCTGATCCGGGTCAACGTCTTCGTGGATCTTGAAGAACCAGCCCTTGGGCAGGACCTCCTCTGGCTCAAGGATTTTCTCGGTGAATCGATGCTTTGACATGGTTGATAGGTTGTTGTGGATGTGGCAGCAGAGAAGGAGGCAGAGGCAGATTTCGGAGGTGAGGCTAGAGTGCAGTGGTGCTTGCTCGGGACTACAGTGCTGTAGGGATTAGTGAACGAGCCAAGGGCTAGTTCAGAAGGGACTCCTTACTGTTCTGTGAGCTTGGGTGATGTATCGAGGCCGTGCAAGAGGTGTTTCTGTGGTCTCAAGGGTGATTGCCGTGGTGGGAGCTTTGACGGCCCGTCATCAGATCTGGACTGCCTCACTATTTTTTGACTGCCCACACCACAACCCTTCTTCCTCCGTCCACATCACCGCCCACACCACCACTTCTTGATAGCCCTAGTAAACCTCTGCAAACCCCCTAGTAGCACTCAAGGTATGTCAGAGCCTGCTCTTTTTGCTTCTGTTTTTGTGTTCTGCACTCCAGGCCTCCTGTCTGGGCCTCATTTTGACTGCGGACGGCCTTCGACTGCAACGGCGCCCCAGCATCTGGCAGCTAGACTGCCATCACTGGCAGGTCTTCTAGCACCTTGAGCATCCTCAGGAGAGGCCTACCGCACTGCACCCGGGCAGATCGGGCTCGTGGATTATGGCTTACGAGCGGTCGAGCCATCAATCACCAGCAAAATCTGCTTCCGGCAGCTTGACCTCAACCAAGCCCAGCGAGTCTCGAGGGCGTCTCCAAAGAGCTATCGACCTCCTCAAAGCCTCTCATCAGCGGCCTAGATCTGGCTTGCCTGGCAATCCTCCACCTCCTAGTCACTAGATTGCGGCGAGTGTCAACACCACCTCCACTCCCGAGCCCCTCGGTCCGCCGGATGTCTTGGCAACAACATATGTACATCGATGGATACACACTTGGATACTTCCTCTAGTCTTTGTGTATTTCAGGAGGATGGGCATACTCCTCGTTGTTTTTCTTCCCCTGTCAGCACTGCCAAGTCCCACCAACATCGGCGGCCTGGTTCACAACACTACTGTGCAGGGCGAAAGGAAAAGAAAGAAGCACGCAACGCAATGCAATGCATCCATAAGACTTGGAGCAACATTGAGTTAAAGAACATGGACTACCTGGTCCATGGCTACAGAAAAATAACATAAGAAGCCAAGAATAAGAAGAAAGAGAAGAGAAGAAAGAAGAGATGACTTGAAACAAATACTCGAATGAAGAGAAATCGGATAGATGAGGCCTGGAGTGGTCTTTGCTTCTCGTGCTTATTGTACCAACTTCTCGTAAATGCCGAACATGCTAATCTGTTATGCTGTAGATGTCTAAATACCCAGGCATGGGTGCCTGGCTGGACGAGGCTCGGGGCGCTGAGGCCCCAGATAGCCTGCGCCGGTCGACTCCGGTAAGTACTCCTTTTATTCCAGTACTAGGTCAGAAGTCTAGGCACACGGATATCAGACTGCATGAGCTCCGCTTCTGCTCGCACGACATCACTGTGAGGAGTGGTCCAGCTAGCAGTTGATCGTTCAGTCAAAAGGCATCCTGATATCCATTGCATGAATATACCACTGCTCAGGCTCTGCTCAGGCTTGCTCGTTACCGATGTCAAGAGTGGTCCAGCTGGCAGGCGGTCGTTCAGTCAAAAGGCATCCTGAAATCCATTGCATGGATATACTACTGCTCAGGCTCTGCTCAGGCTTGCTCGATGACGCTGCCAGGAGTGGCCCAGGTAGTGGGTGGTCGTTCAGTCAAAAGGCTGTCTGATCTCAACTGCATCGACCCTGGCATCGTATTATTGAAGCTTTTCGGCTGCTAACAAACGGTAATAGTCGTCCGCTCTCCTCCCGGGAGACTCTTCCGCCTCGGTAAGTCTATGCTCTTCTTGCTGTCCTTGTTTCGACGATCGAGGCGAGCACACTCAGTCTGTCCCTGGATCTCGCGTCGCCGTCGCGGTGCTTCAGTCGTGCACTGTTCGCGTTCTGCTGCCTCGCCGTCGCGGTGCTTCAGTCGTGCGCTGTTTGCGTTCTGCTGCCTCGCTCCCTCTGGCTAACGCGAGCGAATATAGAGCGGACATGGTTCTTTTGGGCGCAAGGAAGACTGGGAATCAGAGTAAGTCGTCAGAGTGGTCGCTCATCTTCTTTGCAATCACCACGGCAGCAGTTTGACCCTGCCAAGCCATCCATATCTCACCGCACCTATAAACTCCACCGTACCCCACCAAACTTTGCCTCCTCCACCTTCCTCACTCCATCACCACCTTTGCCTCTTCATTCCTCACCCTTCTGGTACTGTCTGTCCCCGTCGTCGTCTGCTTCCACTCATCAACCTGCTGCACGGCAAGCATGGCGCTTCACCCCTACCCAACGCCGCCACCTGACGATGACCTGTACACAGCTGACAATAACGGTAGCCGGGACGCCGCCGCAGATACTGAACTCAACCCACTTGCGCAGCCATTCGTCCCGCTCCCCCAGATCTGTGCGGAAGCCAGACAAGAGTTCCAGGATCCGTACCAGGCGTTCTTCGCGCCAGCGCAGTCACAAGATCAGCTGTACGGTCCTGTTGTCCTTCCGCCGGCCTACCCACACACCCCTCCGTTCTACTCGTACACCGACGTCGAACCCCAGCAGCTGCAGCTGAATTATCAGCTTGAACCCCAAACTTACGTGCAACCTGCATTTCCGACTACAATGATGCCCCACGGTCACCAACAAGCGGGTTTCCTGCCCCAGCCCCAGCCGCTCACCCTGGGTCAGCTCCAACCGCACGATCCCTTCCAACCTCCGGCTCGGAACGTCCTCCCGATGCCATACCTTGACGTTACCGCCTATGACGACCTCACCGGCAAGGGCATCCCCTCGCTCACCGACGCTTTGAACTACAGTCCCTTCCGAGACTTCGCTGCCGAGAAGCGCCCGAAGCAATATGGAGTCATTCGCATTGAGAACGTATGAGTCTACCGTCCCTTTTCCTTACCCGATAGCATGCTGACACCCTCTAGGCTCCCTACGCCACCATGCGCAACGAAGTTCTCTCTCTCCTCGGCAAGACTGCCCGTGTCGTCGAATATCCGCCGGGCTCCTCCAACTACGCCGTCCATACCACCTTCGACCGCCTGAGCGGTAAGGCATACAACACGTTCGTGGAAGTCAATACAGAGGCTGAAGCCCAGCGCCTCGTTCGCGGGTTCGGAAAATACCTAGACTCCCACAAGCACGGCCGCAAGCTCGGAAATCGCCCCATCTACGTGCACCTTTCGAACCAGACGGAGCTCATGGAGAGCATCTTCCCGCGCGTCAAGTGCGTGCAGTGGAACGGAACCGACCCTCTGATTCAGCCCCCCGGCCCTGGCGAGTCCGGGTTCGACGCGTTTCTGCACGAGGAAGAGCTGCGCGGCATGATGCGCTTCGCAGAGAAGCCCGGACGTGTAAGTGTTTTGCCAACCCTGATAGTCTACTCAATATCCCCTCGCTGAATGATGCTTTTTACTGACGAATGTAACAGACTCAGTTCTGCAAAGACTGCCCTCAGCGCGTCTATGAAGCCATGACAACGCTGCTGCAGAAGTTCCCCTGGGGTGCCCAGCACCTGTACACACTCCGCGAGCGCAACATGCTGTTCGCTTATCTCAACCAACTGGTCGAGATCTTCGTGGAGAAACTGCCGAGACTGTCCCCAGAGCTTGTCAACAAGCTCACGCCGCAACTCCTGGGCAACATGGTCCAGACTGCGTGCTCTTGCGGTGGCTTCTCGTCCGGCCAGCAGGCCCGTCTCGTCGTCTCTTGCGGTGGTGTTTTGGACCTTGGAGTGAATCTGCACCCCCTTGCCGGCGCCGTCCCGTTCCAAGTCCTGTCAATTGCATACGACAGAGTGCAGGGCCCGCAGAAGGCTCTCGTTGATGTAAGTTCCATTTCTCCCCTAAACACCCACCTAAACTTCCCTTCCAGTCACATCTCAAGCCAGACCAACTACTCAAACGTCGCTAATGTAACCAATAGTGGTATGTCGTCGTCATCCGCACGGCGACTGGCTTGCCCGGGGCCCTCGCGCCCGAGGTCCACGAGTGGGCCAACAACCAGTACCGGGGCATCTTCCCGGGGTCCACCTTCGGCTGGTATGCCACACCAGCCTCGTACCAAGCGCAGCTTGGTATGACAATGGCGGAACTTGCGACGCTGGAGGCGTCGGAGTTCCAGAGGCTGGTGGGGCTCGTGCTGGAGGCGGGCCGCTTGCACCCCGACCTCGTCCCTCTGGCTCCCGCTGCCCCCGCTGCCTAGGCACGGGGAGGGGGCGAGGTCGGCGCGGTTGCGGCTGCTGGTTGGGCGGCGAGCGTGTGCGGTGCGTAGTTGGTTTGGGCGGTTCTCTTGTGCGTTTGGTCAGTGCTCGGTAGATTCTGTGGTGGTTTTCGGTGCTTCTGGCAGCAGATAGAGGCCTAAAAGGGGTGATAGCGAGAGGGGGGCCGAGACTGACTTTTTCCTTTGTTTTTCCTTTGTTTCCACAAGAGACCGACCCTAGAAATTCGAGGCTGAATTGCCGATTCTTTGCGATTTTGCTTCACTATTCGAGACGTGTCATGCCTATGCAAGAATTGAAAAATAGGATGTAAAGGTTTTGAGGTTGCAAATTAGGCTATATTTACTGCTAACTTGAATCTAGGTGTTTGACTCATTATGCGCGGAATCAGGCCTCTGCTATATACGATTTTGTACCTATTAAGGCTACCTGAACCGCCTCACGCCTATGCAGGAATTGAGAAACAGGATATAAAGGTTTTGAGGCTGCAAATCAGCTTGTGGTTACTGCTAAGCTGACTCTAGATGTTTAATCTATCCTACTCGGAATCAGGCTTCTACTAAGTGCGGTTTGATAGCCTACAAAACGACCTGAGCCGCGTCACGCCTATGAAAGAAACGAAGATCGAGATGTAAAGGTTTGGATACTGTAAACCGAGTTGTGATTATTGCTGACCGAACATTAGGTGTAAACTGTATTAGGCCTGATATCAGGGCTTTGCGGCGTGTATTTTGGCAACCTATAAAGTGATTGTTGACGGAATCGCCAAAAGTTCGTCAGATAGATTGAATTGAACATGAGTTTGTATTGTAGTGAATGAGTGAGCTTATATACGTAGGTGAAAGGAGAGTAACGTGACTTTGTGAGGCTAAGTAGGACTGAAGCTGATGCCGCAGCTACGTACTCATACGTACTGAAGCTGTATAGATCTACGCTTACTGTGGATGTAGAGGCGAAGGTGTATGCCGAGCCTATAGATTATATGGATCTACATGAGGATCTACAGGTCAAAGCTCAAGAGGAATTCCAGCAGTCACAAAGCTACGGGAACCACCTCATGCCCATGCACGTTTCAAAAAAACAAGATGTAAAGATTTGGAGGCTGTAAATCAGGTCATGATTACTGCTATTGAGAAACTATATGTAAGTTCTACTAAGCACTAAATCAAGGCTTTGCTGCATACGGGTTTCAAGCCTCCTAAACCATCCGAGCCCCCTCATGACTATACAGGATTCAGGAAATGAAATGTAAAGGTTTGGAAGCTGTAAATCAGGTTGTGAGTACTGCTAACCGAATACCACATGCAACTTTCTACCAGCCCTTAGATCTGGGGCTACTCCGCGTGCGAATTTCCAGCCTCCTAAACTACCTTAGCCGCTTCCAGCCTATGCACGAATTCAGGAACGAGATGTAAAGGTTCTGGGGCCCTAAATTAGTTTGTAATCACTGCTAATCTAAAGCTAGATGTATTTTCTACAAGCCTTCCAACTAGGACTACATTCCGTGCTTTTTGGTACCCAACCAAACCCCTCCAGCCACCTCATGTCCATGCACGAAATGAGAAGGAAGATGTAACTATTCTGAGAGCGTGAATTAGGTTGTGGTCACTGCTAATCAAAAGCTAGATATATATTCTACCGGCCTAAATCACGCCTATATTGCTTGCTTTTTGGTAGCCTACCGGATTGTTTGAGCCATCTCATGTCTATGCGCGAAATGGGGAGCAAGATGTGTATATTCTGCTAAACCCTAAATGAAGCCTATATTACTTGCTATCTGCTACACAGTGGACCGTTCCAGTCGCCTCATGCCCATGCATAAATCGAGAAGCAAGATATAAAGGTTCTGAGAGCGTATATCAGCCCCTACCAAGAAAACGTCATCAGCGCCGGATTCAGCGCAATAGGAAGCAGCAGATGGCTCGCCGCCACCGTCGCCATAGGCAAAATCGCCACAAAATCCGTAATCCTCCAATCAAGCGGCACAAACGGCGGCCTCGCCAGCACCACCATGCCCCCTATCCCAACCACCGAGAACGCAATACTCACCTTAAACCGCCTCAGCACCTTCGACACCTCAATAAAGAAGTTCGAAAACTCCGCCTCCTTACTCGTCGCGCCCTAGCTCATATCCACCTCGAACATATGCGCCAGCAGCGCCTGCGAGACATGCAGGCTCAGCCCGCCCAGGAAGATCGCGAGCATGAAGACCCAGTTGGAGTTTTCGATTAGCGCGGGGAGGAAGGCGGATTCGCCGGTGCGGTAGCGCATTACGGCTAATGAGATGTTGCCGAGCCCGTTGAAGACGAGCACGATGCTGAACCACACTTTCCAGGAGTCGATGTAGTACTTATCCAGGTAGCCGTTGAACCAGCCGACGGCGAAGTAATTGACTGTCGTCAGGATCCAGGCGGCGCCGATGGCGTAGTAGGTCCCTATGTACGAGAGTGTCGTGGTCTTGGAGGTAAAGCGGATATTCGAGCTCAGGAAGCGGCAGAAAAGAGGTGTGAATGGCCCACGCGTTATCCGGAGGCGGATAGAGTTGAAGAGAAGCTCGTTGCAGCCGTAGGCGTATTTCTCCTAGCGGGCGAGCTCATCGTAGACGGTGAGGGATACGCCTTCTTTGAAGCCGGCGCCGGCCCAGGCGGCGAGGCGGATCGTGTAGCCGGCGACTTGGAGCCGGAGAGACATGTCGAAGTCCTCCGAGACATGGGACTCGGACCAGAATTTCTCGTAGCTCTCGCCGTCAGTGAAGGAGACGGATTGGAGGGCGGACCAGCGGAGGATGGCGTTGTGGCCGACGAAGGGAGCGACATCGCCATTGGAGACGGTGTATTTTATCGCGGTGTAGATTATGTTGGTGAAGAAGGTGATGCTAGGAATTTCAGATGCTGGCCATACGAAAGGGAAGAGAACATGCATACCCGTTTTCGAAATAGGTGTGAACAACCTGCATAACCCCGGACGAGAATTGCATGATACCGACTTCAGGCGACTGCTCCATCTCGCTAGAAGCATCAAGAAGACAGTCGGCAGGAACGCGGGTATCGGAGTCAACTGGGGAATAAGTCAGTACAGTTTTCTGATAATTTCAGACAAGAATACTTACTTAGGAGAATATAATCACCAACTCGAATATTGCCGTCGGCCCACGCGTGTTCATTATGCTCAAGAACCTCTTTGAGGCATCTGTCATACTCTTGAGCTTCATCGGCTTGAGTCCAGTCTTCTTCGCGAGGCACCTGCGCAAGTTTTTCCTCGACTGAATTGGATAACATGAGCCCAAAGTTCATATTCGACGCCTTCTTGAACTTTCCCCTTCGAACGAAACCATTATCGCCGTCCTTGGGTCTTGCAGTCCACCCAATGCTGTGATCAGCGTAGAACTCAATCCGAGCTAAGCGCTCTGCTTCACCGATGATCTGCATCCCGTCATCGTTGATGAACATATTTGCAGAGCCTCCCTGAAGTTCGTACGTCGACATGGCTTGTTTAATGGACTTGACGGTGGGCGCAATGACGGAAGCGAGCCCTTCTTTGTAGACTGGGCATTGTATGGTTATGTGAGGGAGAGTTCGACTGGTAAGTCTACGTGGAAGGAGCGCGGAGTAGTATCGTGAATTAGTGGTCATCTGGCGGACGGGGCCGATACATTGCACGATGCATCCAACGACGACTTGGACGAAAAACTGCGATCGGATTAGACTCAATCTGGACGTATAATGAAGATTGACTGACAAGCGTGAAGAATATTTGAACAGGCGTGAGTGCAAGAAAAGCCAGTCGGACATAGCCTCTATCAACCATGATCTCAATAGCAACCGCCCTAAAACCTGCTCCTAACATAACGATAATTATCAGGAATGTAAAGCAAACCAGCACAGCATTCTGTATATGCGTCGGCCTCTTCTCTGGTTTGAAATCGCCACTCTCTTCGTCGATCTCAGTCCCTACAATAGCAGGTCGCTTCTTCTCGCCTTCTTCCTCCTCTTCCGGTTCACCAGTCTTCCATACCAAATCCATAAGCTCGTTCTCAATTGCTTTTGCTCTCGTCATAATGTTCATGGCTTCGTCGTCCCAAACGACCAACAACAGCTCAGATGCTATGAATGCGGCGAATTGGTTCTTCCGGGCTCTGGGTAGGTCGTCGATCGTGGGTAATATCTGGACTCGTAGACCATTCCTGAGGGGGACGTCCCTTGCTTCCGGCGACCATTGGAGAAATGCCTTCACAACTCGAGAGTTTACGGTCATAGTAACCTAGCCCAATCAGTCTTGTGTAGTACGTGATGGTAGAAAACTTACCTGAACATTCAACTCTGCGCAGTATTGAGCAAAAGCGGAATCTAGTAGCTGCGGCGGACATGCCATGTAATATCCTCTATGCTTCCGGAGTAGGACACCCTCCAGCTCTCCGCTTCCATCGCCAACCCATAGCCTCCCACATTGCTGTTGAAAGATGTAATTTACCATTACTTCATGCTTGATATCTTCCACGAAGCTTCTACTCTGAAGCGAATGTAGTGATCCGGCGTAAGAGGGCCTCGATGAGCCCTGACTAGCCGGTGTGAGCGAACCTTCGAAAAACCTTGGAGAAGGCGGCGTCATTCTGTCGTTAAGGAGCGTCGAAGGATTTAGAGATATTGGAGCCGTTGTTCGAGAGCTGCTTGATGACCTAGATCCATCCTGTTGCTTCTCATTGTCAAAGCTGGAAGCCATGATGGGGCGGCCCAGACTGTTTGAGCTGAGTGGGGATGAGAAAATGGCTTCTGCAGATCTTCTGTCGCCGGATCTTGAAACGAGCGCGGTACGCTCAAGGCGCAAACGGATGTTGGAAAGTGAGCGAGTAGAAGTATTTGAACTAAATATCGTGCCTATAAGAATAGTCACCTAGATAAAACCGATATCAAGGTGTAGGCTTCTTCAAAAGTTAGCATATTCAAGGTCCCGTGCATTTCATGCGAAAGGCTTATCATGCCATAGCCCTACGGGCTGAGAGCTGGGATGAAGCTGGAACAGTTCCCACTATGGCGCAACGGAAAACCCTGGAAAGACCCTGAAAGGCAATGCGACAGGATGTATTGCGTTCCGCAAGGGCTTGACAGCCGAACTAGGACTATCGGGCTGAATCCAATTCGCAAGGGCAGAAACTACTCCGCCATAAGGCCTCGGACCATATATCGAGTGGAAACTAGTAAATACGAGCTAGATCGTAGGTCATGGAAGAGAATTCGCTTGGCCAGACCTGGAACCATCCGTGAGAACAAGCCATACCAGCACCGCTCACTCCCAGATCCGCTGTACCTCATAGCCGACATCTATCTATTTCGGTAACAAAACCCCTATTCGGAGTTTCTTTTATGGGGCTTCGCGTGGCATTTCGTGGCGAACGTACGCATGGTCGCGCATTTTCAATGAGTTCGGAGCGCTACAGCCCCAGCCCGAGCGTCTTCGATGGAACCATTGCCACAGCGAGCCCACAATGATGTAGAGTTGGGGGTCTAGATCGGTGGCTGAGCAAGACAGGTTGTTGCGGTATTTGGATGGCGAATGTCTGGAAGTTGCTTTCTGATGCCATCAGTGTACACTGTGTTCGTAGACGGCCTGGGCAATTTGCCCGGTGTGGTTGAAAAAGGTCGTTCAGCACGTACAAGCATCAGCTATCAACTGACAGGGGCTTGCCACGTATACTGTTGACGGAACTGCACAGTGGAGAGTAATGATGAAAGACGGGAAGGAAATTGAAGTGGGATTATGATTGGCCACCGGTGTGAGTCATCCCCGCTCAGACCGGTTACGGCAAAGCGGCATTCGATGTACGCCATCTGAAATGATTTCTTGACAATGGCTTCTCGTCTCCGTATCCAACGAGGAAGCTTGCTCAATTGGTAGGAGACAATACGTTTCTAAGCCCTAGTACGACCTCAGTGAGTGAATTGGGAGCCAAAACAAGTCCAACTTTTAGTATTGATGGAGTATTCGGTTTTCTATCTTTGCGAGTCGTACCACTCGGGATAAACAGCGCTTTTCTGCATTGGTTTCCCGTGTTACAAATACACAATCCGGTATTGAGGCCATTGTCGGACATGTGCTCTTCAAATTCTCCGACGACTATCGGATGTCACTGCCGGACCTGCGTCTGCAAGCTGCGAGACATATGTCACGGGTTGAAGCATGAGTGACAGCAGCCACGCACTGTAGAAGCCACAAACAGGCTCATGCAGAGTATGTAGACATGCAAAGAATGCTTCGTCGGGAGATGAAACAGCGGATTATCGATAGGGTCGTATGCAGTGTGGTGTGACCGTTGAACTCCTACAATTGGGTGCTGATGTCGTGGACACCACCAATGCCGATAGACTGCGTGATGAGATAGAAGGTGAATAATGTACAAGGAGGCGGAAATGCGTTGTGGTCCAGACTTAGTGGGGTCGTACCTCACGTGGCGTTGGGTTTCTCCGGTGTTCTAAAAGCGGCTCTAATCGGCTCCAACCGATAGCCGCGGGACCTAGCATTATTCCAAAGTCGCGGGGCGATGAAGTTTACTACAGTATCGAATTGAAAAGTTGCGACTGTTCCCAGAATACATAGGCTAGGGCTCAATGCAATGCCCAAGGTACCGACGAGCCTGAATCGTTTCCCCGCAGTGTGCGCTAGGTGCGGTAGAGACCAAGAAGGTGGTAAAGAAAGTGATCTGCTGCTAGCGTCATTGTTGAACAGCTGCCGAAGCCGCAATGTAGAGCTCCTACGTAGAAAACCAGATGGTAGTGGCATCTTTGGGTCTTGCAGTTCATGCACTTCCATTGCACAATGCTCAAAACCAAAACAGACGATTGTCCCAAAAGACTCGCAAGACTTCCAACTAGAAAATACCATAGCGATCGTATGAGCTCATAGATGCGAAGGGGAATAGCACCAGAAAAGCCACAGTCGATTACTTGCACCCGTTGTAGCCCGCTTGTTGCCACATCTTCACGCTCTTGATTTTCATCTGCCCTGTCTTCTCCCACGTAGGGTACCATTGATTGCGTGCATTCCAGAAGTCCTTCTTCGATGTCGGGCTTGCGTCAACCCAAGGCTTGCCAACTGCACCATCCTTGAACCAGCCATTTGTGCCGCCAACGGCAACATTCAAGATGAGATAGAAATCTTGATCGAAGGGAGTGGCTGGGTTACCGGTGAAACTCCACGGGTCGACGAGACGGGTGCCGTTGCTGTCAGAGAGCGGAAACTGACCGACGTCCCATAAAGGCTTGTTGTAGTGCTTGTACATAACCTGAAGGAGTCGGCTATCGACATAGGTGAAGATATACTTTTCACTCCACTAGTCGATATCAGCATGGTCCATGCATAGAAAGGGATCCACTCGCCTCTAGACCAAATGTGTGGTAACCATCAGCATATGTGGCATGGACAGCTTTGAGCTTCACGTTGTTGCGATACCATCCATCATTGGCAGAATTAGGTCCCCAGTGGAGAGTGCTGCTAATGATGTTGTTACCACCTTGACCATACGAGTAATTATTCCCACGAGACTCCATAATATCGACTTCCCCAGATTTCGGCCATGCTCCATATTCATTGCCCTTTGGTAGCATCCAAATAGCTGGCCAAAGCCAATCTCCAGCGGGCAATTTTGCCGTGACTTCAACGCGACCGTATCTGATGGAGGCCCCGAGTTTCGTATTGATACGAACTGACTTGACAGGATTCACGATGGTGCCGTTGGTTACGTTCGTGCCAACAATACAATCGTACCAGAGCTCTGAGGTACAGCCATGATTTCTCAAATCAATCACGTTGCTTCGTTCGATAAGGCTAGCATCTTGAAGAGTCGGCTCAATGACGAGCACTCCATCTTCATCGATGAAGGCGTTCTCATCGGTATCGGTAGTCATTTCGAATTGGCCGTTGCTGTGGCGAGCCGTTAGCACTCAGGTCTGAGTTGATCGCACAATACTCACCCGAAACCACCAACCTCGACCTCCCTAGTCCAAATGGCCTTATTCAGTCCACCGGAGAAGTCTTCAATCAGGACCTCGCAGTATTTGTGATTGACAACAGACCTTAGTCCATCCCATATCAATATCCCGGATATGGCTAACCCTACAAAAATCCCAATAAGCGGAATTATGGTTACCCATTTCTCTCGTGAATCCTTCCTATCTAGCCATGGTTTCTCGACGGAACCTTTCTTGATTCGGCGAGAGTGGAAATATTGTTGCTGCATAAATTCAAAGCCCGTGGTGGACGTTTGGGTTGAGAAAGATGAACCCCCTGATGCTTGACTAGATCCATCGGGAGTTTCAAAGTGGTCAGTGTTATCTTCTGGTAGAGAAACAGTAGGGATTGCATCGACAAGAGAGATCCTTGCTTGAGCAGCGACAGCCTCGCTGGAATGAGGAGAGGGATGCATGATACAAAGTATGCGGTGAAAGGAATAGCATAGTAGAGCAGAAGGCCACCGCAGCCCTAGCTAGTGAGCAGGTAATAGATGATATTCTCGGAGTAAGAAAATGTAGGCGACCTAGGATGCTGAGGTACATTGCAAAGTCGAAGATAGAATTCTAAATTCTTAAATCGATGCTAAGCAAACGAGGCCAGAGGTATGATTGACGCTGAAGCAAAGGCTGGCATCCTGATTCAGCGGGACAGGTCCCAAAGACTCGCCATGCGAGCTTGAGGCTAGTTACATGTCACCAAACCAATTGGGCGAGGTACGAATCGTGCCACTAACTCAATATTTAGTGTTTCCAATAAGACGGCGGCTAGGGACTCATGTCGCTTCGCAAGCTAACGGCATTTCCCTGATCAGAGATGGAAGAGATGGCGTATGTCTTAGAGCTGCCCTGTAGAGAGGCATACCTGACAAATGCAGATGCAGACCGTCAGTGTCAATGTAATCGCATGCACTCAGCATGACATGCATCGCGACAGGAGAGTAATGATGTGTTACAGGAACACAGATGATGGTGTTCCCGCAGGCTGCTTCCGAGATGAGCATGGTATCGTTAGTGAAGGTTAAGAAAGCTGTGGCAGAAGGTGGGCAAGGAGATTCATCCCTGCGCGACGCTAGACAACATTGGGAAAGATACAAAAACGGCAACGACTTACCATCCCGATCTCATGCACTACAGTATCGCGGAGACACTGCATTGCCTTCTTTGTATCTCAAATTTTGTCTTGCAACTTCAAGCAGCGCAGGGCGAGTCCACGCCTTCTCATTCACGTGATACGCTAACTGCATTAAATCCAAACGATGTATTTTAGAACAACTTCGAGCTTGAGAAGGTATCAAATTCTACTCTTTTTCCACAGTGACTAAAACCTGGGCATCGCATTCGAAATGCATTGATCCATGAATAGCTGCAAGCATAACGCAGTACTTTGACTGCTGTTCTTTTTGGAGTAAGCCAACGCATCATCAGTGAATGCGGTAGCAAAATATGCAATGAGAGTTACCGATCTACTAGGCCGATGTCCTCTGCCCAGGATTATATCACGCCTACTGCGGAGCTACACAAACAGTGCATGACCAAGTGCAACGTTCAGCACCCAAACATCTCCGTATGCAGAACTACCTCTTGCATTTTCTCCTCTAGCACCTTTCATTGCAGTCTCGCCACAACATTCGATGCATCAGCTTTCATGCTCTCTGGTCCACAGGCTACACATTATCACGCCAGCAATCGGCTCTCACAACTTCCTCCGTAGCGCTCAGCATCATCCTGGAATCCAAACACCGATTATGTCAAACGGGTGGGAATGCGACGCGCTCTGGACCATCAACGGGGAAAGGGCCGGATTGCTAATGCTCATCGATCTGGACTGCAGAGGTCCTTGTCGCCAGGTCTTTATGAAGCACCGGGTCCCCATTATCGTGTGACAATTTCCAATCACGCTTCAACGCTCGTTCCTCCATGCCTAGTATTGATCTCAAATGTCCTCCCTCTAGGTTCCGGAAGACGTCTGGCGAGGTCGAAAAATGGTGGCCAAGGCGCTGTGAAGTCATCCAGCGTCCAGAACCATTAGTACCCGCTCGATGTCGTCAAGAGCCTGATGCTTATTGTACGGAGGGGAGCTCTCCGTATTTAGAGCCACCCCACGACGCCCCACGGGGTACTCCAGAGTACATCCATACGTTGGTGAGCGACAGCCTTAGACAAATCCGTGGCCACACCAATTCAGGGCAAAACCCTATTCGACTGCATCGATATGACACGACATGAACACGTTTTCAGGGCTGACATCGGGTGTCACGAGAAGCGAAAACGGCACGATAAATGCACGTTGGATATGCAGGGAATGACGATAAAGATGCCGGAAAACGTCATTGCATGCAGAAACACAACATTGTCAGGAAACGCAGTCCAGAAAGAGAAGGAAATAAATATGGACTGAAGTCAAGATACAGAAAGACTTAGGCTCTTAATATTTGAAAAGATTTATTTCATAGCTTTTAAATCAGCCGTAGAAGTCATTTCCGATTTTCTTAATCTACCTAGGACTCCAGATCCAGAAGCCAAATTAGTTCTTCACATATAGGTCGACGTATGTGTCAACGTCCATCTCATCCAAGGTCTTGGCATCCGTGCCGAGCTTGACGAGCTTATCGACGTGTTCCGCCGGGAAATGCGGTCCGAGATGCCTCTTATACTTTTCGAGAATATGGGGCTTCGCCTCTTCACGTCGGAGCCTGTGGCCCAACGGAACCTCAACAACTTCCTCGTCGAGGACGGTTCCATCCTTTAGCTTCACGGTCAGAGCGTTGGAAATGGTGCGCTTCTCTGGGTCATGGTAGTCGGCGGTGAACTGGGGGTCTTCTACGCAAGAAATACGTTGTCGGAGAGACTCGACGAGCGCTGATGTTGCCGCCTCGCCGCCATCGGAGTAGTCGCTAGCTTCTAGACGGTCGAACACAAACATGGTGGATACCATATACTGAGACCTTATCAGTGTTTCGTCTCTCAGAAACAGATTGCACACGTACCTGGACGCAATGGTCACGGTCGGCGAAATTGTCCATGGGCTTGAATTGCTTGTCGATGATACGGATGCAAGCTTCGTGAGTCCTGTTTACAACGCTTTCAATGTCTTCGGCAGTCTTGCCCAGCGCCTTTAGCTTCTTGTTGAGCTTCTGGGCGGCCTCGACAGCGGTTTGGGAGTGGAATTCAGCTACAATAGGCGGTTAGAAGTAAATATGAGATGTATTTAAGAAAACTAACCTGGGTAAGAGACCTTGAACAGCACGTTCTCCATGACGTAGCTGCCATATGGTCTTTGGAACTGGAAGGGCTTGCCACCAAAGTTCACATCGTAGAAACCCCATGTTGGAGCTGACAGAACTGTGGGCATTCCACCCTCACCACCAGCCACCTTCAGGACAAGGTTGACAGCCCTTTCGCAGGCATTACCTGCAGCCCATGACTTTCGCGACATGGTGTTGGGCGAGTGTCTGTATGTCCTCAAATCTTGACCGTCAGCCCATGCCTGGGACACGGCATCCCGGGTTTGAGACTCGGTCAAGCCGAGCATCTGAGACACAACGGCAGTGGAGGCAACCTTGACCAACAAAACGTGGTCCAGACCGACCTTGTTGAACGAGTTCTCCAAGGCCAAGCAGCCTTGAATCTCGTGCGCCCTAATCATGGCTTCGAGCACATCCCTGATCTTGAACACCTTGCCATTGCCTACTTTTCCGCCGTTCTTGTTTGTCCGCGATGCCCAATCCGCAACAGCTAGAATAGCTCCGAGGTTGTCTGAGGGGTGACCCCACTCAGCAGCGAGCCAGCAGTCGTTGAAGTCCAACCACCGGATAGTAGCACCAATGTTGAAAGCGCCCTTGACAGGGTCGAGCTGGTACGACGTGCCGGGCACCTTTGTACCATTTGGCACCACGGTGCCTTCCACTACGGGGCCGAGGATGTTCGTGCATTGCTCGAATTCAAGTGCTTTCAGACCGCAGCCCAGAGTGTCTATTAAGATCCACCGCGCGGTGTCAATCTATTCGGATACAATTAGCAGATTTTCTAGGATTTCAGGGAGGGATGTTATACAGCGAGGGGGGTATCCACTGCCACATTGTGCACATAATTGGCGATGTCCTTGATTTCGGGGTCGAATTCGCGGTTGCTCGGCACAATAGGAGCCATGCTGCGGAAGGAAGAGGATGTCGAGAAGGGAGCGGCAATGGCAGCACGCTGAAGGAGGGGAGTGCGGGCGGCGGTCAGAGCAATTGGTCGCGTCGCTTTGCAGGCGATGCTAGCTCGCTGTCTGATGGTGCGGGATGCGGTGCTGCAGAGGTTGCGACTGAAGGCCGACATGATCAGATTAGCCCCTTGCTGTGCCTGGACGTTGTCAACACAGCTCGAGCAAAGAAAATAGAGCCCGTACGCGAAATTCTGGGGTGTGTGGAGTGGTCAATTGGCGGATGAAGCTCTCGACTTGTAGAAGGCGCGACGGGTATTCTAGCGGGCAGGCAGTGCGGGATCGCAGCTTCCTCCCTCGGTAAACTTCGGAAGAGTTAATCCTTACACCACCACAAAACCGAGCCAGCTGCTGAAAGTTGGGGCGGCCGGCGAGAAATAGCTCTTTGCTTCAAGTATACTAAGGTTTGGAAGAGAAATATGCTTGGTACGTTGTATCAGAAACCTCTTCCCCGCACCACAAAACTCTCTATCCTCAGGAGCTTCGGCATATGCCGACTATAATTCATCTCTGCTTTCAGACGAGACCGAAGTCGGGCAGTCATGTGCCCGGAGAAAGGGGCCATACTCAAAATAACAAGATGTCTTTAGCCTTAGGCCGAGCGGCTTTGGGGTTTTTGCTTTGAGCCTACCCTCGGCACAAAGGAGGTTGCTGTCTGTAATTTTATTATAATACGTTCATCTTGTTTGTTTTCAAAGGTTTGGGCTTTCCAAGCCTACAGAAGCCCTGGAGATGGAGATGTTTCAGGTCGATTCCGGTTAGGAGTTCGGCATCGTGATGAAGGTTCAGAATTTACGAAGATGACCTATATGTTGGTCCAATCTATGTCTACGCTCTGTAATTCTCCGATGTCTACTCTCTGGAACTCTACTCTCGAAGTCTACGAAATCTCTTCACTCCTCTGCCAAAAGCCCCTGAGGTCTAACTCAATATCCGTCTTCCTACTCATGAATCGGGAAGCCAAAGCCAATCAAGAAAGCAGGCTCCTCGATGTTGTGATGTTGATAGCTACATGGAGTCAACACACGTCTCACTCACTCGAGCCTAAACTCACCTCAATACACCCACAGCCCCTGGCTCCAACATCATCGAAAGGGGAAACTCCATCGGATACTTCAACCACCTCTTCGTGAACGCCCTCAGCAAATGCCCATGCGCTACGAGTACGACATCACACGCCTTCTCCCCATGCATATTCGCAGCCTGAAAACTGTGAATCTCCTTGATCAGATCATCCAGCCTCTCCGTAACCTGCTGCGCAGACCTGTCAACTTATCAGCACTCACCCATAAAACCATCCAAATCCATAAATCACTCACTCTCCCCCTTCGCACCCATCCCTCCAAATATCCCACCCCGTTCCATCCAACCCCCTACTCTCTCTCCCCTCCCTGATCTCATGCGTCTTCAGCCCCTCATACAATCCGTAGCCCCACTCCGCCAACCTGTCCGTCTCACTCACCTTTCCCTCTTGCTCTAGCTGCTTACCGTGCTCGCCGAATGCTAGCTCGAACGTTTTCTGCGCACGCCGTCTGGGGCTGACGAAGACGTGGGCGAGTTTCGTTGGGTCCACGAGTTTGCCTGGTCCTACGATTATGGCGCCTGAAGCGAGAACTTGGGCTTCGCCGTGGGCAGTGAGCTCGAGTTCGGTCGTGCCAGTGTAGCGGCCATTTTTGGACCATTCAGTTTCACCTGGGTGGTGCTTAGTTCCAATAGCTTATATTTGAAATGTCTCAGAAATAGCTAGTACCGTGTCTGTAAAGAAAGACACGCGGGGTGCCAGCATCTTTATCGGTCATCTTGAGCGCTAGTTCTGAAGTTGCTGAGATTAGGGAGGGAAGGTTAGACTAGATATAACCTGGACTATAGATATGACTGGGAAGATATGTTCGCTTTAAAAAAGCATGTAACAACATCTTTTAGAATTTCTTACTTTTCTTCGATACTTCTTAGGTTCAAGAGATTCTACAGAGGGTGAGGGTTAGGTGAGAAACACGGTCTGAAGAATATTTAGTGAAGACCGGGACACTAAAAACTCGCTTTAAAAGCGTATGAGGAGCTTAGGATCTGGCAATATATAGACTCGAACAACTCATACGGTCCCGCCCCGGTCTTCGGGATAAACAGTGGACCACGTGGGGGTGTTGAGTTTTTGCTAGCCTCCACATCACCGATGAAACCGCACTCAACCACGGCCTTACGCTTCAACTAAGGAGAATTAACGACTACTACGACTACAGTGACCCTAGTACTCTACGCAACATCACGGAAATTTTGGGTCGGTGTGGTTGCATCACGTGATACTCGGGGTCGCTCGAATGATTTTCCGGTATTCTAATGCCAAGCCCAGCTTCATGTCCAACGAAGCTCATCGAAGCTGTCACCACCTTGCTTCCACCATAATCACTGCGACCCCTAGCGTACCTACCTCCTTCCTCATCTTGGAACCTCTCCGCCCGCTAGGCCGACGCCCTAAATACGCAACTCTCAATATCTGAATCCTCAACGTAGGCTTCCAGCCGCGTAACTGTTTAGTGAACCTCCGTTGTCCTTCCACCTACCACATTCACACCCACACCCACCCACAATGAGCGGCAGCGATCCGGAGCGCGAGCATGCGCTGGAGGAATACAAGGATAAGTTGATGGACTCGAGGGAGTGGGAGGCGAAGCTGAAGGCGCTACGGTTGGAGATCAAGGGACTGCAACATGACTTCGATGTTTCGGAGGACAACATCAAGGCGCTGCAGAGTGTAGGGCAGATAATAGGTGAAGTGCTGAAGCAGCTAGACGAGGAGAGATGTAAGTATTCCCGGAGGTCCCCGTGAGCAGGCAGACTAGTCCGCGTTACCACTTCAAGACCAGTAGCTGATACTTCACTAGTCATTGTCAAAGCGTCCTCAGGACCTCGATATGTCGTCGGCTGCCGATCGAAAGTCGACAAAGCAAAGCTGAAGCAAGGAACCCGTGTCGCGCTCGATATGACGACTCTCACAATAATGCGGATGTTGCCACGCGAGGTAGACCCGCTCGTCTACAACATGTCCTTGGAGGATCCCGGCCAGGTCAGCTTCGGTGGAATCGGTGGATTGAATGAGCAGATTCGGGAACTACGGGAGGTCATCGAGCTACCACTCAAAAATCCCGAGCTGTTCTTGCGAGTCGGCATTAAGCCGCCGAAGGGTGTGTTGCTCTACGGTCCCCCTGGTACCGGAAAGACGCTACTTGCGCGCGCTGTGGCAAGCAGTTTAGAGACAAATTTCCTAAAGGGTAAGATTTGTGGTCATCGAACTACCTCATCTAAGACTAACGGGATACAGTCGTCTCCTCCGCCATCGTCGACAAATACATCGGAGAATCAGCCCGCCTGATTCGAGAGATGTTCGGTTATGCCAAGGAACACGAGCCATGCATTATCTTCATGGACGAGATTGACGCTATCGGTGGGCGAAGATTCTCGGAGGGCACATCAGCAGACAGAGAGATCCAGCGAACGTTGATGGAGCTACTCAATCAGCTAGACGGTTTCGACTACCTTGGACAGACTAAGATCATTATGGCAACAAATCGACCAGATACCCTAGACCCCGCGCTTCTTCGAGCTGGACGGTTAGACCGAAAGATCGAGATTCCGCTGCCGAACGAGGTTGGGCGGCTTGAGATCATGAAGATTCACGCACAGGGTGTGCAGACGGAAGGCGAGATTGACTTTGAGAGCATCGTCAAGATGAGTGATCAGTTTAACGGTGCTGACTTAAGGAACATCGTCACTGAAGCGTATGTTGACTCTTTCGAACTTCCCCCCCACCCAAGATAATCGCTAACCTAGGTATACAGTGGCCTCTTCGCTATCAAAGACTATAGGGACGCCATCAACCAAGACGACTTCAACAAAGCCGTCCGCAAGATGGCCGAATCCAAGAAGCTGGAGGGCAAACTAGAGTACCAGAAGTTGTGATGAGCGCATTCGATCCGTTTGGTTCTACCCCAAACGTTCTCTTGGACAGCAATCCTGGCGTCTATGGCGCTCTCGGCACATAGATCATGTAGTATAATAGCTAGCTAGACTCTGCATGACACTTGGCCCCGTCAACTATCATATTAGCAAGCAAGCATCACAATCACATTTTCGGCCATGTTGTCATTGTGAACGTTGATTTCGTCTACGATGAACCATACTCCAAACACTCCATCTCCACACCCCTCAGCTCCTCGATCTCTTGCACACCCCGCCCCTGAAAATCCCACCGCAACTCCAACTCCCCGAAGTAATTCACCGTCTCGGAAATTTTCTTGAATCCAACACTCTCGAACAGCCGTATACTCGGTGCGTTCTCCCCATCTACCTTCACTCGAAGATACTTCAATCTGCATCCCCCCTTCGACGTCTTCTCATTGCCTTGCAACTGGCCCTTACTGTACTCGTCAACGATAGCAGGAATGTTCAACATGATGTACGCCAAGAACGCAAGCAAGACCGCTTTCCCGTACCCACTCCCCTGCAGCTCTTTCCGCGCTATCATGATCTCGATTTCGCCGATGATGCTGCGTTCTTTTACCGCCGTCTCTGCTTTCGGGTCTTCGGCTTCCTCGTCGTCGTTGTCGTCGGCGGCGTCGCAGAGGAAGAGGTTCACGTCGCCGAGCATGCGGTCGGGGGCGTCGTGTTGAGCCGGCGTCACGTGTTGGGGTTTTTGAAGAGGGGCGATGCAGGCGATGAAGGTGAGTTTGTCGGCGTCGAGGCGCCAGCTGCGTTGCATGGCGTGTTCTTGGGGGAGGGTGAGGGGGTCGGAGGCGGTGGCTTTTTGGAGGGCCTGGGGGGGTATGAGAGTTGAGTTAGGTAGATAGAACGGTGGAAGAAGAGTGTAGGCTGAATAGAAGAGAATTTAACTTGAACGACTATTTGAATGCTTCTTTTCGCGATATGTGACTTTAATTGATAGCAACACTGCCAAAAGATGGTGCAGTTGGATCTGCTCGAATACGGAGAATGGATGACTTTACCTCATCTTGCATCCATTCGTGGTAGGTTGGTACGTGATGTTCTGAGTATGGCACGAGAAGGACTTTTGGGGTGAGAATCGCTGGTTCTGACGTTTAACAAATGGAGATTCAGGAATATTTGGAGCACAAACCTATTTTCTCGTTCAACAACATCTTTGTTGGAAAACTTCAGTTTCTCAGCTTGTGTTGTTATAGGTGTCGTCGAGCACTGTGCCTCAAAGGTTGTGGAACCTGGGAAGTCGTCTCGGAAGCGAGCTTATTCTGGACCCTACCTTCGTATCTCAACATCATCTGTCTTACTTCCATCAGCCAATTCACGATGAACTCTCTCAACACTGTTGGCACTCGACAGCAGCAATGGAAAAAGTGCTAGTCACAGGCGGTACTGGGTTCCTGGGCTCAGCGATCGTCAAAGCACTGCTAGAGACGAAGAAATACGATGTCACGGCCCTAGACATCAACCCGCCGTCATTGGGCACAGCGTCGTACCTGGATGTCAATTATGTCCGTGCCAGCGTTTTAGACGTTGGAAGTATCAGGAAAGCAATTGAAGCTGCCAGACCGAGTGTTGTTATCCACACTGTTGGCGTGTATCATACAGACGGCAGAAGATACGGCAAGGCAGGCCGAGAAGAGCTATTTGGGATCAACGTTATTGGCACGAAGAATGTATTAGAAGCTGCAAGAGAGTTTGGAGTGAAAGGCTTCGTCTATACGTCGTCTTGGGCGGTAGTGATGGATGATTTGGATTATGATCATCCGAATATGGATGAGGCGTCGCCGGTTGGACATGCAAGTTTGCTATATGGGCAGTCAAAGGTAAGTGTAATTTTCTTTAGATCGACGATCGAAATACGTTTGTTATTCGTTCGTTATATTGACGAAGCTCATATTGCGTGAGATTTCCCTATTTGATGTTTCCATCCCCATAGAATCCAATCCTTTAGAAAATCCAATCCCTCTTTTCTAGATTACTTCCCCTTACTCTCTAGAGCCTTTCCTCTAACAACATAAAGGCCGCGGCTGAGGAAATTGTTCTCAGCGCCAACACACCCCAATTTCGCACCTGTGCCCTCCGCCCCGCCGTCATCATCGGCCCCGGCGACCCTGCCACCATCCCCACTATCCACTCATGTATCAGAAAAGGAGAGACCCCATTCATCATCGGAAGTGGACATAATCTCACAGACTTCGTCTACATTTCCAACATTGCCGACGCACATATCCTCGCCGTTTCGAACCTTCTAACGACTGGCTCCGCTGCTGGGGAGGCCTTCTTCATCACGAATGGCGAGCCGTTGTCTTTCAGAGACTTCTGTGTCGCGGTTTGGGCGGAGTTCGGACACGTGCCGTGGCTCGAGATTAGGATCCCAGAGTCGCTGGCGTGGGGATTGGGGTGGGCCGCGGAGTGTGTCACGTGGTTTACTGGGCAGCCGGCGACGTTGAGCAGAGGGGCCGTGAAGGATGCGTGTCTGTCGCGGTATGCGAATATTGACAAGGCCAGGCGGGTGTTGGGATATGAACCTAAGGTGGGGTTGGCGGAGGGGACGAAGTTGGCGTGCCAGGTATTCGTTCTTCTCCATTTGACTGTGACAGTTCTGACACCTACGATTGAAGGAGTACAAGAATCGAATCTCACACAAGCGATAACGACAGTAGCAATAGTACCTAGACGATCCCTTATTGCTCACTTCAATGTATCTCTTCATCCTTCGCACCTACATCCCATATGGTCTCAATCGCGCGTAGCTTTGAATACCTACGGTGGCGAAACTTAACGAGGTGATGATACACCTCTGGTGAGATGCAGGACCGCTAGTTTTGCGACAGGGAGAGGCTAGTTCTCGAGTTCTCGGACACCGTAAAATCTCGAAAATCGCCTTTGGTGCGGAGACTATCTAACCCATCTATTAGAAGAACTGGCAAAATGCCAGAGCGCTCAGGAGTTCTCGCGATGCCCGCGCTCTATTTTAGGGCCTTCGGGGTCTTTAGGGATCATGGCCGGAGAGATTTGGGATGGAAGGGCGAATCTCTGCAGGTGAGCGGATAATAAACGGCGGAGGAGCTTAACGTAAATCTTGTTGGCCCAGCGACAAAGCTTTACAGAGGTGAGATGGTCTGCCCACACCGGAGCCGTCTCCTTACTCACGTGCCCTTACCAAAACAAAAACAAAACCCCGCTCCTTACATCAACCCATCTATATATTTCGAGTAAAATGAACCCTATCTGTACTAACCAGCAGGAACCTTGCCCTAGTGGCGTCGGCCCCGTATCTCCCACATGCTAACTCTAGGTCTTGTTTTTCTTTTTTGTATTGCTTGGCTAGGTCCCGGTTCGATTCCCGCTCTCTTCTGGACTTTTATTTATTTTTTGGAATTTCTTTTCGGAGGCACGACTGTTGGAGGATGACAGTTAGCTACAATAAGATGTATATATAATGTACACGTCTAGTATATGTTCAGACGCCACGGCCTGCAAATTAGCAGCGGCATCGACTTCTCCTAAGTGTGTTGGATTATGACAATCACCTACAGCAATCAACGCTAGTCGCAAACAGGGCGCTTTCATATACATACTGTCGCGTTCCACCAATTTTCAGATGCTACGGCCTGCAAACCAACAAAGTGACCCCATGATCTCTTCGTAATGACTTTTGCTAGGGCTTTTAATTTGTTTTCAGCATCGCAGAGCTGAAATACGCACCATCATCTTCCCAAGATCTGGCCCTCAAAGCGATTAGGGCTAGCAGCTGGTCGCGTCAATAGTCAACATCAGCATCACTGCTGGAATCTCTCACACACCGATAACCTCCATCTCCAAAACCCCTGACCCAGCCAACTCATGGAGCCTTCGTGTTCTGGAGGTTCGAACGCTTCCCTACACTCATTGGCCTTCCAATTCGCCGAGTTTGATCCAGCACAACGCCAGAACCGAGGAGCCATTATGTATGAACAGACCTCGATTTTGCTTTCTTCAGGTACCCCCAAGCTCGCCAAGAAGAAGATCGTTTGTACGGCGGTTCTGATATATAAAGATTTTTCAATGCCAAGATATGTGTCACGTGCGTATCATATGATAAGAAGCGGAGCGGTCCGGAGTCGGCGAAACTATGCAAACTATCGGTTTACTTTTCTCTGCATCATGTAGCGGGAGATTGTGGCGCATGAATGCATGTGAGTCTCGATAGAGCTTGTAAAAGGGACGATAGAGAGAAGGATCGGACAGCATCTTCGCCCTAAGGAAACACTGGTAGGGAAGCGAGCCTAGTAGAATATAGAAGGAGACTTGTAATGTAATTTAAAGGATGTAGTTGAATTTGAGTGTTTGAGATGATGTGAGAAGCCTCTCTGGGCTTGAGGATCCCGCGATCTATTCGCAACATGGATGGCATCCACGAGACGGCTGATAAGAGTTATTCCAGATCTTCCTGTGTCTTCGGGAAGCTTAAGTGCTCGCTAGGGGCGTTGCAAGGAATGAGAAAAGTCAGAAAGTCTAGAGGGTATTACATCGAATTTGCTACCCAAAACGCCTCATGCCTCGTCCACTCCATCCATTCATGCATCATGCAATCCCGCCTCTTCAATCTAACATAAATATAGAGGCCACCCCTCCGCCTCCCGTAATGCATATACAGCCCTCTCGCGCGCCCATCGCAGGGCCCCCACGAGAGCTCCAAGCCCACCTACCTACTGCTTCTTCTTCCCCGCGGCCTTCTTCTCCTTATCCGCCTTATTCATCGCCTCAATCTCGGCATCCTCCTTCCGCTGCGCATACCACTGGCCCGCCTGCAGCACCAACACGCCCACCATGACCAGCGCCAGGATGGTGTTGCTCGCCGCAAACACGCGCAGCGTGTCCTCGCGCGAGATATAGTCGTCCGCCTCGGCCGCGGGGTCGCTCGCCAGCGTCTCGCCCTCGATCAGCTCCATGTTGCCGTAGATGCCCGCGTTGATGACCTTGAGCCCCTTGACCACGTTGGTGATGTACACGGTGATGCCCGACAGGTAGAGCACCAGCGCCGCGCCGTCGAAGAGCATGTTGGCTTCCGAGGGCTTGTACAGCTTGGTCAGGAAGCCGAGGATGCCAACGGCGATGGAGATGTGCAGGATGCGCGAGATGATGGGCGGCGAGTTGTACAGGAAGCGCAGGTGCTCCTCGAGGATCACGTAGTACGGCTCGCGGTCGGGCGGGGTCGCCCAGAGGACGTTGTAGTCGTAGGGGAAGTTGGAGAAGAGGATGCCCAGGAAGAAGCATGTTGCTGTATGGAGGAGGTTAGTTGCGGTGTCTGGAGATGGGGTGAGGTGGTTGAGGAGCACGTACGCCCGATAATGAGGAATGTCGCGAAGGAGTTTGGCGCCGGCATGATTGCGGTTGCTTGCCTTGATCTCAAGAAAGTATTTTGGGTTTGGAGAGAGGCAGAGATCAGCAAGGGTCTTAAGTGTATGATGGACGTGGCAGAAGAAGGGCAGAGAAGAATGGAAGCTTATCGGCCCTGGTCTGGTGGGAGGCGAGCGTAGAGTGCATGAGGAAGGTGGAGGAGCCGTGGGTCAGCCTTGTCGCGGATGCCGAGCGCTCAACACTTCTCTACCGCGCGCGATTAATCTTAAGGGCTTCTAGAACCCACTGCTTGTGTTGGAGGCTGAATTCGCGTCCTTTTCTGCCTAGAAGAGGTGGATTGGATATGCCTTATCTAGGTTCCAGTGATGCTTCGAGAGCCTTATCCAATTAGAGCAGCTACAATTGAACTTGAAGAATGCAAGGTCATATGAAATACGGTTGCATATAACTTTCTATACATCTTGAATTAGGCTACTCTACCACGCTGGGCGTGAAAGAAGTGGCACACTCATCAAACACTCTGTCTCGTACCTATCCACCTGTCTACTACTGCTTGAAGTACAACAAGTTTCCAAATAGCCAGAGTCAAGAGCTTTCATCCCGTTCTCAAAATGCATCTAAACACCCCAAGCAGTGGCAGACACACCCACAACGGCTTCTTCAAACTAAGCGTGCTACTTTTTGTATGCCAGCTTGCGAGTAACGTCGTCTTACACCCAAATCCTGTGATCCGAGATTCACCTCCTACCGAGACACGCTGGCATTCACCAAGCATTCTGTCTCGTGTGTACACTTGTCTGCAATTGCTTGGGGTACTTCAATGACTTGCCACCTAGCCCAATGTGAAGGGCTTCTATCTCGTTGAGAATTGGAGGATGTTAATGCGGCGTTGCTAGTCCCAAGTGTACTAAGCATGACCAAGTCTGCACGCGAATAATCTTCACCAATTCAAACTTCCACGCCTCCTTTGCTGAGAGCAAAAATATTCTGCAAAAACACGCTACAGCGGGAATACACGTGAGCGCTGTTCAAAGGCATTTCATTATATGAAGCCTAGGTAGCAAGCAAACACCAACGCTTGAAAAATGCCCAAATCCACTCCAACGCTTATGAGTTCATGTTCGCCATACATGCTATCCTCCAATGGTGGTATCGTATCCTTGTTTCCAAAAGTCAATCCAAATCATACACGCTCAAATTCATCCCCAGCGGCCAGTGCTGCGGCTTCTCAAACACTAGCCGCGCACATGAGAAAGGTCCGACCACTGGACTGGTTTCCTTATCCAGGAGCCTAGCATCCGAAATGTGGTAGCGTTTGTGTCCAAGTCGCAGATATTGGCTGCGGCTGACTCTGCCAAGATCTAGCCATGGTTTTGCACAGGCGCGTACCCATTTGAGTTGAACATGGGCGGTGCGTGTTCCACTGGAGGAGAGTAAAGAGCAGGCGGCATGTGTGTCATCCCCCCAATGCTGTGAGGGCGCTCATACGCAGTGCTAGCCGTCAAAGGAGAAGTTTCCGCGATGTGGACGGTTGCTTCCTTGTCCATGTCGTGGTGAGAGAGCTCGTCATGGTGGTCGTGCTCCTCGTGGCCATGCTCCTCGTCCTCGTTTGCGTAGGGCGCACCGCTCTTCTTCAGGCGGTGGTTTGCAAAGACGGCGGAGACGCGGTCGAAAATGAGAATCAGGAAGATGATGATTAGGCACAATGGGAGGACAACAGGGCTAGAGATTAAGGTGTAGAGGGCGTTCTCATTCGCAACGACTGCGACCAAGCAAGCGCTCAAGCCGAGCATAAGCGCGCGAATGATGATGGAAATCCAGTCGAAGAAGTCGGACTTGTTCTTGCGGATCAAGATCATGAAGATGAGCGAACAGAGAATGAGCATGGTGAGGGAAGACCAGTAGTAGATGTAAATGACGCGCCATGCGTGAAACATGATTTCTGTGGCGGTCAGGTTCTTCAGGGCTTCGCTTTCAGGAAGCTCGACGCCGAGACTTTGGTAAAGGGCACTCGTCGTGTCGACGAGGAGATTGACTACGCCCTCTGGGTACGCATACGACCACGCAGAGTAGGTCTGTTGGAACGAGGCGGTATTCTTTGCAGAGCAGATTCCAGTCGCGTTTGCGATGAAATCGAGTTTTTCTTCGATAAACGGCATGTATTTCTCCGAGTCGACTTTCTTGTCCAACTGATAGTACTCGATCTTCTCCATGAGGGCGGTTGCAAGATCTTGACCGTCGAGATGGTCCTTCACACAATAGGTCCAGAAAGCTTTGTCGATCTTTAGCATTTGCAGGCTGACATATCGGGCCAAGGCAATCTGTTGGGAGCCTTCCACTAAGCCAACAATCGCTAGGTGAAGAGGGAAATGCAGAACAGACCAAATCTGCTGCCGTATCGTACCGTAGTGTCCGTGGGGAGAGTTGTCGAAGTACAGCATCCAGACGAATACCTAGCGGGGATTAGGGCTGTCATGTTGATCCTTAAAACTGTGTTGGATGTTCTTACCAGAACGAGGATGATGCAAATGACGAGAAAACATCCTGAAGGATCCAGACCGTACTTGCCCATCATTTTGCTGATAGTCTTGGTTACACCAATGGCACCCTCTCCGATGACGATCAAGGTGAGAAGTCCCATGCGCTCGACTATATGGGTTTTCTTGAAGCTCAACATCGTCCAACAGCACGAGATGGCAATCGAACCGAATGACTCGATGAGCATCACAATATACCAAACAACGTAGATCCTGCCGTGGCCAGTGGCATTTTCCTTGAAGGCTGGAGTCATGGCCACGAAAACGACGGTGGCTCCCAGATAAATAATGATATTTATGATGAGGGGGAGGTACAGCTTCTTGTATTTGGCGACTATCGTAGAGATGAGGACGACGATGTATTGAAGGGTGAGCAACGCCCTGCTTAAGACGAGGACATAGCAAAGAATTCGAAAATTCTGTGCTCTGCGTTAGTTGTCATGCAGGGGAGTAGTATGTAGAGAGGTACATACAGTGTTGTTGTCCTTCGTAGGATCATCATCCTTCGTTTTCTTGTGATTCGGCTGAAACTTAGAACCTACGAGCGCCAAGCCAACAAATGCGATGAACTGGGCGACCTTGCATATTCGCTCAAAGATTGAATCTCTGGCAAATCGGACATCATGGAGCGTGATCTGGAACCAACTACACCATAGAATGGCAAAGAACCCGATGTATGCGTACAGAGAGTCGCTGTCGGTGATAGAGTGATGGGCGGTAAATGTGGCGAGATTGGCTACGAAGAACAGGTCGAAGAATAGCTCCAGAGTGTTGGCCTCGTGTCGCTGGTGGAACACAAGATGCTGTGGATCCGCACCTTGTAAAGGGTTCTCAATCCAAGGCACAATTTTGTGAAGCCTTTTCAGGTGCTTCTGAGCGTCACTAGATTTGTATTAGCCTGCAATGAGGGATTGAAGCGAGAAGTGAACGTACACCTCTCTCTTTTTAGATCCATGAACGCTGAAACCCATGGTGAACGCTGAACAAAGGCAATGAAAAGAAACGCGTCAACTGGACAAAGCCGGGATGGAGCTGAGAATGGAGATCTCGAGGACGCGCGGGGGAGATGAAATATAAAGTATCCGGGCGGCCGTGCGGGAGGGGCGTTGAGATCGTCCAACGCAGCCGTGCTCAATTGAACCTTTCCCAATTCGCATCAGAGCCCGATGAGGCTGGAGAACAACCTGGCATAGCTTCAGCAGCACGTTCCAGGATTGCGCCGGGGCCTAAATGTGGGGGCTGAGCGGGAGGTTCACGAGAGGGTAGAGTGGCTTAGGAAAAGCGTCAAGGTCAGCGAAACTGTCAAGCTTTAGCTGATGTTGGACCAACGCGCTTGACTATGCCTACTGGGGCAGAAATCTGCAGGATTCAACGTTGTTTGGTGCTATTTCGAGCCGAGTTGGACTCTGCTTTGCGTGCTAATATCTTGGTATATCTTGGCAGGGTGAAATTAAGCCGAGCTGAAAAGCTTCGCATGTCTCCACGGTCACACAAACATGAGGAGGCCGTGTTCGAGGGCATTGTGAACCTGTCTTTTGGAAATCAGAAGCGATTCCGAGGCCAGCCGTGACGAAGGACTCGTATAGTGGTTGATGCTGCTTCAGCAGAGCGCCTTGCAGGACAGCCACGCTGGCAGTCCGTCACAGGCCGGTCAACAAGTCCGGGGCGAGTGCTGCTCCATGCGGTGATTTGGGGTGGTGGTGATAGTCTGGTTGGCGGAACCGCCCTGTCGTCTCGTTGCACCTTAGAATAGAGCTAGCGCCGGGTAGCACATCTCCCAGTATCTTCCGTAATCGATTTCTCTGTGGCAGTGCAAGCCTGTTCCCAACCTCACTCCTCTACCCTCCTTCGTACGCCTATACAGCTATTTCTCATCACTTCCTCCCAGACACGCAGAGTCTCAGCCCTCGTCTTCTTACACACGCCATGAGCTGCTGGCAAGCCCCCAACGACGGGAGAGTCCACGGAGCCGCTCATTTCAAGCAGCCCCAGTGTTTATGCTAGCGTCGATCATAATCGTTTCATCAGCCATTTTCCCAAAGCGCGATCGCAGGGTCCGGGTAGCCCTGTCGACTTCTAATAATTACCTGCCAAGCCTACATACCTTTTGCTGACCAGTGGGCCCTTTTCTCTTTCCTATTCTATATAGTTAGACATCGAAAGATATTTTCTTGGAGCTCCAAGGCCAATGCTCCACCATTGCCCCAAAACACAGCCCGCCTCCCATATTGCAGATGTCATAATCCCATTTTCATATGAAGATCCAGGGGCCGCTTCACCCTAGTCAGGCTGTGATATATGGACAAAATGAGCAGGCCAGACGCGTCTGCCACGCGAAGGCAACTACGGCTACGTATTATAATCCAATGAGTCCGTTAGATTGCCAAATGTCGGCGCAGAAAAATATGACATTCATGTCCTATTCTGTCTCTACTTTGAATCCAGCCTAGAGAAGTTCTGGTGCCTAGACTCCGTTGTTTGCTGGTGTTTACGGAAACATCGCATCGAAAAGTATATGTCAAAGCGTCTCGTTGGAACACCAGCCAAAGCGTTCTGTTCGCATGTCGCGACTCGGGGGCAGTTTCAGCACGAGTCCGTCTTCCCGCTCGAGGACGTGGAAGATCACTGCTTGAATTCAATTTCTCAATCGTCGAGACACGATATCCGGGCTGCTTGAAAACGTCGCAGAGGCCTTCAGACTGTCTACACGGATGTCTACTCAAGGGCGGTAGATATGGTACCCGTGCTGATGAAGCCTCCCAGTGAATATTAACTCCTAATTCAACATCATTTACTTTCCTACGATGCTCGAAAATTGCAACACCGGTATCCAACTACTCAAGCAGTGGAATGTATCAACAGAGGAGTCTATACTTGGATGTAACGGTTTAAAGCTTGTACAATGCCTGAATCTATGTCTTTTTTAAGCTTCACAAAATACACTCCAAATGTCACGCAATAGGAGAGTATAGACGTTGCACGGGTTGTATTGAAAGGTACCTAAGGATGAGGATGTAGAGGAAAAGAAGAGGTCTAAAGGAAGGTGAGGCTATGTACCCGTGCCTGTCACGTCCACACCGCTTCCCTGACGCCAAAGAAATCCATCAGCTCTTTAAAGCGCAACTAACGCTACTGCCACCGCAACCAAGAAACCCAATGACTGAGGGCCCAGTGGCGCCGCCGCATTCACCTTTGACGATGTCTGCGCCGACGTTGATGTGGGACTCGATGGTTTGTTGGTTGTGTTCGTCGGAGTCTCCTGCTTCATCTTTCCGTGGAGAGAACCTCGTCCAAACGGCTTAAACCCGCCACTGATGCTGCTCTTGTCCCCCGTGGAGTTCTTCACACAGAGCGAGTTGTTCGTATGCGCGGACCAGACCGCTTCCCAAGCAGCGGTAGGATTGAACAGCATCTCGGACGTCAGCCAGAGGCGGCAGTCGGCCGCTTCGTAGGTGTATTGCAGAGGCGCTTCGGTATCGTCTCCTTTGCGGATCTCATCCTGTGTCTGGATGCAAGATTGGCCGTCGCCGATGCGTACGAGGGCTTGATTTGTGTTCGCGAGTTTTTCGATCACAGTACCGGAAAGGGTAGTGGCGCCTAGAAGCTTAGTCGCCTCCAACATAATCTCGCCGTATTTTTGAACCTGGACGGTGGAGATGACCTCGCCTCCTTTGGTTCCACCGAGAGCTTGCATCGGGCCGGTCTGCGGACGGCCGCCGATGACGACGCTCTTGACGCCGGCGACGTTCTTTAGTTCTTCATGGAAGAAAGCGCAGGCAGAGCCGCAGAGACCGTCAAGCATCATGACGGTGTTGTCTACGGAGAATTGAAATTGAGCTTTCGTGGTATTAGAGATAGGAAAACCATCCGGGGGGAGTGTAGAGATCCGATCACTGTTGGAGAGCTGGCTAGTCGTTAGTGATCAGCTTTACAGACCTCGGGCTCTGAAAGAGGCTTACGTTATATCGTATAGTGGTTGTGAAGGTGTCGTTGTTGTAGGTGTGTGGCCCATAAAATTCCTTCCAGGATGCGAAGTTCTTGTTATTCACATCGAGGAAATGCCAATAAGCCCAGTGCCTGAAAGTATCGGTGACGTCTTTTATGTACAAGTCAGCTGTGCTCGTGTATAGTAAATACGGAGGATCAATGGTAGCACTTACCATAGCCACTTGCAAGGAATCCGATTGACATGGTCTCGTTGTGATGAATCTCAGACACCCTATCACCAATCAACAGGAATTGCTCCTGGGCTCTGTATCGATGGGCGGCGAAGGGCGTTTCCCCAGGGAAAAGCTGCATGAGGGTGTCCAGCACCAAGTGCACATGCCCGCCCCCGTTTTCACGCAAGTCAATGATCAACTTCGTCTTATTGGCTGCGGCTGCCTCGCGCATGAACTGTGCGACGATAAATTGGAATGTCTTGCTGAGGAGCAATTGAGACGCGCGGCCCGTGGGGTCGTGAGGACTAAAGATGCGGTACATATTAGAAGAAATGCACAGAAGGGGAGTACGGGGACAAAATACTGAACCCTCTAGGTCTGGAATGTCCACTGGGGTCTTACTTACAAGAATGTAGCTATTTTGAGGATAGCTAGGTCCTCAAAGCCTGAGTCGTCCAAGAAGTAACCGGCAACTGCTCCAGTACTGTCTTCGACAACGGAAGTAGGATAGATGCTCGGGATGCTTGCCCGTTTTTCAATTGGCGTGGCTTTCTTGAGGATTGCCGATGGTGCTGCTGAGTTATTCCGGAAACCTGAGATTTGTCCCCGGCAGAAGTCCCGGTAGAACGACGGCCCATCAGTTGTGTTGGTGATGTTTTGATAGACAACCGCCAGATTCTGAGAATTCTTCGTAGTACCATTTGCGAATGTGACGTTAGTCCAGTCCTCTTGATACGCCTCTTGGTTGTAGAACGAACCCAGTGATCCATTGGCCTCTTTCAAAAAAAGACTGTTGACTCGCGCATCGAGGTTTGTGAAATATGAGTCAGAAGCAATTTCCTCTAGGAAGCTCTCGATATCCTTCCCATTGATTTTGGAGATGGCTGAGATTTTGATGTCACTCTCTTTCTGTTGTTTCTCCAGGTCTGTCGCATCGTACACTTTTGGAAGGCTGTTACCGTCATCGGATATCGAGGCAATTGCGGAGTCCCTATAGAAGGCAAACACCTGGAGAATATCTGGCTGATACCGGAAATGTCCATTTCCGCTTCGTGTCGCCAGGGACTTGATGTCTCTTTGCACTTCGTATTCACTCCGGTAGTTCGACAGATTTCCTTGGATGGCGTCCAACTCCTTGATCACGTCTAGTGGCCCCAACTCCCACGTACTCGGGGTATTCTTTAGCCATCCTGTCTCAGAGTGCCATTCCCATAATATTTTCAGATCGTCTATGAGCTGTGAGTCTCCTTCTACGTCGACTGGGACCGAAACTAGACAGGCGTATGCGACTTGAGCAGGGAGGCGTGAGCCGGCGCCTCCATATTTGGCGATCAGAGAACAAGGCTCCACAGAGCCTGAAGGAGTGCTGGAAGGTAAACTGGCGATAGAAGCTGTCTTGGTATTGATGGGAACTGTACTCTGGAAGAAGGTGGAGGAGAAGCCTATGCCGGCACGAATAAAGTCTGCGGGACGCATGTTAAGGCTCAGCACTCGCTCAAGGCTGGGACCTTGTTACGTAACAGGAGAGAGTGACCGCCGTACGTATGGTATTCGATGATGAGGATGAGGATGTAGAGGAGAAGGAGAGGTCTGGAGGAAGGTGAAGCTACATACAAGAGGTGTCATGCGCCTGCCGCAGCTCTCACCGCTCCTCCCTGACAGTTGCCGCCCCAAAAGATAGCAGGCGTCCTCGTCTGCTGCCCTTATGCCCACCCTGAGGCCCACGGGTCACCCAAAGATGCCCGCGTACTTTCTGGTTGGCTAGGACTGATGAAGGAACCGATGGGAGCATTACGGGCTACTGGAGCTAGTAGAGGCGCCCCCATTGATACAGAGAAGACCCACATTCGCTTTCGACCAGGAGGTTATAAGAACTCCCATTATTCTTGCGAGATAGGAACGACAGAAGTTTAAACTGTGTGAACGCTCTGCTCTGTCTTGTAGCTCTATGTTCAAGAGTATTCGTTCCTCCTCACACTCGCTGCGAATGCATCTCTCTTTCCAAGTGGAGCAATCAGTCATCTGATTGTGCTTTGAATTCGTTCAACAAACCGCCATGCGCATGCCTCGACTCAATCCGGGAAGGACTTTCTTGCTTCACTCCTCACCTCACGCACACCCCCTTCCAAGACCCCAGTCACCCACGTCTCCAAGCTCCGTCCACCCCCTCACACACGTACTCCCCATCGTCTTTGTCCTGGACCCTCGGCGAGAATACGATTTTATGTGCAAACACAAGAATCCAATCCCCGCCCTCGCGCGCCGTGAAACTCAGAACCTCCCACCGTCCACTCGCAACTCTAAGAAGTCCCTTGCCTTGCCACGTGTACGTTCCCGTCTCGCCGTCCACTAGAGTGTTTTTCCCGACTAGCGTTTTGACAGTGTTCGAGGTCACCGGTTGGTAAGATGCAGTGTCGTCGATATGAGAGCCAGAAGGAGCGAGGTTGTAGTTGAGGCGGACGTTGCGTTTGTCTTTCCAGAAGGGGATAGAGGAGCGAACGAGGTACCAGTCGCCTGCGAAAAGATCGGATAGAGCAGCTTGGATGCTGGGGAGTGAGGCGGGCTTGGACTGGGGTGCGGTTGAAGGAGGGCGGAAGTGAGGTGGTGGGATTGAGGTTGGGAGAGACATGGTTTCTGACGGTGGTTAGATAGGGTGGGGGTGCTCTTCAATTAGAGCACTTACGTTGAACTCTTGCTTTGAATGGAAACGTTGTGCTTGGTTCGGTGAATATGGAATTAGGATGGCCCGTAGTTATCTGAGCTGCTAGCTCTGATAGGAGAGTGAAATGGAAGAGATTAAGAGACTACTGGGAGTTGAGTGGAGTGTCAAATTGAGAGATGGGCGCGAAGAAGGATTGAGGCGAGGAGATAGCGGTCTACTCGAACAGTTTTATCTACTGGCCTACTTCGACGTCTTCTCTGCCATGCACCCTTGCTTGTCACCGGAGATATATAAATGAAATGCAAGTGCTACTCAGAATTGTGGCACCTGCCTTGCAGCGGGGCCACACATAGCGCCGAAAGACGTGGAAATAATGCTCTCTTTCAGGATTGGTGTAACCTATCGTAGCCTACAGTAGTGTTCCATGCACATTTTATGCTCCACGGTATTTGCCAGAAGGGCCCCGAGTCAGTTTCGGTTCCGAATCTCAGGGGAATAAGAGGAATGGAAACTCGAATGATCAAGTTATTCTCCAAAGCTGTAAGCTGTTGAAGATGATAGGTCGCCTCTTTCAGAGATTGAGAGTTTTGAGAGTCACGTGACCAAAACCGAATCTAGGCATTGCTCAGAATAACCCTCGATCGATTGCTCATCGGGCGTCCAACGCAATTTCTGGGTTAAGTTTAAATCGATAACGCGCTCTTCTTTACCCTTTTTTCCTCCTTCTCCTTGAGCTTCACAACTCCAACATTCTTCACAACTTCCCGCGAGAGTATCTACGTACCTTCTATTTTTAGATTCTCAAGCTTTCGAGGCACAGTAGCCCACCTTTCACTAAACCATCAGTAGGAAATTATCATTGAAACCCACGGGCTATGGCGTGTCGACCGTAGCAGAGGATGTTGTAGAGCATTTGTGCCCTCGACACCTACCGGAAAACTTGATGCTGGACGGAGACGAGTGACCCGATTTGTAGGGGCCCTGAAAACTTTTCACCTTTGCCCTGAGCCGGCGACTTTGAATCTTTCTTCATGATTTATGATCTGAGGGTCTTACTTCGGACGATTTGGATAATGAAGCTGCTAAAATGGACGTCGGATGTTCTCGAATCTGCCTCAGCGTTACCTCGTTACCTTGTCAAGGGCTTGGCTTTGGCCCCCAATCTATTGTGGCCAACTTCGAATGGACATGAACTTCCTGCAAAGCTGTCAGTTTGAGTAGATTTGCGGAAGGTTTCATGGATAGCTTGGCTGTTATTGACAGTTGGATGGAGAACGCCTGGGAGTCGGCGATCCCCATATAAATGTTTCAAACGGCCTGAAGTTCTAGCAGGTCACCCGCCGTGGGGTTGGATCAGCGCTAAAACAACGCCCAGCCACCGCAGCAGCTCATCTCGTTTCCCGTCTGTCGTCATCTGGACCTGGCCGTAGTTGATGTTGTAGCGAGCAGGACGAGAATTCAATGATCACCTGGCGTTGATCCAGTACGTTCTTAATATCACGTACCGGCTTCAAAGACTTGGGAGATCCTGCGGAGAGTTACAACGTACAAGGGTAGGACTTCGATATTTAGATTAAGTCTGCTTAGCGCGCTTTATTTTGACGTATGTGGGCCTGGGAGGCGGAATTAAGGGTTGCGCAAGTGCCCTGATTACGTCTTCCTCGGGGCATTTCTAGCTATCCAAGGTCTGATTTGTTTCTATCCTCAACACTCCCCGCTCTTCGTAACTGCAAGACGACAATATGGCGCATAAAGAGCTATCTATACGTCGTTTGCTGCAGCTGTACTTGTCAACTTACCTCCTCAGCGTAGTACGCGCCCAGACAACGACCGCGACCCCGACGATATCACTCATTACTGACGCGAAGTTCATTGGCTATTGGTCTCCAACTACATCAGGCGGCTCTGCATGTGAGTGCTACTTCCTTAAAGCCCTTACGCGACTCTCATTGACTGTTCGCAGGGGAACCTCAATACTGTCCATCGGATTCGACATGGTATGAGACCTCGACATGGGGTCGATGCTGCCCGACGTCTGTGACCAATGCAGACTGTTCAATGTGGACCAGTTGTGCTAGCACGTCACTAATATTCGAATCTGGAGGCGGCAGTGCTACGTGGTAGGTCTACCTTTAGCATTCTTTTCGCGACATGTTCTAATCATACTCTATAACAGTGGGACCGCGAATTCTGTTTGCCGCACTGCTACTATATCTCAGGACTCCAATGACCAGAAACCATTTTTGTACATTGGATGCGGAGCGAGCAACTGGACGGCCTACAGGACACCTCCTGAAGCAGTAGTCATAACGCGAACACCGACTGCTAAATCCACGGGCTCCTCGTCGATCGGCACTGCCACAACCTCCAGCGAGACATCCTCCGCAACCTCCACTCCGAAGAAGAATTCCGATAGCAAGATTTGGATTGCAGGCGCCGTACTGGGACCAATATTTCTTGCCGCGGTCGCTGGCTTGCTGTGGTACATATGGATGTTGCGGAAAAGAGAGGCGCGGAAACGGGACGAAAGCGCTGCTCCGATGATTGCTCCCGCCGGCACATACAATCCGGGAGCTGATCCAAGGGCGTCGTACCAGTCTGCATACTACCAACAACCGTATCAGCAGAATCCCTTTGGCGACCAAGCCTACGCGTATAAGAGCCCCGATCTACAACAACAGCCTATACAGACGGCACCAGTGGAGCTCAGCTCGGTACAGGCACCTGTGGAAGCTCCAGCTGAGCCTATGAGTCCAGTGGAACGTCGTTGATGGCCGAACAGACGAATTGGGACCTCCAAAATGTCGACGATCTTGATCAGAGTACGACAGAACCTTTCCATTCACACGGCTCGAGCGAATCGAGGTTAAGATTCGCCTCACACCTGGATTCACTTGAAATCGTCTAATCTACTCCTACCCAGAGGACTTAGATGTCTTCGCGACCGAAGTGATACCCTTGATGCTGCTAGTGACAGCGGTGTGGAGGTTTCTCCGCCACCCAGCTCCAACCGACAATCATATCACCGGCCTACAATGGCAAGGCCTTTCGCCACATCTGGACTACCTGCTGCTCGTTCGTTGCGTATCCACACGTCTGCCTTCTTCCTTCATTGGACGAGAACCGTGATCCGATTTCAATCAAAAGTGATTCACGTGACCATCCTCGAGACGAGCATAGGACGGGGCAAGGGCCTTCCGGATATACAAGATGCACAGAGATGAGACGCTGTCGACGAAATGTAAAGGTTGTAACGGGTCTGGTCGACTGATTGCCCTTCTCCGATGACTAGTTGCGTAGGACTAGGCGCGGACCGTAGCGCGATACGATCTAGTCTTTAATCAAGAAGCCAATACGCGCATAGGAGGACACTGTGCTCCTCGCAAGCAGCCTCAGACGGTAGATTCACGAGGGAAAGTCAGAGAGATATTGGTCATGCCCCGTCTCCTGACCTAAACGGAATGACTACAATCGCGTTGGGCGCGAAGGCCGCAGCTTTGCAGACACAAGGTCCTTCAAGGTATTATAGCCTTATATTTTCAGCCTTCGAGAAGGTCCGTGTGTGGAAGAAGCTGAGTGAAATGCTCGATAGAGCGTTTCTAGCTCGACCGAGATAAAAGCAACCGATTGACGCCACCCAATGTGATATACTCATCCATGAGCGCCGCCATGAGCACCGCCGTGATTCTCACTCATCGCGCTTTTGACGCAACTCCTCCGCATGATCTGATCCATCCCGCGAATAAGACTTCGTCCCCGCAATCGATCGACCCAACCCCACTCTCCGCTACATATCTCGAAAGCTTCCCGCCCCTCCCATGTTCCCCGACACTTGATCTAGTACGGCTTCCACCGAATCTGCGCGTTGTTGACTGGGTTCGCAGCCGCCTTCTTCTGCGCCTCGAGCTCGGTTCCGTCCACGTCCAACTCGGTGACGGGACCGTGGCGACGCTTCTGCATGTTGAGCCACAGCATGGTGCCTAAGATCAGGACGAGAATGAGGCCTAGTGGGACGCCGATGCCGATGGCCGCTTTGTCTTTGAGGGCGAGGCGGGGGAGGAGGCGGTGAGTTGGGGTAGCGGAAGACATAGTTGTGGTTTTTGTGGAGTGGCTTTGGAGTCTTCGAGGCGGATATGGCTTGGTTATGGGTTCGGGTCCAACAGAGAGAGGTAGAGGTAGATTTATGTAGAGCTGGGCGATGGTGTCAGACGGTGAAACGGAGGGATAATTGCCTTGTAACCACTTCCTCTAGGACCATATAAGCTGTGATACTCACTTGCAGGTACGCTCTGAAGCACAGCACACCTAGCTTCAAAAATCGCCGGGCACAACAGACTCAATCCCACAAGTATATTCTTCACTTCAACGCGAAAGACTCAAGACCAGCAGTAGCAGAACCAAGAATCAAGAAGAAACCAGGAACCGCTCCAACCCGCGGCCAAGCCCATACTTATCCCCATTCCCTTCACTCGGACCCAAAATAACCACCCCGTAACCCTGACTTACTGTTACCTACCTTTCCCATCCCAGCCCAGCCATTACCTTCAATACCCGTCCCTCTCCCCATCCAACCAATCACGCCATCCAGCGCTAGCAATCACCAGCCAAGATCGCACGCGTTGTTACTCACTCCAGCAACCCGCCCCGTGCTGCGAGCTGCCTTTCGCGGAAAGTAAGCGCGGCGATCGGGGCGCCTCTACCGAGCTGCCCTGTTTGCGATCGCGTAGGGCGCTGTGCGGCGGCTCTGATACTGCGGATTGGAGAACGGGGGCTAAGCTTTTGGCTGGCGCCGCTGGGCGTCAGCATTTCGCGGAGAGGGCGCTTTGGGGAAGGAGGTGGGAGGGGAGGGCTGCAGGTGAGGCTTTGGGTAGTGCAGGTTGTAGAGATCGGATCGCGGGAGGTGGAGGAGGCCGATGTCCTATGTGAACATCTCTTGTTACGTCCTATTCTAATAGTGATTTGAAAGTACTGTCTATTGCTGCATGAAAATCTTGTCACATAAGTGGCTTTCGATGATGGCATTGTTCTTGTCACGTGGGCCACACGTGATCTGATCTGCTGCGATTTTTGAAGGATTATCTCTCGCGCCAATACGTGGTATGAGAGAACTACAAATTATACAGACGTTCAGTCTGGGCAGAGGACTTTCATGAATAGAAGTTTTCATTCCAATCGCGTTAGGGTGATTGCTCAAAAGATTTCTAGACACGCTAAGGAGTACGCTAGACAGCTGCGGATGTATATGCTGAGCTGATCCCTGGATGACATTTCACCGATATTCTTCGTAAAATCTCCTTCGATTTAGTTCTGATCTTATTTCTGTTTCAAATACGTACTCAGCTCCATCCATCCCAAGATTAAGAATAGCGGAAACAAAACGGACGAAGCTGATATCTAGGGCTGCTAATGTAAGTCTCAGAAGCACGGACTACAGTGCGTGCATTTTGTTCTTTGGCTAAGACTCTGGCGTATTATGTGATGTATCTCCTATACTAGAACTCCAATGCTTTTGTTGTCAATATAGATGGAGTTCAGTGTGCCATTTGGGTTGTGCGACATTTTCCAGTTTTGTTACGGGTGGAGCGAACGTTTCTGTTGATTGAAATCTAAGGCTAACAAAAAGGTAGAAAATACATAGAGGATGATCCAAACTGTATAGATGTGAAAAGAAATGAAACCACAATTGCAACGAGAGTGTAGACCAGCACTACACACGGAGTACTGGAAACATTGCAGAGTTGAACGGCCAGTGTCAACTGAGCGCCTGAAATCGAAAAAGTCCAATGGTATCCTAGGAAGAAACCGTCGAAGAAAATGTTGCAAGGTCGGGGGTATCGCGTATGCAGCGCTTGCAAAATGAAGGAAGAACGCTAAGCCGTAATAAATAGAACTGCTGCTCTTGACGCGAGATGCGGGAAGCGATAGAAAGACTTTTTAAACGGCAATGAAACGGCCGAAGATGGGGAAAGGACTGAGTGACCATCATCAAGATGGGTGGAGCAGAGATGCGCGCGGTGGAAGTGCGTGCTCTCCAGGGGTGGTCGTGATTGAAGGTCAATGAAGCCGCCTATCTGCTAGGAGGCTGCTCCCAGTTGCGGAGCATCTGTCCGAGCGCCCAGTTCCATTCCGCCACAAAAGCATTTGTGAGTTGCGTAACGCCTTCTGAGGTCGGTTGCCGATTGCCCCACATCGTGGGTTGTGAGGCCTGATATTGGGCGTAATATGGAATCAGTCCACTAGAAAATTTTAGCGGCCATGCCTTCTCGACTACTTCGTAGAGTTTCAACTTACTCGGTCTGCACCTTGCTCAGCACCAACCAGCAAAAGTTCCAACTACGATTACTATTGGGATCGGAGTACACCCGGCGCTTTGCCTCCTCCAAAACTTCGGCACTGGTAACAGTGTAAGCTGGGTCGAAGCGAGTGACAGAAAAGGATATGCATACCTGAAAGGATAGTTTTTCGTAAGTGCTCGCAGTTCTGTGAGCAAATTATGGGAGTTGACGTAGTAGGACCCTATGAGTCGGTCAATAATTGCTTTCGAGTACTAATTCATATTTCCGCCAACTTACAGGCAGATGTCATGGGTTCAGTAACATCTGGCGAGCCAAGTAGAGCGAAAGCCTTCTCGATGCGTCTGAGTTCAAGCAGCGTATTGATTCTATGCGCGCGCAGAGATGATATCAATTGGTCCTTTTCAGCCTGTTTTTTTTGGAATTAGCCATGCTAGTAAGTTGCACGAGAGACGTGCATATTCAACATGTGTGAATAAAAAGGCTCGAGCAGTGCACACATACCAATGAGATTTTCCGTGAGTCTGACATGGTGTCGAAAGTAGGAAGCTTATACGGACGGGCTGGTGGGATGCTGTACTCTGAGTCCTGGGATGATGCAGAGTAGATAGACATAAATGTTGGTGTTGGCCAGTCTTTAAAATCCACACGGGACTGAAGGGATAGCGATTCTGATGGCGAGGTGGTGGCTGGGCTGAAGGGGTCGTTCTGCGACCGAAGAACTTGTGACGGAAGGACTGGTATTGGCTCGGGGTTTGATATCAGCTCGGGACTTAGGACGATTGTCGAGTCAAGATACTGATCAGGGTCGTTGAGCTCGTCCAAGTTTGGGCCAGGAAGAACGTTTCTTCGGCTTCGGGTTTCGGGTCTGCCAGGAACTGTGAGATAGCTTGAGAGTGGTATACTGTGGTGGGCAGGCGAATGTTGATATGCTTCTGGAGATGATGTGGAAGGATCTTCTTGCGGTGGTGAAGTCATGTTGAAGGTCTTTCCATGGCCCTATATACATATTTGTACGCTGGGCATGCCGTGAGATTAAGCTGATATTAAGAACACCAAGCCTTTGACATGAACGAATAAGATGCTAGAACCAACAACTTTAACGAAGCCCCTGCGCAGCCTACGAGCCCCACGAGGTAGCCATGGATCACTACCGGGTGAGGTGAAACCTTGCCGCAATACGAGGTGTGGGTGGGAACGAAGCTGAACCACCACGCGCCCTTTGGGGGACTTTCCAGATGCAAGCCCAACTAGAACGGGTCGACGGGACATGACGGAAAAGGTAAAGGCCACATTCAGCCCTGATGAATGGAGAGGTGTGATTTGATCACTGAAAATAAGAATGAAACTAATCCTAGGAACACTCGACGGACTCGTTGATCTCCCGCATGTCGTCTAGTAAGACATGGTAGAGCTAAGGCAGTCACCAGCCACTGACAAGCCACGAGTGGCTCAGGAAGGTGCGGCTCTCCCGATGATCATGATGCTGATGCCCTCTCCAGCGTCACGCCACGCTTCAGACGTACGAAGACTCCATGTCCGCCGTCGGATTGGGCACACCTTGGAGAGTGGATGACTGCGAAGAGTGAGCAGTAGTGGAGATGGCCCTCGAAAGAGGGAATCAAAGCCCTTGCGGATAGGATACTGTTCCAAAGGAGGGCACAAGGCTGCGGCAACGAGGTTAGGCAAGCAGATGGCTAACTCTCAGGTCAGTTTGCAAGCGTCAGCAGCTGGTCCGGCACTTGGGCAAGTGGAGCTGGCAGTTGGTATCGCCGCGCAGATACAGAGGGGTGGTTTGGGGCCATGTCTGGGGACGCGATGCGTGATAATGATGAAGCGTGGGCCATGTGGTGTTGCAGGTGAAGGCTGGGGCTGATTCCAGCTTATAGCCCTAAGCGATGTTTGGCCTTAACCGCCACGTTATCCGCTTCTTCATCAGGCAAAGCGCCAACATGTGCCACTCTAAAACCAGCAAAGCGGCCAACCGTGCCACAGATGGCGTCGGCCACGGCCGCCTTGGCTGCCCGAGCGGTGCTCAGCCTCACAAACTCCACCGCAACTCCACGATCTTCACCGCGCAACCGCGGCTCACCGTATCGTGTTCTTTCAAGAGAGGAAACCCATCGTCCATCGTTACTCTCGTGCTTTCCTAGGCCCAACGCACCCAGGTGCTATGGTTGAAGCGAGGTCGTCACGTATCTCGCACGTTACGAAGTTACGAAGTCGCGAAGTAGCTACAAGTCACCGGCAGCCTCGGACTGGCCCCAATGTCTCGGGATGCGGCTGAGACCTGTGGCGGCGGGATCAAGAACAACCTTAAAATTCTCTGTTGATCCTAGCAGCGACATATTCCCCGATACTGACAGAGGCTGGCATGCACCTGTCGACTCACCCCCCTGCTTTGGCTGAGAGGCTCTGCGTCAGCCACCGTGTGGTGTGCCACACCAGATCATGATCAAGCTCGATCGAGCAGTCACTCCGTTCCACGCGCTGGAACCCGACCAGCTGATGCACCAAGTCGCCGGTGGACTGAATAACGTTTTAGGGTTGCCCAATAGCAGCCAAATACTAACAGCGAAGCGTCGGTGATCGGCCGGTCATGGAGATCAATAAGCAGTCACTCTCACGTCATGTTCTTGTTTCCTTCGGTCCAATCTCCAATGTTGGTTCTTCCAAGCATTTCAGCCTCAACCAAATCCCAGGCCTCAGCTTAAGGTTGTATTTTACCACCCTGCTAGCGATCTCCGCCAGCCTATCGCTGTCGTCAGATCGGCCTGTGCCTTGCACAAAGAGCCATGGGTGTGGAGCGGTCATTTTGGAGCCCCCCCACCCACTACGACCCAGGGAACTGACTCCTCTTCGACTACTCATACTCAATTCCCAAAGGGCGCTCACTGACAAACGTCATTCGAATCTATTCTACTTTGAGATACAGAGGGGCGAATGAGCGAGTAGCTTCAAACTATCAAGAAGTCTTCTGCGAACCCTCTGTCACTCAAACCAGTCCCCACGTCAATGAATTCTGAGTAGCTATGCTAGCCCTAAGGTACTATAGAATAGCATACAAATGATGCTGGCAAGTTTGTGAGCGATATGGCTAGCGGGCTGATCAGCGCCTCATCCAAGTGTAGGACTGCACAGCCATCCCGCTGACAGGTCCCCACTCTAGCCACTACTATAGCCACTGCAGCACGCATCCTCCTGAGACGTGAATATCTCCCGAGAAATCCGAATACTGCGACGACGTAGTTGCGGGTTTGGTCCCTGCTGAATACGGCCCCGAAGTGAACGTTGTTGCCTGTGGGGTGGGCTTGGGAGACTTGCACTGATCTAGCTGATCTCTCGGCAGAGGCTCTCCGGAACCCCTCCGATCTACGCTAGAAACATAGTCTTGCATTTGAACCTGCGTGCCTTCCTGGAACTCCAGGGCTCGATGCAATCATCCACCACTTCGGACTTTGCAGTTGAAGGCCGTACCTTCTGAGTCCGAACTCCTTGATCATCTTCGCTACGGCATTGGGAAAGCGGCCCACTTGACGGAGAAGAGAGCATTTTGGAGATGCGGAAAATGCAACTTTCGGTTCTTGTGAGCAGAAGGCGAGAGAAGGATATGGGGTCTTTCCGTTGTGGATTACTGAAGTCCTGACTTTCTCAACACCGCAGTCAGGATGCCCTAACCATGATTGAGCTTGATGAATTTAAGAAGTCTCTAAAATTTGTGTTCTATGCAATCGACTTGGAAAAATCGAGGAGGGAGTTCTATCGACCAGTCGACTTATTCTCAAGGTTGGCGTTGAATATCCTCCGCGGAACCAATGAAAGGGAGAGGAATCTTATTTAAGCCGCTGTCACTGGTCAGATATTTTGAGGGATCATCACAGAACCTTGGAATCTTTGAAATACTGTATAATCTAAATAAATTGATATGAACAGTAGTTATTGCGAATAACGACTTTTTGGTGCCGTGATCGGTGCAAGAATCAGGTAGTAAAAGGCTGATTATGCCGACAGCCATTAAGTGAAGGCTCTTGCTGTTCTCGTGCCATCACCAGAAGGCGCCAAGCGCGACGTCTGCAGCTCAAACCGCGACCAACTTCCTCGTCACCCTTACAAACACCCAACACGCCTTTGCTATCGTTCGTTTGCTCGTGTGGCCCTTATGGGAGTGCACGCTTGCATCCCTTCTTCTGCCTTGAAAGGGCATTGCTCGCGCCCCCGCCGGCCTATAGCTCTTCTTCGCTGACGCCTCCAACCCACGATGAAGCGTGCCTCGAAGCCGGGCATGGAGCCACGTCGAAAGTCCTCCACATTGCACTATCAGACCTTCCCGACCAAGCCTCCAGCCAACCGCGGGCGCCCCATATCTCAATCTCCTCCCCATAACAATGGCGGCCATAGCCATGGATCGGACTCCGAGGAAGGCCACCACGAGTCGCCCCTCCCCAAGAAACAGCTCGCGATTCTGGCCGTGATAGCGTTGGCAGAGCAGACAGCCCTCAATTCAATAAGCCCATACCTGCCCGAGATGGCCTCTACATTCCCCGAAGTGGAAGACTCACAAGTGGGGCTATACGTGGGGTTGATCGCATCGTCGTTCGCGCTGGCACAATTTGCGACAAACTTCTTCTGGGGGTGGCTGTCGGACCGGATAGGCCGGAAGCCAGTGATATTGACGGGCACACTGCTGACAGCAGCTTGCTTTGTCGCTTTCGGGTTTTGTAGGACGTTGTGGCAGGCTATCATCGTACAATTGCTCATGGGCTTGGTCAACGGCAATGCGGGCGTTGTGTCGACGTGTCTGGGCGAAATTACGGACCGCAGTAATCAGTCAAAGGCCTTTACCTATCTCCCAGTTGTGTACGGCATTGGTGGCATAACGGGACCCATTGTGGGAGGCTTGATGGTGTTGAAGACAAACCCATTGAAAAAAGGCCAACCAAATCCTTATCCGTATCTGTTGCCGAACCTTTTCTCGGCCGCCGTACTAGTGATAGACTTGGTACTTTCCATGTTTCTACTAGAAGAGAGTTTGGAGGAAGCTCGAGAACTACCACCACTAGGAAAACGGATAGGAGATTTGTTCTCTCGGCTATGGCAGTTCACGAGCTCGACTCGACCCACATACATGCGCGGAATGCTTGGAAAGGGAAGACGGGATACTACCCGCCACCAGCATCTCGATGGAGTACAAGAGGAGGACGGCGAGGACTCTGATCGATCTACTTCAGCGCCCTTGCTGTTCCCCGAAATACACGGCGAGAATCTCGCGAGAAAGGAGGTGTTCAACCGCGACACGATATTGCTACTCCTCACTTATTTCATCTTTCAACTCGCAAACATCTCTTATAATTCCCTGTACCCAATATTTGCGGCCGGTCGTCCTCCAACAGGCCGCGACCTCTCTCCCGAAGAGATTGGCTTTTCTTTGGCATTCGCTGGCTCTATCACCATTCTTTTCCAGATCGGAATCTACGGCAAACTGAGAGAAAAGATTGGCAACAAGACGACCTATCGGGTCAGCTTAGCTGCATTCGTAGTAGCATTTCTCCTGATGCCATGGGTGGGTTACAAGGACAGCAGCGGCCCGAAAGGCCTTGGTAGTTCAAAAGCCTGGCTGTGGGCTGAACTCGGCGCGGTTTTGATCATCAAAACTGTTGCTGCAGTTGGCGGACTCACTTCTGCGCTATTATTGGTAGGTGATTCCAAGGCTTACTGCGAACGTTACACTGACTGGCATGCCTCATAGATTACGAATTCAGCTCCCAATCACAACGTCCTTGGCACCCTCAATGGCCTCGCGCAGACTCTCTCTGCTGCCGGTAGAGCGGTTGGACCATTCATTTCCGGCAGCCTCTTCACAGCTGCAGTGCGCGTCCAGCCCAAAGGCGAAGCTCTCGCTTTTGGAATCTTCGCTGGCGTATCATTCGTCGGGTTCTTACTCAGTTTTGGGATCAGGGGCGAGGGTCTCGAAGCAGAAGGTTGGGACGAAGAAGAAGAGGGGAGCGAAGTCCACTCAGACGACGAAGAGGAAGAGGAAGACGATGCCACATCGTTTTAAATGGAGGAGGAAGCCGGGCTTTTTGGCAGGATTCGCCACTCTGTAGCCGACTGGTTTTAAAACCTTTGCGTGCTTTATTCTGGGACAGCTTTTATGAATTTTCCATGTTTCAGCGCTGGAGTTTAGAAAGACTACTGTTGGTCTACATCTATGTATTAGGATATCCGCAAGGACGGGATGGAGTTGGTAGGTGGCTCCTTGTAAGCGCCCTGTGCTAATGTAAAAGTCATACATATCAGAGAGGTGGGGGGATGTATATGCATGGAATATATCGTGGACCGTATCACCTACATGGTAGATACACATACACTTGAAGAAGCGGTATTGATACGCTGCTAGCTTTGCATAACCTTGGCAAGACGAGACTGCCTAGGTGGAAAATCCAGCGGATTCATGCAACAACTCCCATCTGAATGCTAAGGTTGAAACGTACTGGTTAGTCGAATCCTTATCAATGTGCATAGAAAAGAACCGATATGTCTATTTCCAAGCCCTTGGCCCTCAGAATCAGACCTCAAAGCATACTGCGGTCTGCTTTGTCGCGTTGACTAGTATCACTTATGCTTGAGTATTGGCTGGACATCAGCGCCCTCGATTCTCTCGATCTCGTTTCCATCATATCCTCCTAGTTTCCGTAAACTCTTTCGCCATCACTACCTCATTCGAAACAAAACTCACATCTCCTCCACCATCCACGAGCACCCAAAACTTCTCCATTCCCAACTTCGCCGTCCGCCGCAACAACACGTGCCTCACCACATGATTTACCGGTCCGAAACTTCGCGGTCGAACCTATCGAATTCACACCAAATCCACAACACCGCATCCACGTCGTTTACCCGTCCAAACCTCCGCCGTCGACTCATCAACGCGATGCATCTCGGTAGAAAACTGGCACTTCTGTTTCTGACAGGAGCAATTGTGCCCATAATAACACTTAGCTTCACGACACTTTGGCCCAACGTGACAAGGCTCGCCCCTAATATACCTTCGGAGAACCAACTTTTCGTCCTTTGTCAATGGACCGTGAGAGTAGTTGCATTTTCCATTGCAACCTCCCAACAAGTGGTACGGCCGACAAAACCTCAAGCGTAGCACATTGACTTTATGATTCCAGCTTTCCAACGCCGCCTTAGACGGCTGAGCAGGCTTCACGTCAACTCGCTGACCGGCTGCATTTACCAGAACTGTCTGTGCATCCCTGATCTTAGTGGAAAGATCCTTCTTATCGGTGCTTTCAGTAACTCTCGCAAGAGCTGCCCATGTCGTTGCAGTGCCGTTGGTTTCTTCTTCGGGAACCGCTTGATGTCCGACCGATGCCACAGCCCCAAAGCCCTGCACATACTCCGCACGGAAAATGTCCTCCATTCTAGTAGACTGGAAGCTCAGAGTGTAGAATTCTCGTCCGATATCGAAAGAATGAAGGAGGGTCACACGCTCAGCAACGGCGCTATCTCCAGCATGTTTTTCCAACACTCGGACGTAGCCATTATCATGACAGGCGCCGAATACGATATGGCGGCACGTGGGGTTCTTAACAAATTGTTCGAAGACACCTAATCGCATGTTAGTCCCGCTGAAAAACACCAGGAAGAAGGACCAATTTTACCCTTGACTTTCTCATCAGCGCGATCCTTCCCATTGCCAACTAAAACGAAGTCAGACATCGCGTGAGCCTGCGAAAAGCTCTTCGCAAAGTCCCACAGGAAACCAGAAGACTGGATGATGTTGACATTCACAAGCAACTTAGACAGTCCGTCCGAGTTAGCAAATGCCTTGATCATGATGGGCAACCCAGCCAACGCTGGCTTCGCTTTCCGAAGATATTCTTGCACACGGGTCTGAAGATCCACGGCTGCCTTGCGACCGCCATCAGGACTCTGATAGTAAGAATCCTTGAACTTCAGGGGGTCAGTATTGTAGTCACAAAATACTAGGGGTGTCTCACGATATACGCATCGGCATCGGCATCGATCAATACCAGAACAAACGAACCGTCATGCTATATTACTCTTAGCACTAACCCTTTCTTTGCCCCTTTTTTGACGTTACGGAGTATAATACCCACAACAGACTGCTGCAGCTCCTCGAACTGATGCTGCCACTTTTCCGCATCTGCCTGCGTGATACGCCCAGCAATTTGCTCCCTCTTCAGATCCTTGGAGATATTTTCATATTTCTCGCTCAACTCCGCAATTTGTGTATGAAACGTCTGTATCACCTATTTAACATCTAACAGCTCTTTTACCAAAATAGGTTCCTTCGATCAGACTTACATTCATCCACTCAAACCTCTCATTGTCTGCGTCCCGGATCGCTTTGATGCGATCCGCAAACTCCTCTGCAACATCAACTGTCTTCATGTCTTGGTCTGTGGTCCAACCATAGACCTTCCTTCAAGAAACGGACACTAAATAGCACAGCCAACGTCTTAATAGAAAAATTGGGCAGGTTGAAGAAGTTCGTAGGGCGTTTCTTTGCCGCCTAGGTTGTGTGTTGGACGTGCATGAGGTGGCACAGCAGCTTGTTTGCCTCCAATACAAAGGGTGCAGCCGAGTGCATATTCACCTTACATAAGCCGTCCACCAAAAACCAGAACACAGCCGTGCATCAACACCAACAGCACAATAAATTTCCTTTTTTCGGGAATGTAACATTTACACCTCAACACAACTATTCTTCTTCTCCGCGACTTAATAACTTGTCGTGTGGTCGAGATAGAGAACTGAGAAGTGACTCGTTTGCGGTCGTTTTGATGTTCCTCGCCTCGCGTAGCTGGTGGGGTCGTGAATATGCACTCGGCCGCACCCTTTGTAGGATCATCGCAAATCTTTCTTACGACAACCTGAGCTACGAAGGAGTTCGTATTTTTTGATGCACAACCGAGGCTCGGCCCCGCACCCGAGCCCCTGAAACACCATCAACAAACTGTGTTTACATTCACTCCAACACACCACAACACCCCCAATTTCGTCGCAATTATGCCAGAAACCAGGCGCAAGCAATACCAATACAAGGTCCACAAGGCCTCGGTGCGAAAGACTGATAAGAAGGAGCTTACACCCATCCAAAGAGCATTCATTGCCGGTGCCTGTCTGAAAGGGAATGCCTCTCACAACTCAATAGCTACATTCATTGGTGTCAATCACAGAACTATCACCAGGCTGCTGCAGCGAGTGGAGACCAGGGCCCAGGCTGCAAATATCCCTCTTCACGATGAGCTGCTCTATAAGACCGAGCTTGGGAGGGGAAGGAAGACACTCCTTAATAAAGAAGAGAAGGAGAATATTCAACAGATTATCACCTAAGATAAGGAGCATTGTAATAAACAATCAAAGCAGATTATAGAGCAGGGGGACCTTGATTCCTATCTTAATAAAAGGGGCAAGAAGGTGTTAATTTCAACGCTTGAGAATGCTATATATGAAGGGGGGTATGCAAGAAGAAAGCATGGCTACAAGCCAGAGCTCACAAGTAAACAGAAGAAGAGGAGGTACGAATGGGCTCTTGCACACAACCCTGATAAAGATAGGGTAGGAGATAATAAGGGCTTCAACTTTAGGAGGGTTGTATTCACCGATAAGACGCCGGCCAAAGTAGGAATTTAAAGGGGATTCCTCCGCTCATAGAGATTAAAGGAGGAGGCCTATCACCCAGATGTTAAGAAGCCTCGAAAGAAGAAGTATACTGAGCTCCAATTCTATAGTGCATTCACCTATGGTAAATTGGCCCCCTGCAAAGTATAGCATCCTAAGACAGAGGTAGAGAAGAAGCATGCAGAGAAGGAGATCCAAAAGGAGAATACCTTTAATCGAGAGAGAGCCGAGCGGCTGCATAGGACAGCCAGAGGAGTGCTCCAAGAGATAGGGGAGCCTAAGGTGAATAGAAGGAAACCGTACAGGAAGAAGCAGGATCTAAAAAGGGGTGAAAGGGGGAGAGGGGGGGTGGATGGATGGAGGCACAGGGAGGAGGTTCTTAAGCCCCTAATTCAACCATGGATACATTCACTCAAAGAAAGGGGGAAGCTTAATGTCCTTCTCCTTGAGGATGGAGCTCCTGCCCACAAGTCCCGGTTTGATACAGAGTTCCTGGATTTCAATGACATTAAGAGGCTCCTCTGGCCAGGCCATTCACCAGAAATTAATGCTATTGAGCATGCCTGGCCCTATCTACGACGTTACGTCATAACGGACCACCCCATCTCAGAGAGCACACAGAAGTGTGAAGAGCAGTGGGACGAGGAATGATTCCCATTGATCAAGTGAATACATGGATTGATCGAATTCCTGATGTTGTACGGAAGATTATCAAGTTTAAGGGTGATAACTGCTTTCATGATGGCTAGCTAGATAGAAAAATCACGAATTTGGGGCCTCAATTCGAGTGAATGTACTTTTGTGGTGCTGTGAAGTGGGTGTATAGGCCAAATTTGGGTGGGGGCGGCATGCCCCGCCATCTCGCTTGTGCATCAAAAAATACGAAGGAGTTCGTATAGCTGTCATTGGTGAGGCCAGAAAACCCAGGGAAAAAGCATTTTTGCTGCCGAGTGCTATTCTTATTGCTTCGCCTCATAGCAATCTTTCCGCCACAACATATCCACCCATCACAACACATGCCAATACTCTCGCTGCGGCCTGCCGCCGCAACGACATTGAAAACCTGCAAGCACATGAGAAGGTTCTAGAGAACTCTTTCTCGCAAGGCTTTGCGACCCCTTCGCGTCCAACCTTCCAACTCTTCCGCTCCTCTCAGACCAGTAAACTCAGGTTGTCGCTACTAGCGTATCAGTGGCGTTACATCCTTCCATATCCGTGACAAGGGGGAACAGGGGAGTACCCCCCCCCTTCCCTTTCATAGGCTATATATACGGGCGTTATGCCTCTTCAAATCAACACAGAACTGCTTCTTCACAACCTGACAAGTAAACCACACCCTAGACCCCGAACGCAGCAAGAACTAGCAGCGCAACACCCCCAGCTCCACCATGAACATTAGCACCAGTGTGGTTTGCCCTGCTTAAAGTGCTGGGAGCCGCGGGTGATGTCGTCAATGAAGGTGTTGATGTCGATTGGTAGGGAAGACGTCGACGCCGTAGCTTTAGCTCTAATCAATTCCCAGCACATTCGAGAACCCACCATTTAAGAACACTGACTCAAGCTTCCCACCTGCTATACCAACCCTCATTACTCCTCTCCATTCTCTAGAGCATACCCCCCAGCCTCACGCGGGCCATCATCCCTCTTCTATACGCCATCTCGCCCGACGCAAAGCAGGAATAGTCCGCGTTGTATATAGCGGCCAAGTAGTATTCACGCAGTATGGTCACGTGTAAAAGATTAGCTTGGGACAGTTCGTATGCGGCGCGCTGCAGCAATATGTGTTGAAACTACTCGGGCCGCTAGTAGAGGGATGCCAGGAGCCAGCACGACAGCAGACGCGGAAGGGGACGGCAGTGCCACGGCGGTCAACTTCCGTGGTGGAGGACTCGATGGTGTGGATATGGTGTAAATTCGACAGTGTATGGTTGCATGAGTGTGCTTGATTGAAAAGAATGTCTAATATTCGGTCAAATTCAACCATTCCTTTCCCGTCTCCTCATCAGAACCTTTGTCCTTAGCCGCGGAACAGTCGCTGTGGTCCAGAAGAACGATTTTGACGTTTCCTCATTTTCCTACTCAAAATCGTAATTCACGGGAAAGTGTATAAACGCCCACTTCACGGTTTCGGAGACGTACCATTACCCCGGACTTGATGCTGAATTAGCGAAGGCATTCAGTATTTTTCAGGTGGCCACTGCTTTATGTACTGGCTAACAGACCGCCACAAGATGCTCTCCATGCCCCGTCTCCTCAAGTTCCCCAAGAATTTGTTTCTCTGAGTATACGATTCTTACCAATTTTAGACATTAAGCCCCTATACAGTAATCTCCTCTTACAGTTATATTGCGGACTTATACAGGTTATAAAATCAACTCATACTGCCTGCTCTCCTGCCTTGAGCTTAAGCCGACCGCAAAATACTCTCCAAACATCTTTATTAAATACTCCGGGAAACTCTCTCCTTTCCACGGCTCGAAGCCAAACAAGTTTGCTCTCTGGTTGGGTCTGCAGCAGCAAAGTCTCTGACTCTGAATTGGCTATCTCTTGATCTCTTATGGAAGCCTTCTGGTCTAACATCAGTAATGGACTCGGAGAAACAACTCGTAGCTAGCTGTTAGACTTGAAGGAGTGAATACCTTCATGAAGACCGGGAATTTGAAATGCCACCCCTGCTCCTTCTCGGATACTGCTTCGTCCTGACCCGTGTTGTAATAGAAGTCGAAGCTGACCAGGAGAATGAAGAGGCCATACAAAGCTCCGGCGCCGCAGATTGAAAAGACAATCGCTGGTAATAAAATCGGAGAATTGAGCCTGCGAGGCGTTCCGTCTGGATTATCCGTAGGGAGACATAGTGCCACGATGATGAATATATTGGTTGTGGTGAAAACCACAACTGCTATCCATTTCCAGATCAAGATTAGATATTTTTTCGCTTTGTGAAGGCTCCAATTCAGAGTGCGAGACATTTCCGTGTGAGACGCTATAAAATTTGAACTCGCTTGTGGTGGATTGGAAATTGAGTGTCTTCGTCCTGGGTCGCTGTACTCTGTTGTTTCAATCTGAACTCCTACATTTGTAGGCTGCTCGGACACGGCCTCTTCATATATCGATGCGGATGTCTGGACAGACCTCTGGTTTTCTGTTTGCTCATGAGGTACTCCTCCTCGACTCGCATTCGTTGGGTCTTCCGTGGGTGATCCATATGGAGAGTGCTGATCTAAGGCAAAGCCTTGACTGCCAGATGAAGACCGATTTTCAATGTGCAGATTGCGTAATTTCATGAACCTAATTCCGATTCCAAATCCAAGGAGACCTGTGAACTCATGAGCAAAGGCCATCACTATGCTTTAGTGCAGCTAGCTTACTATTTGATAGAGATTGACCAAGAATAGACAAAGATGTCGCAAAGAAAATGCCTTCTGGGAACTCATCTACCGTAGGAACAAATGAAATGATGACGCAAGTGACCAAAGCGTGAAGAAGAATGGCACCTGTTGGCGTCCCTGTCCTATCGAATCTTGATATGCCGTGCTCTGAGCTCTGTTGAAACATCTCATAAACAGGGGCTAATTTCCTGTACGCAACTTCTCTAATCGCTTGGAAGGGTCAGTACGTATGAATAGTGGAAGCTGTTTAACTTTTGTAAAGCTGTGGAATTCTACCTCTACTGTTTGTGAAAACGGTGCTAACTACAGTGCCCAGCGATGAGACTGCTATGCAAATAGATACAAGGTATGTAACCAATGTTCCGGGGGCAAGGTTGAAAGGCTATTGTGAGTGTTAAGCTAGCTTCTCGATTTTCTTGGAGTTTGTTGCAAAAACCTTCGTTAAGAAAAATGACAGCAAATATATGCCCCCTTGGTCGATCATTTCTGGATCTAGGAGGACTAGCTATGAAAGGTTCTTAGCCGCTAGTTTCGTCTTAAGTCTCTATAGAAGGCTTACCAGTAAAAAATTAAAGCAACAGTATAGAAACGAGACGAGTACAACTGCCCGGAGAGTCCCCCGTCTTAGATGTTTCTGGCGAACTTCGGAGCGCTCGTCTCCATGATGGTTGAGCCCGCCCTTAATCTCGGAGGTCACGTAATCTGGGAATCCATAAGCAACCTCGAAGATATTTTCCAGAATCGCTCGCATTAGCACTGAACACTTACTTGCACTGTTAAATCCTGAATAGCAAAAGAAAACTAGAATAGTTGCCAAGGCATAGTTCGAGAAAGGTACTCGCTCATGGAAATGATGGTTGAAGTTTGTGAGACCCGGTACGGTGTGACTGTGGGTGATCCACGCTGTGAGACCTGTGACCACTAATAGTACCAGTAACGCAGCTTTGAAAACCCCCAGCAATGTATTTGCCCTGATAAGGTAGCGAGGGGAACGGTATGCCAAGAAGCTTATACCTCCCACTGTTGCGCTCGCAATGTATTTCACCAGCCAAGGATCCAGAAGCAGGGGTTTTGCGGGGACAAGGAATTGCGCCCAAGCTAATGAACTGCCGGCGGATGTCGAGAAAGCGATAAAAGGCCAGGCAACGGAGCACGCGAGGGTAAGTGGTGGACGACACACCCTTGTAATCTTCCTTCAAGGTCAGTAGTGCTAAGAAAGAAGGGATGTCCTTGCTTGACTTAGTGTACTCACGTAGACAAATTCACCACCATTGAATGGCCAAGCTTCGGCATATTCTAAAAAAATGTAAACGCTGTGAGAGGTCAGCTCGGATCTACATGCGTGGCACCATATATACTCCTGCATAGGGTAATCTCACCCACAGAGGGAGTAGAATCCACCAAACATCCAGAGAAGCTGAGCCACAAGCTTGCTACCAACAAGATTTGCTACGAAGGCTGGCAGGATGAATATCCCGGGGCCTATCATCTTGTTGATGATCAGACAGCTCACGTTCCACGTGTCCAACACGAACAGTGTTTGGGTCGGCCAAGCAACATGCTTGGTATGTAGTACACACCTAGGATGCAGGTCACACGGGATCTGCGAGTCGGTCACTGAATCCATCTACGTCAGATTAAAGCACATGCACTGAGAACACTCACTCCAATAGACTAGTACTACTAGTTTACTGGGTAGATATCATATCAAGACAACAATGATTTGTGGCCCAAAAGAGGCAGAAATGGAGCTGAGCAGGGCGTCAAAGAGGGTGGTGCGCCATGGGGCTCTTGTACATAAAATAAGTTGCCGTGTTCTCCTAATCTACAAGGATGCTGAAAAGAAGGCAGCGAGGCAACAGCTGCCGTGCAGTTCAAAACATGGGGTGTCGGTCACATGGGTATTCGGGGCTGTGCTTAAAATCACGGCAATGCCTCACGAGGGTGAAAAGGGAAAAAACTACCACCTTGGAAAGCGAAAACGCCTCGCCACCCTAGTCAAGGCGCCCTCAGAAGATCTGGAATCCGCATCGTTGCCGAACTGGCTCCCAGAAGGAAGGTCCGCAGAGGGACTACGAGAAACGACTGATCTAGTTCTGAACTTTCAATACGACTATCTAAAATGGCACCCCATGTTACCCAGATACTCCAAGGACGCTACGTGTATCATGGTCAGATACTCTGTGACTACCTCAAACTCCGCTTCGGTCACAACTATACGGCTAAGGTTGGTCAACGTCGACTTCAGCATAGAGTGATTTAACACGCGTTGTGAAGCAAACAGACATGGATTTATGGCAAATTACAGTACCCGAAAAGCTCAACGAGGTGAGATTCGAATCAGCCATCTTGAATTCAAAGCTCACATGAATCAAAAACTTAGTTTGAAATATTGGACATACAACAACGGTCTCAGGAGCAGTACGGGATAGAAAAGGCAGAAGAGAAAGAAACTGCGGAAGAGACTGGGGCTCAATGAAAGATTGGCCGTTTCGGGAAGACGCTGCAGGAGCCAGTGTAGTGGCGGACGTTGGATGCTTTCCATTGGGTATTCAAAAGGCGAACATGCAGGATAATCGCAAGCCACGGGAAACACAAGTCCGCGAATCCTTTTCGTGGGAATGTTGGAGGGCTACCAAAGAACTCTATTGGCTGGATAAGAAGGCTCGCCGATCACGTCAACCCAGCCCAAGTGAACTATCTCACCTGAAATGCAACGTAAAGGCCACCACGAACACGTCCGTCTGCAGCATTTTTGCGCAGATTGTCAAGAACCTGCGAGAGACTTGAAAAGCGAGAGGGATGCCTACAGACCTGGCGTTAGCTCAGCTCCCGTCCCGTGAATGTATGCGCTGTTCATCCGAGGGCTGAAAACCAGCTCGCTCTTGGTATTGGACCTTGCAACAAGCATGTAAGAGGGTGCATGACGCCCTCGACGCACACCTCATGCCTACATCACGCACGTCGCGTCGATACCGTCATTGACCGGTTGATTGACTTGGCTCTGCCTTGTGCGTGAGGCGGTTGCCTTCTTTTTACACTATTGGGCGAGTCACTGGTGTGGTGGCCTTTTCGAAGCTACTTTCAGTATAAGCTTACGTCCTTCCACTGTGGGCGGTCCGTGGGTCTCTCAGAGCCTCACCATGGCACGATCAAGCGTCGAAGCGTCGGAAGATTGGGAAAATTATCCCCGGAATCTCATTCAGCACAGTTTCTATGTTGACGAAAACAAATGCAACGTACGGCTGACACAAGACTCGGAGCGTCTTTTTGTGCCTGAAAAAGATAGCGAAGTGTGGGTATTTGACGTTGGAGAACCTTTTAAAGGTAATTTCTGTCTCATGAAGACGGAAGAAAATACTACCCATTTCACTCTATAACCACTCCTTGTTGTTAAATTATAAGGAAACTAAACCCATCTGCAATAGGAATCGGTAATGGTGACGGCGAAGAGAGAGCTGTGGAACTCTTCAAAATTAAAGGATCTCCTCAACTAAGCTCGTTTCTCAAGACGAGACGCCAAACCGTTGTCATGTGCGTTCACGTGCTATTCTCCTAATTTGTCTAGTGTTTAACACGCCTGTATACAGTTCAATCCGTCAAAGTTTTTCCTGGAGTCGATTGAAGATTTCCGAAGAAGGACTAAAACGACTCTTCACGAACCTGCGCGTGCATCCAAATTTTCTTGATGTTGTACACGTATTCGGCGAGAAAACAGAGCCAGTGGAGGAGACGTTCCTGACCTTCTTCTACCATCCGATATTCCAGAGGCCAATTGTGCAGATTGAGGATGTACCGGATTACGGAGGCTATGGTAAGCTCCCCTACATCGCAACAACGATAGATTTCTAGCTGAACACTTCGTCATAGAGATTGGGTATAACATTAAATACGTTGCTGGACACGGCAGACCGTTCCTCAAGGATCCCTACGTGATCAGAGAAACCGGCATATACCAGAAATTCTGGAACACTAGTGCGTCGAAACAAGGCTGCAACTGGGTGCTTATCCATGCCTCTGATGCCTTGGAAGAACGGGCCAAAAATCTCTTCAAGAGCCCTTGGAAGACTGCTTGCCCCGTCCAGTTCCAGATGCATGTCATGATCCTTCTCTTCGTCTCGGATACGTGGAGGCCTTTCATTAGCTTTAACGAAGAGCTGTTTTGGAAATTGGTACACATGAAAGTACTCTGCTATGAATTCAGAAGCTGACTCATCAATAAGCGACAACGTGGGTTCTTGACCGACATAAAAGGCCCAAAATCCACTGGAGATTTTGAAGCAGATTTCACAGACGTACGAAGTCTGCAAGCACTGACCGATAAGATGCGTCAAATCTCTCACACACTAGGACTAAACATCCAATTGGCAACGCAACTAAAAGCCTCTATAAATCGCGTTCGACAAATGCCAATACCGGACGCTCTCCCATTGGAATGCTTCGAAGAATTCGATTCACATATTGACTTCTTCATCTTTCAGCAAAAGACACATTCCGCGCGAGTCGAATGCTTGATCGCTAGAGCACAGGGTGTTTCCACGCTAGTAAGAATCGTAATCCCTGTGGGTATAGTTGGGGTTGTTCGACTGACGTGCTTTTGAAGATCCAAAACATACTCGATATTCGAAACGCCGACAACAACAACAGACTTAACCATGCCGTTCATGATATAGCAGAGCAGGGAATCAAAGAAAACCAGCTCATCAAGAGAATCACTCGTCAATCAATGCTTGATACCAAATCAATGGTGGTCATAGCATTTGTGTCCGCTGTCTTCCTCCCAGCAACATTCATCGCGGTACGAGAATCTTTCATCGCTTGCTCAAAGTGACCAATATTTAATGATCACAGACACTTTTTGGGTCCAACTTCTTTGGCTTCGTGTCTGCCGGAGACCATCACATGATTGCGGTCGCGGATAACGTATGGATCTACATTGTGACCGCTCTGGGAACTTCGGGACTGACAGTATTAATTTCTGGTTGGTGGTGGAGAAAAACGAGAAATGAAACCGATCAATCGAAGAACGACGACGAGTGCTTCATGTGAAACATTCATGTACCGCAGATAAGCATACTGGCAGGACTTTCCCAACGGATGCTGTTCGGAGGAGGCATGTCGGATTGGTGCTGACATCGACTACGATTAAAACCCCCAATTTTTGTTCACGGTCTTGGGGAGAATGTTTCAGTTTGGTACAGTGCTCGGAGAAATGTGACGAGTTCAGTACTGGAGGTCGGCATGAAACATATGGATCCAACACAGATAGACTTATACTTTGCGAGGCAAAAAACAGTATATTAGATAATTATTTCTGCTCTGGATTCCCAGTAATCAACTTCGTCTTTAGCAGTGATTGGATATCTGTCGCGCAAACGTAACGCCGATCAACGAGTTTGGATGGTAAGCGCCTCTAAACATATCCGAGATCGAGGATTGAAGAGGGAGGCTAGAGCTGGCTCATGCATAAACGTGACCCGCCCGACCCCGATGGTGTCGATTCCGCAATGCATGGCCTATTTCTGAGGTGGTACATATATCATGAAGTGACTTGAAATCGGACATGAAGCGTTTTCTATCTGTAAAAACGTCAGCGCTTTTCCGCCAATTTCCCCGAACCAGCAATGGGAAGCCAGAACGTTGCATGGAAGGCGAGGCGAATGTGCCCACAAATTCTTACCAGCATGACCATCAAATGTAATGTTAACGTGCTGATTTGGTTCGTAGTCGTCTTCCTCCAAAACCGTGAGAGGTACTCCTCGATCTTCACTTTCTTCAGTCACCGCGACGTGGCACAGTTTGACGCTAGTAGTCGATCCAGGTACGTTTTTTGCAGAGGCTTCTAACGAAACTATAGAAATAATTCAGATTCCCGAGGGCTTTGTCATAATCATTAAGACTTACCCGAGATGACAAATGCTTTGGAAGCATCGAAGATTACTATTTTCATGATTGCAGCTCCGCCCGTCATTCTTTTCGTTGTGCTATGCTCCTCTGTAAGTTCTCTATCGACCCAGAGCTGAAGCTGCCCGCTGCCTTGGTGAATTTCAGGCTGTGTATGAATGAACGGTCGCATTATCATTCGGTTGAACCATGTTCGGGTATCCTTTGGGTAATGAATGGTAATGGCATGAAATGGACTGTAATCGTTATATCAGACATGGTGATCAATTGTGGAGAGAATGTGCTTAGAACAGGCTACGAAAGAATGCGACTAACGATTTGTAGACGAAACATCCGGTAAAAGCTTGCTGAAACGCAAACGCATCTACCAAGCAATCAATATACATAGATATATTCGGATTTCGCTCGCATGAATGTACCTCGGGGGTGCGGGAAAGAGTAAATCTCAGAGCCGTCATGATATACGGCCTTGAGCTCTGTTGATGATTCGTGGGAAGGCATAACACCTAGTATTACACGTCGTACTTCCCCAACATCTGGTTTAGTGAGCTTACGAGAGACAAGGGCTGATTCAGTGATCGCCCAGTGCCCATTACGGCTTGGAGAAGTCGAATGATTGATCAATTCCTTAGAATAAGAGAAATGTGCTACCGTGAGGGGTTTGGTACCTGAGCTGGAGCTATACACAAACACCATACAACGGACGTCGTCATGTATCCCGTTGGAAAAAGAAGCCTGTCTACAGCCGTCAGCAGCGTCAGCGACCCGTTCGATCATATATGTAGTGTGAACGACCGAATACATACAATGCCAAGCCTCGATTTGAGCAACGTAATATAGAAGCTGAAGGAGGATTTTCCCATGACATTACCATCGGTGATTGTCCATGAAAATGCTGCTCTCCGGAATTGGCCTTGTTATATGAGCGTAACTTCAGCTCAACCTCTTGGGGGCTTGGTCTTTCTCTTGGATTCTTGGCCAACATATTTTCGATGAGTTCAAAAAAGCTCCTAGTGAATAACTGTTGGCGCCAATCAGATAACGCTTTCGCTTCGTCAAGGAGTTCCTTATGTGTCCATGTCACAGCTCCTTTGGACTTTTTAGTGAGTTGGTCGAAGAAACATGAAGATGAGGGCTGCCCTTCCCCGGTCTCATCATTTCTTTCTTTACGATAGTTTTTGACGCCATCTGGACCTTGGATATGCGCTGTTGCAAGTTCGGATAGAATGGCTCCCATCGTATAAATGTCATAAGCAGATCCGAAATGGAGTTCTGGAGGAGAGTAGAGTTTTCGAGCTAACAAAATGGAATCCCGGCTCTGCACTGTCGGATTCGTTTGGATGGTCAAACCAAAATCAGAGATCTTGATACGGCCCGATTCAACGAGGAGATTGTGTGGTTTGAGGTCACTGTGGTACAAGCCGTGTGAGTGCAAGCAGTCCAGAGCTCCAAAAATATCCGACATTTGGTCCCAGGCTTCGTGTGGAGAAAGCTTAGGATTGTCGCTCGTGAGAAGCTCTTCGAATGTGCTCTCCGCTTTCAGAAAAACGATAGAGAAGCAATCTCCGTGGTAGAAGGCACACAATGCCTCCATGAAAAAGGGGTTACGTTTAGGGTTGATGTGCATGCTGTAGTCGTCCCATTCTTTTTCGCCGTCTCTGACATTATTACCATGAAACATCTTCCGCACAAACCGAGATCGCTGTGTAGTGTCAGCATAGAGAAGGATCTCACATGCACGTCAAGATGACTCACATCCTGTTTTATGAATCTCTTGAAGCCCTCGCCTTCATATTCTGGAAACGGAAAGTCGAATGCGACAACCACGCCGAAATTCCCCTCCCCTTCATTGGTTGTCTCATCTAGGATGGGAACTACTTCTCTCTCGTCATACATCATGGCAGCTTTATTCCTATTGAGCGGACGAATTTGGAATTTGTACTGATCCTTGAGAATGCGACGGACAAGGTCGTCCTTAGCCTCAATGGAGTTTACTCCTTTTGCGTTAGAGAGAAAAGAGAGATCCTCTTCGTGTAAGAACGAGGCCCCATCTAACTTGACCCCATTATCTACAAATTCGGTAATCAGACTAGCTTTATTGACGTGGACGAGAAGAAGAAAGGTCAAAAGAAACTCGTCCTCAAGCTTCTCTTTTAGTGAATCAAAACGGTCTGATCGATCTATCGGACCATGTTGCTCACACCGATCGCACGAGCAAAAGTATATCTCTCGGGTTTGAGATTGGAAGGTTTGAGCAATGTTTTGTTTCGAATAAAAGTATTTTGGGCAACGGTCTGGGCGGTGTTGATATTGCCCAAGCAGCGTTACCTCCCGGAAAATTCCCCGTAATTTGAGTCGAACATCTTCACAGCGCACGAACTCCTGCATAGCAACTTAAGAAGTCGGGTTCGAGGAGAGCGCATGCTTTCGGGAACCCTCCCAAGGGTGGCCCGAAAGAGGGCCCGATGGAGCGATTCTATTACTACAGGTCAAAGGCACGTCAGTCAGAATACCAGCTGCCTGATAAGTAGGGCGGAAGTTCATAACACGAAGGTAGTCATTCTGAGTTGAAATATACCTTTTGAGCAGTTCGGCTTATTGGGCTGGTACCCTTGTATGTGATTGCCTGTTGCCTGTGGACAAGGCGTCCTAAGAATGACCCGGGGGCAGTGGTTCTTCCGCAGCTGTCGATGTATTACGCGTAATCTAAGAATAGTTGATCGTTCCGTACGAGGTCGTCGAGATTCTTGCTTCTGTGAGGAAAGCCACGAGAGCAGCTGGGCGTAGATTGCCAGGCCAGGCTTTGAAAAGAGCCAGCACAGAGATGAAGGACAGTGCACTCGGACATTTCGTTTAACGTGCAACACAAGCGAGCCGGCCACCCAAGCGAGCCGGCCACCTCATCACCAAAACGCGCTCCGTTAGCTTTCAACCACCATGTCTCAACAACGCAATGTACAATCAATCCAAAAAGAAGGCCGAATCTGCCTAGCTATCTTAGCAATTGATAAGAATCAACTTCAAAGCGAACGACGCGCTGTTGCAACGTACAACGTCCCTAGAAGCACGCTCCAAGACCGACGCGCCGGAACCACCGCTCGACGCGATTGTGAGCCCAATTCAAAAAAGCTTGCAAAGCTAGAGGAATCAGTTATTATTGAACATGTACTCGATCTGGATTCGCGAGGGTTTGCGCCTAGCTTAAACGCTGTAAGAGATATGGCCAATAAGTTACTCAGAGAGCGCGGTGCCGGCCAGGTTGGCAAGAACTGGCCATGCAACTTTGTCAAGCGGACCGATGAGCTTCAAACACGGTTTAATCGAAAGTACGATCGCCAGAGAGCTCTATGCGAAGATCCAAGGATTATTGCGCCGTGGTTTGAGCTTGTGCGCAATACAAAGGCGAAGTACGGTATCACGGATGACGACTCCTACAACTTCGATGAAACCGGCTTCCAGATGGGTGTTATCTCAACAGGAGTAGTT